TGGATCTAAATTATCTCTCCCTCGCTCCGCTGACACAGCCGGGATGTGAATGAGAATCTATTCAGGCAGTATCTCACCATCTCTCACCGTATCCTAAACATGTGCTCGCTGTCTTCCCACTTCACAGCTTTTATTCAACCCTGAGAGCTCTCCATCCTTTCTGAGAGTGAGGAGGAACAGGTCGGATCACTTAGGGTGTATTTTTTTTTTTTAGCAGATTAATCAAACGCCTCTTATTACACAGATGATTGAGATCCAATTATTTGGTGAGTGATATACAGTTTTAATTAATTTGAATTTACATTGCATGCGCCTGGAATTAATGTTTCTATTTTTAATCAGAGGAAATCTGGCGGGTGGCTCTGATTGAATTAATCCTTCACGCTTCTCATATGAACTCTGCAGCGTGACGGCATCCTGCAAGGTCCTCCAGCCCACAGGGGGCGCTGTCTACAGCCAGCTGGTGAGGTCACGCTCCTGGCAGCGCCGTGATCTGCAGCCACTGGAGACACAATTAGAGTGGACAGAGGAGACAGATTACACAGCAGGGTGATGTATTACAGCTCTGTCAAAAGCAGACACTCAAAACGGTCTCCCTGACTCTCACAATGGCCTCTGGCGGATCACTGTGCTGGAGCCGGCTGCATGCTGAACTGGTCTGACAGCCGGGCCAGCCAAGGCGGTTTTAGGCCATTACCCTCACAGGAAAACTCCCAGCATGCTCAGAGGCAGAGGCAGCTCTAATTTCTCTGTACATTGTTTCATCTCAGCCTCACTTTTTCCTCCTCAGGGTTCAGAGCAGACAGATAAGCTGCAATCACATCATACCGACAATTTTTTTTTTCCCCAGTGACTCTTTTCTTCTTTGGATTTATCATCACTCCATTCTGCAGGTCATCAGCCAGGGTAGTCTTTGCTGCTAACTCTTCCCTCAGATGGATGCAAACTCATTTTAAAGCATGGTTTCATTATTTCTTTGGACTTGCAAGCTTCTGCAGTTTTATTACATTTAAATGTTTTTTTTTCTTTTGCTAACTCTTGTACTCTATTTAATGAGTAATAGTTCAGTGAAGTTAAGTAATTTCTTTAAATTAATATCTTTTCAGGCAGCGCAAAATACAGGGGGGTTGAGTAAAGCAGTCTAGCCAAGGCATGTTTGGTGTATGTTGCAAAAAAGGGTCCATAGAAAAATGAGGAAATGGTGGCTTGAGTCGCATGAATGATTGTGGTGCTTTTATTTACAAATAATGTGAGAATCCCCCAAAAGAAACAACTAATTTCACAAGAGCTTCTCAGTACGTGCAGTCGTGTGGTTCAAATTCACCCTCAGACTGAACTGAGTTCTCTCTCAAGACCCATGGTGGTTTAAAGGCTTTTAAATGCTCAGCCCCTCCTTCTCTAGACCAACCAGCTGCTGTCTGTCAATTAACTCAAACTTCCCTTAATAACTCAATATAGTCCACTTTAAATCTTGCATTAAATCAAAACAAACACATTTTATCAATAGAGTCACTGTTTTACCCACAAAGATCCTCCTCAACCACAAAGTTTTAACAATTTAAAACAATTTAAAAGGTAGAGCGGTCATGAAATATCTGGAAGGTTGGCGGTTCGACTCCCTTCTATCCCTAGTCTGTCTGTTGTGTCCTTGGGCAAGACACTTAACCCAACTTGCTTCCAGTGTGTGCCCTCCACTGGTGTATGATTGTGAGTGTTGTGTGTTGGTGGTCGGAGAGGCCGTCAGCGCAAACTGGCAGCCATGTTTCTAGCAGTCCGTCCCAGGGCAGCTGTGACTAATAAGTTAGTCGAATGAATGATGTATCCAATGTAAAGCGCTTTAAGGGTCTCTGATAAAGCACTATATGAAATCTGATGCATTATTATTATTATTGTTATTGTTAATTTAGCCAGATAACCTTTCACCTGATTAATCATTGCATGTTCCACCATCAGCACAAACTTATGAACAGGCTATCAAGAAACCTTTTCAGTATGTGAATGTAAAAAAGTGCCTTTCAGTAAAGGACCCTACTAGAATAGAATAAAATATCTTTATTGTTGTTGTACATGTACAATGAAAATTGAGTGCAAACCCTCTGAGTGTAATAAGAACATAAAATGGGATACAAAAATATATATTCATCATGTAAAAAGAAACATAAAAAAAAAACGAACATGCAGAGAGCATGACAAACTGCTAAAGTGCATTTCATGCAGTGAAGCGCTTTTGTAAGTACTCAAATCCTCAAGCATGTACTCAAAAGAGATAGGGGTTTTGGTTTCCTGATAGAAGTGAAGAACATGGTGAAAAAAATGTTCCATCTGGTTTGAAAATTTCACATTTTTGTTGGTCAATAATAATTATTACCAGTTCCTTAATGCGTTAAAGTAGACTTATTTTTTTTAAGGGTGTGATTCAGAGCCCAGTCTTTGCATGGATTGAGTTGTCACTCTAATGAACTCTTCTTTCCTCTGATTTTCTGTCTCTCTGTCCTCTGTGCTGCTGCTGCTGCTGGCTCAGACTGTCTGCTGTCTCTGCCAACAAAATGACAGAAAACCCCCGACGGATGATCTGCATGTTGTCATGGCAACACTAACAGCTTGTTTTGAGTATTCAGATACCTGTCACCTGCAGGGTACTTTCTCTAGGCTGTAATTTCTGCAGCCTGTTCCTGTGAGGTCTTGATTGAAATGAAAACATAGACTCTGCTGCTTTCAGCTGCTCGGCCTGATTAGAATTGATCAGATTGGAGGAAAAATGACACCTTTTTCTCCCACACTGTGATCATTCACAGGGTTTTGATATTTCCTAATGAAATGATCACAGGACACTTGTGCACCCTGTGATTTCTTTCACTGATGAGTGTTTCTGAGAGCACAGTGAGAAAATCTCAGAAATTTTCTCAATTCTTCTGTAGCCACAGACAAACCCATGAATCTGTGTGGAGAAAAAATAATAAAACTGTTTCATATTTTTAAAGTATGAAAAAATACAGGTTCTTATCCAAAACCAGGAGAATAAGTTAAGTAACTATTTTATAATCATGTGCCACCTCTGTGTGAACAGTGTGTGTCTCTCTGCAGGATCTGAGAGCAATCAGAGGCATCAAGCGACATGATTGTTTGGTTAAATTCATGGAAATGGCTGTCAGAGAAGCAGCATTTTTACTTAAAGCAGCTGTAAAGTAGAAACTAATTACCTCTCCTGTTAGGGATAAAGCTTCAGGGGACAGCTGGGCATACGTGTGGGTGTAAACTTATGTCCACTTTTAAAAGTAAACGTTACAACCAACTCTAGTGTTTCTTTTACATCTAGGATGGAGCAGGCGTAGGTTTGAAAAGTCAGACTAGGCGGCCTATTTGAGAGCAAAAGAAAGGCATTAAGAATCGATTTTCAAAGTAAATTAGACATTTTCTTAACATCAATTGTGTATTTGCAACATGCAAGTGCAAGTTACAGTAAAGAGTGTGGTACAACCGAACTTCAAAAATACTGAAATATCCCTTTAAATTAAGGGTGAATGGAATTTGTGTTCCCATATGTAACCTACCTAACAAATTCAGGACATTTCCTGGTCAAGATGAATCACAGTTTTACTTATATTTGCACCAGTTTTATGTATTTCATCCACAGAATACAGTCTTATTTGACTGGTGCAACATTACTGTTGTGTGCAGAGGGCAGATGATCTGCAATAGTCTGGACAGTCGTTTAGAGAAACATGCTGCTCAAATAATGAAAATTCATGAACACGTGCAAAAGACCAAAACAACACAACTGCACAAAAATTTTTTATAAAACTAGTTGTTCCCTTCAGACCTGGTCAGGTATGCCATAAAATTACATGAGTATTTGGGTCAAAACCATCCTAATTTTGAGTGAAATTTTTTAGCACTTTGACATCAGATAACCAATTTGTTTTTGAACTATTTGCAGATGTAACACACACAGTGTTCTTTTGCCTGCAGCGCAATCAGTAAATTGGGTCTATGATGTATGAGTTACTAATACTTTGTGAGTTTAGATTTTTTTTTTCTTGCATCTCACTTTTGCTCGGTGTCGAACACTAAATGCCTCAGATCAGTCTGCATAGACAGTGAGAGTTTGTTATTTCAGCTCAGTCTTCCCCTTCAGCAGCTTACACAGTGTATTTTGATAAGTGTATCCTCTGTACCGTGGGTTGTGTCATTATGACCACTTACGGATGCTCTTCCATTCAGCCTTTTTGTTTTTTGGACTGAACTCCTGAATATTGAAGAAAGTCAGTAACAAACAGTCAGTGCGTTAACATGCACAGCTTATTGGGACTAAGCTCATAATTCGTTTTTTCTTTTTTTTCTTCACCGCATCAGACTTCTCTCCTTGTCCGCGTATACATGCAGCTGAGGAAATTGAATTATTGATGTGAAAGTGTCCTCCTCCACAAAACTAGGGGGCGATATGGGTCTTATCAGCGGCGCTGTTTCCAGTTGACCCAACAACAACAACAGCACATCCGTGCCAGACATCAGAAGTGGCTTTAACTGTTGCTGGGCATTTTTGAGCAAGAAGATGGAGCATTGTACAGCGTTGTTGTTTGCACATGCATTGTCCAATTATACTCCGACTATGCTGTTTACATGGTAAAGAAAATCAAATTCCAATCACATTATCTGGGTGTCTGAATCGGAGTTCTCAACTCTGATTGTAGTCAGACTAAGGTGTTTACATGCACTTCAGTTGTCCGGTCTCAGTCGCAGAAAGGCAATAATTTGGTTTTTTCAAGTGTCATGTAAACGTACTGACTGTTCAGCGTTCAGCACAGTAGTGGACCATGGTCGGTGACAGTTGCAGTCTGCAGCCTCCTGAGAACTGTTGCTTTATTTTGATTCCCAAAGATTCAGAGGTGCTGTTGTCACCAAGTCTTACACCTGATGGACATGTTTTCACACCTCCTTCTGTGAAAACGTGCTGGAGTGTTTTCATCGGAGTCTCTCAAATTTAGAGTTTGCCATATCTGTAGAAAACCACAGGCAAGCTTGTATGCCAGCTCTCCCTACAGTTGAGCTGTACTGACCAGCATCTACTTTAATGGCTAAACACTCACTGGTGTCTGGTGAGGTAACTCATACAACTTTATTTCAAAAGTACCTTAATATCTCTTTTAGCAGATGTGTGTACAGTATATAATAAACTACAACTTTCACAATAAGGGAGTCTGGGAGGCAATGATGTTAATATTTCTCTGTTTTACCGCTTGCCTCATAAATCTTTATGATGTTCTCTAATTCTGTGTTTATACCATGGGAACATCCTTTTTCATTTTCACTAATGCAGAAGCCATCATTCAACCTTCCTCTTCCTCATGAAGGCAGAAACCCTCCCTTACGCCCACCAGACAGAGTATTTCAGGTACATTTGTAAGAGGTGGTTCTAGAAAGAGTTAGGACCTCACCGTCCTATAATTGTCTCAAGTTTTTCCAGATTTCCAGAGTGAAACTCGCCCCAGTAAACCAAACTGTCAGCTCCTCCCTCCTGCACATACTCGTGTCTACATTAATCCGCTCAGTGTGTAGACTGTAGGTTTAGTCCGGCTGGATTCTCAGGACATACAGCAGAAAAGCAGACATGGTTCCAGCAGTAATGGATTATCCCCCTCCTTTAGTGTGAGGCTGTGATAAGCTCCCGGCTGCTCCTTCCTCTCTCTCCTCTTCCTCAGGGCTAAGGGAGCTGTAGCAGAGCTGCTGCCTGCCGTCACAGCGTCTCTGATAGCTTCTTTAACTCTGATAAACTCTGGACTGAAGAGGAGGAGAGAGGCTGACTGAGAGAACCACCAAACTCACAAACCCACCTCCTCTGTCCTCCTCCAGTGGAGCGCAGAGGAAAAACCAGGCCGTCTCGTCTTCTTCTTGGAACGAAAGAGGAATCGGAGAAGAAAGCAACTGTTCAGACACATTTTTTGTTTGTTCGTAGTCTGTAAACTGCTCTTGCATTTTGTACATGTTGCTGAAACGTATGTATTTTTCTCTTAGGGGGCAGTGATCAGTGCACCCTGTCCAGCAGCACTTATTTCAAATCAAATATTTGCGTGAACACTGCCAAAACAGACGAAGTCAAAGATCTTTTTTGTTGATTCATCGAGATCTCATCTCCAATTTATTGCATCCGTTTCGCCAAGTTTTAGCCACCTTTTTTTTCCAAGTGCAAATATCATCTGTGCAGGTAGACAGGCTTTCCTCCATACCTTTAACCATAGGCAGCTGACTCTTTATTCTTTTAGGTTGGACCTGGTTGCATTAATATTTGCTCTGATGTCTGCTATTTCACTCTACAGGCCTCATTTTAAAGGGGTTGTTTGCCTTCCTTTAGATGATTTACCAGCCATTCAAATATCACCAAATATCTTTTAACTCATTCAGTGCCATTGACAGATTTTTCTTTGTTTTTTTTGTTTTCTGTCAGAGGGCGCTCCTCCCCAACATGCAACTAAGTATGGGGTCATACTGAATGCAGAAAAGCCGACAAACACGTGATAACCTTGTTGCTTGCCAGTGAGAAGTGTGTCATCAAGTGTGCCAATTAGCCTAGTTGTGGAGTGTTTTTTATCTATGAAGAGAGTAGGAAAATGCTGAAGTGGATCCAGTGGAGATCCCGGTACCTTCACATCGTCAGCAGGCAATCAAAGAAGTAATTCTCTGGCATGTTGTTGTGCCGCTGGTTCTGGTACTGGTGAACAAAAGTGAGCTGGGATTCAGCGACAGTCCAAGCGAGGAAGACACCAGCAGTCCATGTGGTTTACGTCGCGGCGTCAGGTTCTCGAGAGCCAATACGACTCCCAGCCATCACAAAGTGACCCATCCCAGTCGTATCTCAAGAGTGATGAGGAGTGGTGTCCAAGGGGGAAGGACCTTGATGCCACTGGTAAAGTAAAATAAAATAAACAACACTTAATTGTAGTCTAAGCGCAAGATATCCTGTGGGTCCTGAAAAATACAGAAATTTCTATTGCGGTCGATGGTGGCACTGGGTGAAAATTGCATAAATAAACCTAGCACTAAATGAGTTTAAAAACTGTGCCAAAAACATACGTTTATAAAGTTGCTCTGCAGTACTACCTGAAATATTGGTTTAATCAAATAATAGGTCCCAAACTGGCACTGAGAATGATAAAAAAACAGTATTTTCTGTAATAGTCCAGTTGACAAGTGTAGGTAAAATCATTATTGAATCACATTCAAACTGATTCACAGATTCCTTCACACTGGCTTTAACAAACAAACTGGCTCACAGAGTTGTAGTTGTAGCTGTTCCCAGGCCTGTCCTCTCTCAGGGTAATAACTCAGCTGAGACTGTGACAACAAGCACTGAGGGCTGTTACTCTTTATTGGTGGAAGCTGATGGCTGTCGTCTTTTTTCCCCGACACCACAGTAGAGAAAAAGGAGCCTGAAGCCGTCCAGAGTATTGGCTCCGCAAGCAAACGCCAGCCAACATAAACCAACGTATCAACAATAAAGCAAGGTGATAAAATATTAAAGAATAGAGGGAGAACAATAGAGTCTGCAGACTGAGGTCAAACAGAAGATGAAGAAGCTGTCATCCTCATCGACAGGTAAGCACACTGTTATTTTCTCTACTTTGAGGGGAGGAGAAACTGCAGACATTAAAACTTCAAATGTTCATTTTACAGAGCTTTGCAGAATGTTTAAAAAAATATATATTTTTATGTTTTGCAAATCATTTACAGCCTTGATTGAAAATTGTGCAAAGGCAACATATCAAATGTTGAACTAGGAAACACACAAAGTTTACCATTGTGTGTTAGCAGCTCTTCTTACACCAAAACACTGTAAATGTTAGTGAACCCAGAAGACCAGTTTCTAAAGTTTGGATAGTGAAATGTTGTCCCCTTCTTTCCTAATATAGGATTTCAGCTTCTCAACAGTTCAGGGTCTCTTTTGTTCTACATTTGTTTTGTTTCATAATGTTTCAGATATGTAGTGATGTAGTGATTTCCACTACAAAGTCCTGTCTGCTTTTAATGCAGTGCTGCCCAAGGTCCTGACGATCAGGGCCATCCAGTCTTAGTTTTGGTCGAATAAAATTATGTTCTTTAGATGATAAAATCCACAACCCAGAACATTATTCTGAACTTGCTGGATTTTTTGCTCATGTAGTCTCTCACAGAGTGGTGAACCTCTTCTGAGAGACTCAGCCTCTTGTAAGTGTTCTTATACCTGGTCATGATACTAACCTGTTGTAAATTAACCTCAGCAGTTTGGAGATGTATCTTTAGCTGTTTCTTTTTTTTAAACACACAATGCTTTACCTGTTTTGTGGTTCTTCTCAACTTTTAATAAAGGTATTGTGGGCATTACACTTACAATGAGCATACGTTTCTTATAAAACAACAACATCAAATTTGTTCTTTTTAAAAAAAAAAAAAAAAAGTTGCTTAAATTTCATTTTCAAAAATAGAAAAATGTAGTATTTACAGTATTTATGTTATTGCCACAGAAACTTCCTAAATATAGCACAGTGCTTCACGCATGTTGCTTTGAGATGGGTTCAGAATAGGTCTTATATTTCTAGATGGGACTTAATCTCTTTCCATCCTGAGGTTGTGTCTTTGTAATACATTAAAAAAAAGAGTTTGGTCTAGATCTACTCTTGAGATAACAATTGTTGTAATTTGGCACAATATAAATAGAACTCAGTTGTTTGAAATGATTCATTGAAATATGTTGACTGGATAAAAGTTAACAAGTGTTTGAATTCATTTCCCGCAGGTTGAACTCTGCAGTGTTTCTGTATATTGAGGATGCCCCTATCAGCAGTCCCATTCCTTCACTATGTGATTGTGTTTAATTTCTTGGTGGTCGCTCTGCATTAAAGCTTCTGTCAAAGGGACGTCACAGGAGATAAGGTTATAATATAATACAGTGTTTGGCAGAAATCCAGCAGGACTGAAAAAATATTTGTTTCAAAGTGAGCTGCAGCATCTGCTGTGACTCTTCATCACGACTCTAAATGACATGACATCGACGCCTTTGTAATCTCTCCTGGTTGGGGAAAAAGTTTGTCTGACTTTTTATGATGCCGCTCAGTTTTTCCATTTGCTGGTTTATAATTGAGAGCATGAATCACAAGTCATCACTGAGGAGGAAACAAAACAATGTCAGGTTTATCTACAGTGGCCCTGAGCTGAAAATGAAAACGGAACATCAGAAAAACCAAGTGACAAAGACAGACTAATAAACTAAAACAACAAAATCCAATGAAAAAAAATCTTCAAACTAAAACAAAGAAACGGGAAACAAACTTAAAAAACAACACAGTAAAAAAATCACATCTTTAGTGTGCACATAAACACAGCACTGGTTTGATCTACCACTGCAGAAACCTCTGACTTTTAATTCTCCACATTTAAAAGATCCATCCCCTCTACATTGTTCTTATTGTGCTCTGAAATCAGCTGATAAGTTTTAATTTCCAAAATCTGACCTTAGAGACAACAAACTGTGCTCATGTAGGTATGGTTTTCTAACCATGGCTTGACTCCAGCTGTGGGTTCTGCTATACTGTCAGCCTGTTTCCCACAAATTTAACTCAAACTACGACCATAAACTTCATACAATTATGATGTCTTTATGTAATAAGTAACAAAGCCTACCTGTTGCCTACATGATTTATGCTAACTTTTTATCTTATGTAAGTCACCTTTTAGTAAATATCTGCCATGACACACCCTTAGAATAAAAGCATTGAAACAAGAGGAGCCTGTCCACAGAATGAACAGATCAGGCGTTTTCTTTCAAATTATTGCAGGGAGTTCATATTGTATTTTTTATGCTTGTGACAGAAACAAGGCTGAAACACTGACAATAAAGCCATTAGCTTATCATTTCTAGATTCACTTTTGCAGAGATCAGTGAGCAGAAAACTTGCAAGCCTTCTCTTCTGTTGATTTTTGGCGTTGAACTTCCACCTTTCACACCAGGGTTTGCTCTAGCCCCATCCTGACAAAATATAGTGTGTATTCACATTCAGATATCAAACTAATGAACAAAACTGATTTAACCAATAAAGAAATGGTGTTTTATGGAAGAAAAAGTGGCAACAGAAACCCTGTTAAATGAAACGTTAAATGCAGCAGTTCCACCTTTTCTTTGCTGCATGAATCCCTTTTTGCTGAGCTGTATTTCACCACCATTTCATTCCTGAGGTGTGTTACAGAACTCTCTCTTACATCTCTGTTTTCTCTGCTTTGAAAGTCCTTCAGTCACAGTTTCTACAAACCCGAGGTTGTGCAGAACTAGAAAATGAGTCCAGTCTGCCGTGTGCTGCAGAAACTGCTGTTATATTTCAACAACATAATGGCTCACCAGTGGATTTTACTGCACTACAGGATCACATACCCATGGAGACATACAGGTGTGTGACAGTCAGCAGGACTGCATGTCCAAAACAGAGCAGAGACTCTGCACAGACTTGTTTTCTTTAGCCTGATAGTGATATGTCCTGTCATGATGTGTGTTTCTAGAAATGTTTTGTCTTTGACTTAAACAGGTTTGTCCTGGACTGACAGTCTTACTGCCATCTTTGGCTGGTGAAGGTCAGAGACTAACAGCAGTTATATCAGTCATACTGTATAACAGCCTGAGCTTTCTGTGAGTCTGTACCAATGCCTGTTTTGTACCAAGCTTCACTTCCTTACAGACTGTAAAAGCAGAAGCTTAGTGACTCATGCAAAACTTCCTCAGTATGTTTACTGTTGCAATCTGCTTTCCACACAAAACACCCTCAGTGTCAGCTACTGTTGTTGCACTTACAGTGCTTATGTTTGAAGACGGTTTAACCTTGTCAGTAGGTTTACCTGCACAGTTAAGTTAAAGCACTGTTCGGGCTTGGTTGGGGGTTTGATTGGAATACTGACTTTGTCCCAGTGCTTGTATAAGTGATCCACGACCACCAATGTTGTGCATGATTGCACGTACATGAATACATTCACTGGATGTGCCAATATCACTTTGAACAGTGACTCAATTTGCAACTTATAGACATGAGCTTGAACTGTGAGGACAGTGAACAGCTGCTCACATCACAGAAGGATCTGAGAGGAATGAAGAGTTGCTGAGCTGCTGTGTTTCCAAAAGCTGAAGTTGGACTAATGCTGCATTCCAGTTACTTCGGAAGTCGGATGTTGGAGCTGGGAATGACGTTACACCCGAGTTGATGGTGTTCCAGTGAACAAGTCGGAAAACCAAGGTGAACACCTGCAAAGTGGAAAAGTGTTCTGTGGTCTGACGAGTCCACATTTCAAATTGTTTTTGGAAATAATGGACGTCGTGTCCTCTGGGCCAAAGAGGAAAAGAACCATCTGGGCTGTTTTCGATGCAAAGTTCAAAAGCCAACATCTGTGATGGTATGGGGGTGCATTAGTGCTCAAGGCATGGGTACCTTACACAACTGTGAAGGCAACATTAATGCTGAAAGGTACATACAGGTTTTGGAGCAACAAATGCTGCCAAGCAACGTCTTTTTCATGGACGCCCCTGCTTATTTCAGCAAGAAAATGCCAAGTCACATTCTGCACGTGTTACAACAGCGTGGCTTCGTAGTAAAAGAGTGTGGGTACTCGACTGGCCTGCCTGCAGTCCAGACCTGTCTCCCATTGAAAATTAATGTGGCGCATTATGAAGCGTTAAACCCCGGACTGTTGATCAACTGAAGCTGTACATCAAGCAAGAATGGGAAAGAATTCCACCTTCAAAGCTTCAACAATTAGTCTCCTCAGTTCCTAAACGTTTATTGAGTGTTGTTAAAAGGAAAGGTGATGTAACACAGTGGTAAACATGCCCCTGTCCCAACTACTTTGGCACGTGTTGCAGCCACAAAATTCTGAGTTACTTTTTATTTGCAAAAAAATAAAAAACAAAGTTTATGGGTTTGAACATTAAATATCTTGTCTTTGTAGTGTATTCAATTGAATATAGGTTGAAAAGGATTTGCAAATCATTATATTCTGTTTTTATTTACATTTATCACAATTTCCCAACTTCAATGAAATTGGGTTTTGTACATTTCACAATAAATAACATTGTTGACTCATAATTGTGATATTATCAGATCAGGATTTTTCAGTAATATTGCATCAGTTTTTTTAAATATTTAGGATTTTACTTGTATGCTGATCACCGGCAGCTCATCCTCATGGCACAGTTTTCTCCTGAAGATGGATCTGCAGCAGAAGCTCTTTCTGCTCCACATCCACCAATGGGCACAAGTGTAATGTGCAGAAAAGTGCAAAGGTCTATTCAATTTTAACTTGCAGTGATACATCATTGTACTTGTTTCGTATGACAACAGCACGACTCCTTAAACCTTGTATGATGTATTATTCAAGAATTCTTTGTTAAACTGGGAATCACAGATGTGTTTAGATTATATGCTAAAGCAAATTGAAAAACCAGCTGTATCTTTGTAAAATTCAATGAAGAAATAGTTCATATTACGATCTCTCCTGTGACCTGAGGGCTGAATACTGGGCATTCACAGCATTCTCTCAGTCAAACTCAGCATATGCAATGTGTGTATGGATATTGTTAGATTTCCCCCGTCACTTTCTGCTATATGGAGGTGTTGTGGTGATCAGCAGGGTGTTGGATGTGTCAGACAGCAGTCTTTGTGTCCTCCTTCTCTGAGACTCTGCAGGGAAACCTGTCTGTCGCTCAGATTCCTGACTGTGTTTAATAGTTTCCATGGAGGGTGTAAATAGCCTGTGGGCTCCTGTAGCTTCCGGCTGTCACTAAGCTAACCTTTAAGTTGTCATGGTTACTGTAGAGCGTGTATGTGTGTGAGACACTAGTCTGACTATACTTTGTGTCTCTCTGTTTTTTTTTTTTTCATCTGTTTTCTTTAACTTTGGATTGATTGGTATTTCTGTATTGGTGATTACATAAGTGACACTTTAGTTCAAATTTTACTTGAGTGTTGGTTTTTCTGACACCTTTAAAGTCTAATTTCCTTTTATTAGTTTGAAAATGACTGAAGTAAAATCAAAGTGTCAACACTGTTTACTTCATATTAAGTGTCTAAGTTTTCACACAAAGACAATAAGCCCGACCCCCCTGGGTTTTAGTTTCACCTGAGGACCTGTGATCATTTGTAATAACTGTGAAGAATGTCTGCATTTTTAAAGTGGAATTGACCATGTTTGTAATATGTTAATTTAATTTGAGGGCAAATCACTAACCATATTTCAGAAACAAAAGTAAGTCCTCTGATAATATTAGAGCCATCTGAATCTTCTTTTTCTGCCTTTTCCAGATAAAAATTACAATTCACAGTAGCAAAATTATCTGCATGTAGCACAGCGTTGATCAGTAAATATAATCAAAACAACAGTGAAGATAAACGTCTTTTCCCCACCAATCACAGGGTACTCATGGTGAGATAAATGCATTTCAAGATGTAAAAATGGCAAATATTACATGTTATACAGTATCTTGGCCAAATATATGTCTGGGACTGATGCATTGCTGTACAACATTTGTTCATATATACTAATTAGAAAAATTAAAATGTTTTTTGGGAGGGGGATTACAGTCTTTTTCATAGTTTGGTGCTGGTAAACTGATTATGATTATTCATAGTCATATTAGTCAGAGCTTTTGTCCGACTAATATGAATAAATGATAAATGTTAACAGTCAGTCTGTAGACAAATAATAATAATAATAATAATAATAATAATAATATTGATAATAATAATAATAATGACAATAATTCTGATGGAGATCCGTGTGCAGAAAAAGCAAACTAACAGACAACAGACGATGCAGATGTTGAAGAGTAATTACATGGATGATGTGCTTAGGAATATTTTTAGCCTTTAAATAGATTAATGGCCTTCATAAGCAACATTGCCTTCACATTGCAAAGTGCACCACAAGAGCTGCACTTTATTTATTGTTGCCTGACAACCAAATCACATGTACAGGCACAAACAACTGCTGGAGGCGGAGAAGAAAAAGCCAGGACCTGGGCTCAATCTAAGTTTATTGTGATGTAGCCAATAAACTTTTACTGTTTAACAGATATGGACATGTACTTCCTTTCAACACCTTCTAGCAAGCTGTTCTCTAACCTCAGAAACAAGTTAAGCAGTCTTGTGGTGTTTTCAGTCACATTCTGGCAAATTTGGGTTTGTTACATACTTAATTTATTCCCTGCAAATGTCCAACCCAGACATCGGGAGGTGATTCGTGGTTTACCAGAGGTCCCCATGTAATACTAATCCCATGCTTAAGTCACCAAGAGCAATCTGGGATTTAGTGTCTTGCACAAACAAGCTTTGGTGTGTGACTAACATAAGCCAACCCTCCAATTTAGAGGCAACTAACAGCTATGAAGCCCAAACCATGTCCAGAAAGCTCACACAAGCAACACAAGCAATGAAAAGAACACCGAAATACAGACATAAAAAGACGTTGTATTACTCTCCACTTCTATAAGGGTGCTGTGAGATGTAAGCCAAACAGTCCTCATTATGTGCAAGAGCAACTCTCTCTATAGCCATAGTTTTTCCTTAGAGGGTTGTTGTTTAAATTGAGTGACACTTAAAGAGATGATGTACTGCAGCTTTAAGCAAGTGCCACTATGTTTTACTAAATGCAACTGAAAAACCAAAGAGATAAATGTACCATCTTGAGGGATAACATTTCAACAAGCATATGCATAATTGACATATTTTAAAACTTGATGGAGCTCTGCCGAGTTTAAGACAATATAGCAGGCCATTAATGCGTGCCGAGCTTTGCAGGAGTCATGGGAAATGAAGGCACCACCTGTCGATGATGAACACAGCAGGAGAGAGGAGGAGGAGGAGGTGGCAAGAAGTCAGATAGAGAGAAGGATCGAGAATACAGAAGAAGGTGTTCTCCTCTTGTTAACAAGCTGTCAGATCAAAGGTAAGCAGGACAAAAGCTCTTTCTATCCAAACCTGCACTCACCTCTTCCCCTTCTCCTCCACCCACCACCACCACACTGTGCTCTGTTGGACTGCTCGCAACACTCGCACTGAATAAAGACACAAATAAAAATGAAGAGGGCCCAGGTATTTATCAAGTGATGCAGTCGGATATTTTCAGAAACTCAATGGTCAATTTGTGCTGCACAGATTCAGCATAAAGCCACTTCATATGAGAGCTTTCAAATTTGCTGAAGTAAACAGGGACTTTTTTTTTTTTTCAAGTGGAGTGAGCTCGTACAGAGAACGGTAATCCAGGAAAGCACAAGGAGCCAGTGCAATGGTTGATTAAGTCTGAAAGAAAACATTTGAGGACTCCGAGTGCAATGCAATGTAACGCCGGGTAGATCGTGTCCACCCAAACCCTCTTTTAAATCACATAATGGAAAATCTCAAAACCCTGTAGTATATCACAAAATAACTATATATAACTAATAACTACTACTATAGACAGTAAAAAGACAAATAAAGGACCAGTGAGTTAGCAGCCAATTAAACTCCTATTTAAAAAGGGCTGGAATGAAGTGTTGACAAAAACAGATTTTGATGGTTTACAAATGTTTATTGAACCAAAAAATGCTTAGAGACATCAATTTATTTATTTTATATTGTTCAGCATTAATGGAGCCTTCCCAAAAGTGTAAGCTACCCATGCCGTGGACACTTATGCGTTCCCATACATTTAGGTATGCTGACTATAGAGGGACTAAGGCCCCATTTATACGTATGTTATTTCTAAAAACAGAGACATTGACCATCGTTTGCACCCTTCGTATACACACAAACCGAGAATTCACTCCTGAAAATGAAGCTTTTTAAAAACTCTGGCCAGAGAGGAGATTTTGGAAAACTATATTTGCACATTTGCATGTAAACAGAGAAAAAATGAGATTTGGGTTGCTGATGGCAGATCGTGCGCAGGAAAAAAGTTAGGGTTGTTGTTGTTGCTGCTGCTATGCAGGACTCTGACCGGCTAACGTGGGCTTGAGCTTCTTACTACACTGCCACCTACAGGTTTGATATACTCTTGATGGCATATATGCACGGGTCAGTGTAAATGAAAACTTTTCTGAAAACATAGTGGTGTGCATGCAGTTTTTTTTTTTTTTTTGGAAATGCAGAGGGTGAAATGTCTGTTTATGAAAATAGTCGGGCAAGTGTAAACATAGTCTAAGTGTCCATGATTCCAAAAAAGAATGTAAAGTTATGGGGTACCAATGGACCCATGTATAGATGTTGTAGTTCTCCTTGTCCTCTCTTCAGCTGGCCTCTCTATTAAAGGCAAAAATGTCCCAAAATATTTTTATAAGTACAGAATGTCAAATTTTGAGAAATCAGATCACAGAACAGTTTTCCACCCATGTTCGGATTCACAGAGGTCTCAGGTGTTTCTGATCTTTATAAATGCTTTCATCTTTGCATGGTACAAAGGTTACATTTACTGCACTGCTATATTAATGGCTCCACTACTATTTTACAAATAAAGTAAGATCCAGTGACCAGCTCTTACACAAAACTGTTGATTACAGTAAGCTGAAAGTTTGGGGTATCTGATCTAGAGACTACAGGTTACCTTTGGTGGCTGTGTTAGACTCTAAAGGTTCTGAAAAGAATGGTTTTGGGACACCTTGGGAATGACAACAAGCTGGAAAGTTTATGTCCCTTTCAGGAAGGCTGGACAAGATAGATTCATCCATTTTCCTATGGCTCCTGGTACAATAGAAAGTAGAAGTAGGGCTATTAGTTGAAGGCCTGGTTTACATTGTACAACTCTGTGCAGAGCCCCAGCAGAATTCACAAATCTCTGAGCAGTTTGACCAAATGGAAGCTAACAACCACAGTTATTTAGTTTTGACAGAAAAATGATACAACCCAAACATTTCAGACATTAGAGGTTTGGGAACACACTCTCTGCTCTGATCAATCAGTGTGTGTCCTGTTCCTCACTAATGGAAGCTCTGGGGTTTGCAGGCCGCCTCTGGCAGGTAGCAGGTTGTTACTTCAGGCTGATGGCTATGAAAGCAGTGGACGGTATGAATGCCAGGGGGACATGTGAACATTTTTGTCAGCCATGTGAATCATTACGCTGCACCAGGCCAGCATGTTGTCGTGGAGAAAAAATGTCCCTGGATAAAGGATAAAGCCAATGGTATGGCTTGAATAAATCTCCTTTCAGATCTTTAAAAAGAGCCTCTTTGCCTTTTCTATGTAAAATTTTCTGAGGCACTCTGTTAAGTATCACAACTTTTTGAAATCTACAACCTGACAGTTTGGCTCACTGCAAAGGTGAGAGGGTATGCAGGGTTGGGGCTGCTTTTTCATCTTGAACACTACCAATTTCTTCACTTTTAATATCAGTAATAATGTTTATTCAGGATACTTGCAGAAAATATAAAACGCACTGCCTCTCTAAAGAGTTACAAGCACACTACTCATGTAACAAAGAAAGAAAACATTCACTTATATGAATTTACTGGGATGTTACGTTGCCTCATGAGACTGTTTTTAAGTCAATGCACATAATATCACTTCCAGGTATGAGTTCAGTGTCTTGTGTTGCTATTGTCAGCTTTGCCTTTCCCATACGTTTTACCCAAGACAACATCATCAAATTGATTGTAGTGCTAGTTCAGGCATTCCACGAAGTCAAGCTCCAACTACAATGCATTTATTTTAAACAAAATACAAAAGGAGACAGACAGACAAACAAAAAAAAAATTGATGGAATATACACTTTTCTTTATAAAGGGACTCTTTATCACAACACACAAATAAAGTGCTCTTGCCATGAATTCTTTATTATTTGTCTTTTTATCATTTTATGTGGCATTGTCACATTGTTTTACTAATTGTTAATATCGCACTATGTCAATAGATTACACTCTGCAATACTGCACAGTGTGATTGTTATAGTCATTGTTCATACTGAATATTGTTATTATTGTTTTGCTATTGTTGCACATTGGCATTGCACTTAAGTTGTCAGTCTAGACGTACGTTTTGAGAAAATCTAATAAAAGTATGCGTCCTTAATTTACATCAAGCTGGGAACACAACTGTGTACAGACAGAAAAGAAAGAAACAGAACAAAAAATTATAGTGGAAGATGTCTAATCTGGTGTCATTTTGTTGTCAAATTTATGCACTTACAGCTCAAATGTCCCAGGGTTACTCTCATTAGAAAAGGATTTTTTTGTAGGTACTAAATTATTACATGGACCAGAATAAGCTATAAGAACAGACAGAGGAGAGGAGATCAAAAGGTACAAGAGGGAGACTGCACAACAAAATATTTTCTGTAACCTGATGGTGTTTCGGTTTAAACACAGCGTAGAACTACCCTTTGCCTTCATGATCTGTGACAATGATTAGTTTAAAACAGCTTCATGAGTGACTTTATTTCCCAGTTATCTGTCCTGGACAATATTTAAGGATAAAACTGCTGTGGCTTCCCTCCACAAGAACAAAACAGATCACAATTGTAGTTTAAAAAGCATTCCTAAAGGGTTAACCCACTCATTTTTCAAATGACAACACACAACATAAATGCAAACTCCACCATGCAGATGCAGACTGCTGCAAATGTAATGCAAACATTTTAAATCATCACAAACATCACAAAAACAATGAAAACAGCTACACTAGGAGTTTAAATGGGCCTCCTATAACCAGTGTTTTCAACACACTGTTATTCCTGACAGACATAAATATAGATGTAAATCTAAGTAAAACATTGATCGCTTATTCACACTTACTATGATGGCTATCAGATTTTTTAAGATAAGCAATTTCTTTCAGCATCAAGTTTTCCATGTTACCCGGTGTTCTCAGGTTGCCGAACATAGAACTACTGAGGAACAGCCTTTAAAGTCCCCCTCCAATGTTTCTTTTTACTACTTAAAGTGTTATCAGTGGTTGTGAAATTGTGATTATGACGTTTTTTTTGCCAAAATCACACTACTTGTGTTATTTTCGAGGGCTTTTCTTGTGCAGAGCTCCAGTAACTCATTAGCAATCCACCTCTGAGTCATAGGTCGAGACAGCGCTGCTCTGCACACTCGTCTTCACGCTAGTTTGCAGCCTCACATTGCTTGTGCAGTAAAAGTGGCAGGTAACATAGGAGCTATTCAGCTCTCAGCCACTAATGTCGTTAAGGGCATGATGAAAGTAGATATCATAATAAGCTTTCTTACGAGCATTACAATCCGCTAACGCACACACTTCTTCTGCGATCATCCTCTGTACTTCTCCGAGTCTGGCCTGCATAGCGGGGCTCGGGGGGCAGAGCTTGGTTTTGTGCTTAGGAAATCTCACTGTATCTGAGCCTGCTGTTTGGGTATGCGATTTGAATGCTGAAATACTAGAAATGCAATTTCCCTCTTTTTTTCCTCATGACATGTCCTGTAACATCAGAAAAATGCCATATGAACACGTAGACAACAAGAAAAACCTGATTTTCACCGGCGTCGGAATTTTAAGCCTTTCCAGTATAATGCAGTTAGGGTTTGCATTGTCCAGTTAAATATACTTTTTAGGCTGTAGAAGTTCAAACATTTGAATAGAGTGAACAAAAGTTTCCACCCAGACCCCTATGTGCTAATTTGTGACATAAACACTCACAGTTGCAAGAAGCTTGATTTGAACAATTAACCTTAAATAGTCTCAGCTGTGACCCAGTCCACTAATCATTAAAAGTTCGTCTCTTATTTCAAGAAAAGACCTCAAGTATTCAGCAGCTCACACATTTTTCTTGTTTTTAGTTAACATGTTGTCTTATGGCTAAGATAAGTCTATTAAAATGATCATGAAGAACAGAGTCAGGGTGCACAGATTTGTTGCAAACTTCAGGGAGCTTAAGTGTTTCCCTCCCTAGCCATGAAAGGAAGCAAGGTGCCGTCTGCACCACACTTCAAACCTGAAATAACAGCTTCTTAGTTTCATTTTATTGCCTGTCAATTTTCTCCCCAGAGTAATCCCCTGAATAGAAACTCTTAACAGGCACTTGCCACATTGAAGGATGTAATTAAATGGAGTCAGATGTGAATGCACAGCTCTTTAGACTAAATATATCCCGTTTGAGGTGCTGTTGGTGGGTGGAGGCAGACAGTGACAGACATTCAGGTAGAGGAAGCTGCCAGCTTCACTCTCAGCTCAAAGCAGATGTGAGAGGCAGCTTGTTCCTCTTGATTAATGTCCTCCAGCACTTTACTACTCAAGGCTTCAAATAGAGGTTTGATGCAGATAATAAGACACCCTCTGGAATTAGAAAAAATAAGGGAAAACTGCCAGACGGAGGATGCAGAGCTGTCTCTGAGTCAAACAGCTGTGGCTGCCTGTGTTTATGAGGACCCTCTAGGGGAGAGGACTAAGACTTTTGCACTCATCAAATGACTTGTTGATTCTCCTCTTATGGGAAAAACCAGGTAAAGTGAGAGATCACCTGAAAGTGGGACTCACTTTTCAAACATTTTAGGGCAATACGAAAAAGTATTGTAAAAGTCTGAGAAAAGCAGGATAATATTGATTACTATATTGTATAGTTGCCATTAGTTACAATAATAAAATAGTGTGATAAATTTGCAGTGGGTGAAAAATCAGGACTCTAAGCAGGCCAGTTAAACAGCAGCATACTCCTGCCACAGATGTTGCAATACCTGTAGAGTGTGTTCTACAGAAATAAGGTCCTCCCTGAAAGTCATTGTCTGGATCAAAGCACATGGTACCACAAAGCCTGTTTAGATTGTTCAGCATTTATGGAGCCTTCCTAAATGTGTAAGATACATATGCCAGGGACACCTATGATCCCCATGCTATCAGGGACACTAGCTTTGAACTGATAATAAGCCGGGTGGTCCCACTTGTCTTCGCAGAGGAGGAAGCAGCATCCATGACTTTCAAAAAGAATGTCATATTTCAGTTTCTTAGACCACAAGACCAGGTTTTGAGAAGTCTCTGGTGTTTCTGGATCATGTTTATAGTTTCCTCTTTACATGTTTCGGTTTGAACCTGTATTTGTGGATGCAGTGATGATCTGTGTTCATAGACAGTGTTTTTGGAGACTTTGGAGACTGTGGAAATAATCAACATTTACAAAGAGCAGATACAGAACACAGTAGACAACATCCAAAATAATCAGAATTTAACCAAGGCAGTTACAACAATCAGAGTAATAATCTGATAATAGAGATTTAAATTCTCCATGAGGGAGTCCAGTTTGAGGACGGATTGTAGTTCATATCATTTGAATGGAGCATCATAGCAGAAGCCTGATCTGCCAAAAATAACAATGGATGTCTAAGGTTAGATAATTATACTGGAAGAGAAGTGAGGCAATTCAAAAGTTTCTGAAGCAATGCTTTGTAACATAAGATGAATATTTTTACTGGACTGTAGGGAGGACCAGCCAACATTTCGACACAGTGAGAAATACTGTCTATAAAAATTGTCACTAGTAATCAAACATATTGCACTTTGATAGAGCGGGTTTATCTGTTGAGGAGTTGATGCTTGCATGACAATACAAGCTATCCCCATAAGGACAGACATGAAGGATGATAGTACGATCAGGGTTTCCCCTACATACAACTAATCGTGGCACACCGCCAGGGCTAAATAAAAGCCGCCACACCAAAAAAAAAAGAAAAAAAAAAATCAGTTTTTATCTCGCATAGTTCTACCTCGGACTCATATGTATCAGCAGTGTTTCCCCTAATTACATGCACCGCTACTGAAATTTCACATGATAATTAATATCAATGCACCACTAATGATTTCTACTCGCACCGTGTGAGCACAACAACACACAACGTTATTTCTGACTTGTTGTGAGTCATCAAGGAGCGCATCAAATCCTGTTGGACCCTCTTCTATCAACGTGAAAGGTAACGTTCAAGCTTATACATGGTCTACATAGCGAGTAGCATTAATAGCATTAGTAGCATTATTATCAATGCAGCACTAATGATTTCTACTCGCACTGTGTGAGCACAACAACACACAATGTTATTTTCGTTATACTTTAGTGGCCATTATATTTTACTATGAAAAAAAACTTGATCTTTTAACAGTTTCTTGGGATCTTGTAAAAGTTTTTTTCTGACTTTCACTGAGTATCTTTGATCTTCAAAAAGTTTCTTGGCCTCTTTTATCTCCATGGTAATCACGTCTACTTCGGCTTCGGATAAGTTATTATTTATTCTACGGACCTTTGAATGTTTGCCTTTCAAAATAACACTGGCTCACAATCAATACCCTGACATTATTACAATTTCAGCGTTACACCAACTCCAGCCCTTTGGAAAACCATCATAACTGAGTCTACGTAGGTACACGGAAAGTCTTTGGCAGCATTGATGCTCACCATAAACTGTACCACCAAGGTCAGAATATTTCATTGGAAGTCAATGATCCTTATAAGATGCTGTCACAAAGGTATACTCTCCAGTTTCTAAAGCAGAGAGCAGCTTCTGTTACAATGTTTTCAGGTCTCTCTGCAGCCGTATCGGCCAATCAGGCAGAGCCGCTGAGGTCCTGTACATACCCAGTGAGCGATCTGGCTCCACAGGGAGGAGGATTGATTACTATGTCTGAGGAAATCAGGTCTTGTGGAGGAAAGGCAGGGGGCGGGGGATTATCCTGCACCACACTGAGACACCGCTCAGCCAGGTGACATTGGGGATAGAGGGCTGTGTAATAGCTGCTATACAGTATCACCACAACCATCACCAGCACCCCAGGGACACTGACAGGGCCCCCAACTACCATCCGCCCACATGCTTCCCTTGAGGCTGTATCATTTATCACCCTGAATCAACCCTAATGAAGTGATAATGCAGCCGCACGTTCACGGAGGGTGGCATGAGGACAGGATGTGGTGAGAGAAGGAGGGTCCCTATGAAGGAGGACTTGTGTTTCAGAGCAAGAGTGATGGTGTACTGACAGAGTCCAACATGCTCAGAATATAAACAACAGAAATCCAATGCATACAAATGTGTGCAAAGCTGCTGACACCTTTTGGTCTACTGTTGTCAAACTGAATGCAGGAAAAGCAGGAAAAGTAGATCCCAAAACTTCAGTTTTAGGAATGTTTGCAGACATTTTTTGCTGAGTTGCGATATCATTTAATGTCTTTAACGTACAAGTTCACAGGATTTTTCTTTGCATTTGTTTTGTGTAGCCTCAGCACAGTTTTTCTAAATGCAACATATCCTTTAAAGTGAACCATTTCAATTGCAAATGAGTCAGGACGTCATCTAGTCTTCTCTCTCTCTCTCTCTCTCTCTTTCTCTCTCTCTCTCTCTCTCTCTCTATATATATATATATATATATATATATATATATGCTTTTTGCTCTCAGTAAGCTTTGGCTGTATGCAGATAATGCTTGCATAAAGAGAGCAACTGCATCCTAAAGGTAGTAATCTGAAAATAATTTAGCTCTGGTTAAAAAAAATCTGCATCCAAGTGCAGCTAATTTCCCATTCCCTCTTTACTCCATCCATATTCTCATTTGAGGTTGTTTGTCCTTCTATAGACAAAGGTGATGCATGGAAGATTTTATCGCTGACCGCAGGCTGCATCAATAAGCCCCCAAAGTTGTCCATCAGTTTCAAAAGCAATAACTTTAGTAAATCACTTCTGAGAGTTTCTGAGTTTTGGGGAAAAGACAAAACTATTGGCAACACGTTTTCTCTTCAATTTATGGACAAATTAGTTTAGATACCACAACTCAGTCAGCTCCTGAAATGAGATCATTTGGGTCGAAAAAAACAGTACCAGTGCTGCTCACGAATGACTCCAGGGTTCTTTTTGCAGTAAATACCAAACACTGACATTGGTTTTAAATTGGTCAAATTGGCTTCCAAAAGCAAAACATGTTCAAATAAGTTTTTTTTTGCAAGTTTCAAATGTCTGATGCATAAATATTTGAAAAAAGTAGAGTTGGATTATGTATCATATAATTGATCATATATATCAGGAAGCATTAGTATGAGACACTCTTCGTTCTTTAAAGATTTCTCAGGGGGGAAAAAAGGTTGAAACTGTCTCTCTGTGAGATGATTTCCATTGTGTTACATTAAGTGTAATTTAGCCGAGTCGCTGATCAGTAACTTGTGCATCATAGACCTCATTAGCTTATCAGTTGGCTGATATGTGTTGCATCCGTACAAAACTAACAGGCTTCATGATGGCTAATGGCTAATAAATAAATAAATAAATAAATGAATAAATATCAGTTCAGGGTGCACTTAAACCAAGTTGAGTGCTCGGGTCGAGCATCTCTTATAAGTACTTCAATAACAAAGTAGACTTGACCCCATCTGCAGAAAACTGTACCCTGGCTTGGATGCCAGTTCCCCTTACGTAGCAGTTTTTCATTAAGGGGGCTGAGCTGACCAACATCCATTGAGGCTTATACTAACTAGTGATGTGTAATCAATGCAACCCCACCTCTTAAATCTATTAAAGAAGTTTGCTGCCACACCCGATACACGCAGGAGTGGTGCTGACACAAACAAAGAGGCATCTTTCTCAAGCAAGAACCGATTTGAGGCCAAGGCGAGTACTTCAGGAAAAAAAAGGAAAAGTGAGTTAAAAACTTGCTTTTCTTCACCCTCACAAGAAATTCTCAATTGATTAATGGATCACACTCAAGGCTCATTTATGCTCAACATACGTATGAAAATGTACGTGTCCGTTTCAGACGATGGTTCTGTCGCTGCCCACAAACTTCCATGCGTCCAGGGGGCAGGCCGGAGTCAAAAGTTTCTGACGACAACAAACAAAAAGAAACATGGCGACTGTGGAGGAACAAGTGATGATTAAAATTTTGCATAGGAGACAGAAAAGGAGGCAGCATTGGAGGAGGCGGCGGTCAGTCAGGCCGCTAAATGCGTCGTGGTTGGAGGATGGCGAATTCTTTTCCCTTGTTGTACGAATGAGAGACATTGATGACAATCGTCATTTTCAGTACTTCAGGATGTCCACCGGGTAGTGGCAGCAGCAACACTGCCCCCAAGGTTTACGGTGGTATTGCTCCATCTGGCCCGTATTTGTAAACTTCAAGGATACATGCAGAAATACGGACGAAAAGAGCGCAAAGCACAGACAGAGAGCGCCATCCCTATCCAGATCCGTATGTAACGTTGGGCATAAATGAGCCTTTAGTCTGAACAATAGGGGGTAGTCCACGTGGATCATGGATCAAGCGTGGACCATTTTCCCATTAATTCTACCCTTGCATCTTGTAATGAGGATACATTTCTATAGTTTTATGCAGCTAGCAATGTTTTGTTGAATACAGAAGCCACAGACCTCATGGTTAACACCTTTTAACAACACTGCCCACCACAGGACTCAAAGTTTATTTAAGTCCTCAAAATAAAAAAAATAAAACATTTCTACCAGCTATCAGACCCTGCTCGGATACTCTTTAGGATTGGTGAATGGAAAACAAAAATTAATAGCATAGATTAATAAAACTTACACAGGCCATCTATACCCATCGACCTGAAGTGGGACAGATCCCTAAAAACATCCTGCAAGTCCTTTAAAAACCTTGTCAGTGTCTGGGGCTCTCTTGGCTGCTATGAAGTCTATAAAATGCAAGAGGCAGCAGGCTCAGTAACATTTCCAAAATGATCAATACTTGGGAAATCAGTTGTATTTCCATAGAGTTTACAGGACTGATGTTAGCTCCAGGCCAAGGTAAGATTAAAGCAATGTGAGGGTGTTGTTGAAGGGGGGTCATGGGGTAGCGGGACTGCCGAGACGACTCGTAAAACACCAGGCCATTATCGTCATGCTTTAATGCCGAGCTTAGCATTCAACACATCAATTTCATCCCGCTGCGGCTTAGAGTTCATTTGAAATTCAGTTACAGTTTCATATTACAGCGGCAGAGGGGTGGGAGAGGTGAGGAAGGGGGGATTACAGAGAGAAAGAGAGAAAAAGAAGGGTGAAATGGCTGAGGCCTTCAAGGCGAAACAGTGATGTGGTAATGGTTGTAATTTTGGCCCCACGCCCAGGGCACATAAGCAGCAGGAACACATTAGAATAAAGAATCTGTTTCTTTTGTGTTTTCAGAGCGGACTCAGGTTCAGCTCGGAGGTCAGCCACATCTGATGGGATAGAGGAAGGATGGAGAGAGGGAGGAGAGGAAGATGTACAGGAAAAAAGACAGACACATATAATGCTTGACCACCCACTACCATGAAGTGTCAATTCCACTCTTTCAGCATGTGTCTAAATTCTTGAATCAGGATGCAAAAAAAAAAAAAAATCAAGGTAAATGTTTCTGATTGAAGTCTCTCAAGTAAAATCTATTTTTTCTGTAACTGGCAGGCTTAGATTGTTATTGACAGCAAGAAATGTATGTAGTATCAAGGTGGGGATGATTATTATAGGAGTCAAACTGCAATAGTTAGATGTCGGGGTCAGAGCAAAACTCCAAAACTGCAGCTCTTCTTCTGGGTCTGTGAGGGTCAGGAGTCCAATGCAGGAAAACCAGTAGACTGAGGAGATGGATCTCAGTTCTCTACAAACATTTTTCCTCAGGAGTAGTTTGGGGATCTCTATGGTAAGGAGTGTCCCATAACTCCAAGTTCTGCTCTGAGGAGAGAGGACCCAGGGGAGTGGTAGGAAATGTTTACATCAAGGTAGCTAGCCAATAATATAATGTTAAGTACTGCAAGGGTAAGGATTACACTTTAACCCATTTAAACTGGGACAGCATGTACGCATTTCAACCTTCTAAGCTGGGAACGCAGCTGCACATTTCTACTCAGAAAGCCGGGTGCATGTACGCATTCCTAGCCTTCAAGCCAGGAGACGCATGTATGCATTTCAACCTTTCAAGCCAGTGGCGCTGATGCGCATTTCTACTCCTAAGGCCGGGAGCACAGATACGTCATTTCGTAACATTCTGTCGTTCTTCAATCATCTCTGGAGTCTTGGTGAATCAAATCATACCCGTCTGCGTCTGATAGGCTAATAAAGTGACCAGATTTATGCTCGGATCTTGCTACGTGCTTCGTGAGGAAAGTAAACAATAACAGAGGCAGAGAGCAGCTTCAAAGGAGAAGCATCCAGCAGTGTTAACAACCTCTTCATATTGAGTGCTTTGGCTCACACTATCGGCAATTTATGTGAGTGTTGCATGTCTTTGGATGAGCATAGACATGCAACACTGTCAGCCACTTATTTATTTATTTTTAGTTTTTAGTGCTGCTTTTGTACTGGCACTTTTCTAGGGCAGCTGCATACCCTTTCAATACTTTATTTTTTTTATATTTACATTTGTATTGAATGGACACTTTATCATGATTACCACTTGTTTCACAGAAAGCAAATTATTTGTTATTCTCCAGTGCAGAGCCTTTACTTTTATTTATCCAGCTGCTTTACTTCATTTGAGTTTGTTTGTTCAAGGTTTTCAATAATGAGATGAAGGTCTGGAAAAATCAAAGATAGTGATCTTTAAAGCCACATGTGTAAGCTTCTCAAAATTGCCCTCAGGATTTTAGAGGCGTGTCTCAGACGGGGTTGGGTTAATAAGTGACTTTGTCAGTGGGTGACTTGCAGCCTGAACTACCAGCAACTTTTGTTTGAATGACAAAGAATACAGCGACTAGATTGAGGCTAATATCCATAGTGTTGAAAGTAAGAAAGTGCTGGAGGGATATTGTTCGGCTTTAATGGAGTCTTCTGATGTATAAGCTACCTATGCCATGACCTCTTCTGATTCTCAGACCATCAGGGATGCTGGCTTTGAACTTTCCTGATCATTCCTGATAAGCCAGGTGGTCCTTCTGCTCTTCAGAGGATACAGCATGTCAACAGAGTGTCAGATTTTTGATTGCTAAGACCACTGGAAAGATTTCTACCCCCCCCTTACCCAAGCCCATCTAAAATGGGCTCAGACCCAGAGAGGTCTGGTGTTTCTGGATCATGTTTGATGTCGAATATGGTTTCTCTCTTGTGGTCTGACCTATTCTTTTTAATGTAAGTCTACTGTAGGTCTATGTAATGTATACAGTAATCTTCTCTGTATCAGCAGTGTAGATGTGTGCTTGTTCTTGAATCTTCGACCTGTTGGAGGTGCAAATAGAAATGTCAGGTGATCCCTGTCAGATATTAATCCATATTTCTCATGGCAAATGGTTAAAAGTTTATGTATCCCGTACCACCAGGGATTTTGGCCTTTGAGCCATTTGCTGGTATCAAGTCCCTCTCCTCTTTGCAGCGAAGGTTGGGGCATCCATGATTTCCCAAAAGAAAGTCAGATTTTGATTCAATGGATCACAGGACTGTTTTCCACTTCACCTTTGTTCACTTAAATGTGCTGGGGCTGAAAGAAACACCTTAATATAGGGTTTCTTCTTGGCTGGCTACAGTTTTAACCTGCATTCTTACGTGCATGGATGAACTATGATCATTAAAAATCTTTTTCTAATCAATATTTTGCACAGCCTCCCTACTCTTTTGAAACTGGAGTGATGCTTTAGCACCAAAGAAAAGGGCAGATAGTAAGTGTATATGTGGTATAAATGTTCTCTGAAGTTCAAATATTGATGACCTTCGATCTTGCTTAACCCTCAAGGAGTCAGAAATTGACTAAATGAGGTTTAGTCATCTAGAGGAGGTTTTTGAAAAGGTCAGTTTGATGATCAAGAGATGTATTTTGCGACATTATCATCGGACTGAGGAGATTCAATCGAAGACGTCTGCCTGTCAAGCGTCGTAATGACTGCTTCTGTGACAGCTGCGAGAGGGTGATTAATGTAACTCCATTTTATGGACATTAAAGCTGTCAGGATTTTCCTGCATAAATAACTTTGTGAATGTAGAAAGACCCAGCATGCACTGAGAGACAAATAGATGGCAGAAGAAAAGAACAGAAACCAGAAAAGTCTACTTAGCTCATGTAATGTTGAACAGTGGGAACTCTTAATAAGTTAATGTGAGGTGTACTGGAAGTCAAGGCCTGGGTTTCGTGCCACGCTGCAGTCATTCATTAGTAAAGAGCAGCTGACTGGTGCTGTCAACAACCGTGAATAATTCATCCACCTGTGCAGAGCTCCGAACTTTTCAAAAGGGCAGCATCAGCAGTCCCGTCAGACATCAAATGCAGAAAGCAGCTTCTGACTTCAATTAAAGCTGATCGATACAATGAAGAGGTGAAAATCTGCAGCAGAGGCCCCCGATCCTCTGTAGCTGCTGCCTGCCAGCCAGCCGTCAGCAGCAACTTAAAGTCAACCCTGAAGAAAATGCAGAGGAAGATTTATATCCACGAATTTGATGAAATTCCTGATATGCTTTTGTTTTGTTGCAGGTATTTGCAATTTTATTAATCTGACTCGACTCCACCATCTCTCCCCAATATTCCTCAGAAACAGGAAATTAACATAAAGCAATAAAAGTACGTTGAGTTCGGTGCTAAAGGGGGAAGTCTATTACCTGTGTGAGAGATTATAGACTGGTATTAATCCATACTTTTATTATTGTCCACAAATCCCATTAAAGACTCAAATAATAACGTCTGTCTTTCAATACTTCCTGACTTCTCTGCTGTCAGCTTCATCCCCCCATGAGCTTTCTGAAGAGAAGACTCTTTGAAATATATTATTCTGTATTTGCATACAACTCAGTGAAAGTCTAATCTGTTTTTTTTTAGAGTGAGTGCGCCCTAAAGAAGATCAAAAATAAAAAGTTTTTTAAAAAGTGTCTCTGTGGGAAACATATTTTTAACATTATATTTCAGATCTCAAACAACTTTCTCTTCGGTTTAGTTTCAGACGTTGAGCATAGTGTTAGTTCAGGCAGGTCATGAAGTCAAGCTCCACCAACAGTACATCAGCTGATCAAAACACAGCCTGTGTCAGCCAACAGCTCAGTTTAATATCCTTTGAGAATCCAACAGGTAAAAGTCTATGGGCTCTATTTTCGTGTCCGCCGGTGAGGCGGCGAACCCTGCACAGTGAAATTTTCGTCTGGTGGAGACCGGCATACAGCCAGTTTGGTATTTCGTGGACTGAGGCGAACCAAGGTCCGCCAAGCTGGGCGTGGTGGCTTGGCAGGGGGAGGTGTCGACAGAATCAGCTGGCGCAGTGACATTTTCGTGCTCGCTGGTGGCGTATAAATCATTTTGCACTGCAGAGCACATCAGTTTTTCTGCCTTAGCATCACAGTCTGATTAAATTTCCATGAAGTAATAATAATGTTCCTCCTTGAGCTGCAAAACTCTGCTGCACTCAGTGATAGACTCGTCAGGGCTTCCCCACAAACAAGCGGCTGCTGGAGGAGAGGGGGTGAGTTTCGTCTCTTTGCTAAAGAAATCAGTCAAAGCTTAAGTGATGTATGATGACTAGTGCTATGGCTGGGGCCCTATCTGTACAGTTGATGAAGTTAGGTGCTGCTCTGAGCATTATTTGTGGCTACGAGTGGCTTTTTGGATGAAGTTTGCACATGGAGATGTAGACTGCTGTGTATTGCTATTATGCGGTCGTTACTGAAGTTGGTATTTCTACAGAAATAAGCAGTCAGCAACATTCATCTCTCGAGGGGGTGTCTATCTCAGTGTTATGATGTGCTTGACCATAACTTAAATTTACACTGGAACATCCCTTGAAGTCAAGCTCCACCAACAGAGCCAAGCTAGCTACCAAACAGTTAACCTCCTCTTTCTAAAACCTGATTTCTTCAGACTCCAAGTCATTCAGCAAACATTAGATTTCAGTTAAATGTAGCTCCATGTAGTGGAAGTTTGGCCTCCAGATGTTATTGCCGTAGCAGTCCTTAAGACTGCAGAGACAAGTTACCATTTACAGCATGTTTTTGAAAAGAATGAATAAGAATAAAGCGACTAACAGATGATTTGTGTTGTTTTTGGTCTTGTTTGTAGAGGAACAAAAAAATCTTTGCAGCTCCACTCCATCTGCACACAACAGGGAGAAAAAGGCCACCTGAGGAGTTTGCAGAGTTTATCTTTCTGACCTCCTGACCCTCTATGTTCTGGCTGATATCTGTGTGAAGTTTTTTATTCTGGAGTGCTCTCAGCCGTGTGAGGAAAAAGACGACCTAAGAGCATCTGAAGGCTCCCTCCCTGAGACACCCAGCTGTCCTCTGACAACAAGAGGTCGCGTCATTACTGCCTCCCTGCAGGACGGGGAGCATCCAGATGAGCGGCCTAATCAGAACATGGACTTCCCGGCTCAATCATCCCTGTCAGGGGCAATAATTACTCAGCCGTCATCTTAATTAAAAGTTGGCCTGCTAATTAAGAGTTATTGTTTACCTTGCAGGGGCAGCATTGATATGCATGTCATTACTCTCTATTCCTGCCTCTCATTGCCCTTTCTCTGCTGCAGGCTACCCGTCTGTCACTCATCTCTTCTTTTATTGATGCTCTTTTCCTGTCAGAAAGGCAGTGTGGGCTGGAGGGGAACCTGCACCACCACCCAATTAGCCCCCGTTTGCTGATTGTCCTGAAATAGACGGAGGCGGGGCGTTTTGATGTTTGGACACCTTCCCAGGAGGTAAGACAGGGGAGGAAGGGCAGAGAGGGGTTAGGGATAGAGCAGCCAAAAGAAAGGGAGGAAGGAAGGGTTTGTACAGAGAGGTCGGGCAGAGGTAGCAGTGATGGTGTGTGTGTGTCCGGTCTAGGAATGTCTGGAGCTGAAATGTCCTCATCATGTTTTTATCGAGCGAGGCTGAGGCGGAGGACCTGTTGAAGGAAGCAGCACTATTACAAGCTTCAATTGGGGATGCTCGCTGTAAAAAAAGCTCTCCTGCAGCTCCTGTGTGTGTTTTATGGAGTCTGGAGGGAAAGTGTTATGGTTTTCTACCACAACGCACGCACGCACATTACTAAGCCCTGCTCTGAAATGAATAATCATTCCTATGTGGCCGTAAAAGCAGCCGAGCGGAGCTGTTATGTTTCACTCTGGCTGTAATATAAAGTGTGTTAAAGGACACTTTGTGCTATTTTATTTGTCAGAATTCTGTTAACACATCCTTGTTACAGAATAAATCAGTAAAGTATTTTCCTGCACAGGGTATTACATTAGTTTTTCACTAAAATTTTAATACAGCATCCTTGCAAAGTGATGACGGTGTTATTAACTTTTTATAGTGTTCAGGCCCTCACAGGACTCTGTCAGGGACAGGGATAGATCCCTGCAGGAGTTAACTACAAGAAACATTTTTAATGCATGCAAAGTCTAACTTACCTGGATTTCGTATGAAGAGTACTAAGTTGCATACAACAAATTGTAGATTTCGTTGCATTTCGCTGTCGATCAATTAAAGGGATATTCCGGTGTAATTGTAACACCGAGTTAGACACCCCCTTGAGAGATGGATGTGGCTGACTACTTGCTTCTGTAGTTATACCAACTTCAGTAACGGTCAAATAATAGCAATACACAACGGTCTACATCTCCATGTGCAAACCTCAACCATTAAGCCACTCTATAGTCACAAATAGCCATAGTACTAGCCATCAAACATCTTTTTAGCTTTGCCTGGTTTTATAGCAAAGAGACTAAATACAACTCATCTGCTCTCCTCCAGCAGCCGCTTTTTTGTGGGGGAGCCCTGACGAGTCTATCACCGAGTGCAGCAATGTTTGACAGCTCAAGGAAGAATATTTATGATTATTATTTCATGGAAATGCAATCAGACCAAGAAGCTTAGGCAGAAGAACTGCCGCACTCTGAAGTGCAAATTGAGTATTATGATGATTATTACTTTATGGAAATGGTCCGTTGCACTCAGTGATCAGTTCGTCAGGGCTTCCCCACAGACAAGCGGCTGTTGGAGGAGAGCGGGTGAGTTGTGTTTGGTCTCTTTGCTAAAGAGACAAAAAGATGTTTGATGGCAAGTGCTATGGCTGGGACCCTACATGTCCTAGACATCTCCACACTCAAAACTCAACCAAAAAGCCACTCTATAGCCACAAATAATGCTCAGAACAGCACCTAACTTCTTGAACAGGACATGTAGGGTCCCCAATTTTGTCTGATAAATAATCGATCTAACCATATATAATACGAAACCAGTGAAGATACTTTAAATGTATATACTTGATAGCCATATTTTAACAGAGTAACCTTATTCAGATTGAAGAAGTGTTGTAACCAATAAGCACACTTTCATACGGTTCTCTGTGCACATATTTAATTGTAAACAAAACGTGAATCAGGCCCAATTTGTAGGTACATTTAAAAAAAACAATAATGCTTTCTTAGACTCTCTCATAAGTCTAATTACCAACTAAAACCCCTTATAAATACTGTAAAAGCTTCATTCCTCTTGTCGTCGCAACTTTTTGCTAAACTCTGTTGCAGGCAGTCGTCAGCTCACACACTGTGATCTGTAAGGACGTGAGGTCGAGTGAGGTCCAGAGACACAGCTGAGATAACCCCAGAGGAAGTATAAGAAAGATAAAGTTTGTTTCTGTCAGAGTGTCAGCGAGTTTCTGGTATCTCCTGCTCCCAGCCGCTCTGATATTGAGCTTTCATCGTCACACTCTTCGTCTGGAGAGGACATCAGGCGTGCAGACGGGACGACAGAGGGAGATATTAGGTGTCCAGTAATGGGAACAAACCTGAGACAGATCTGGCTGCAGCTCTGGGAGCACAGAATAAATGTGGAGGTTAGTTCAGGGCTGTGATGGAGCGAGTGTTTGTGAGAGTTTTCTTCAGTAATGAGGCCACGCTGGCCTCTGAGGGACCAATTTCCCCCCATCTCTGTGACTCAGTTAGGATGAAGAGGAGGAGGGGGAAAAAGGTAAGACTAGAGAAAGTGTACAAACTAAAGGCATGACAATATTTTCATATCTGCAACATGCCTCAAAAGATCACACTGGTGTTTGAAATTTTTGAGATAGTTATTCACCTAGAATGATATGAGGACAAAAAGTTTGTGACAATGTAAGCTGGAATCTAGACCTGTTTGTCACTGTTGTCCAGTGTACTGGCACAAAAACGAACTTGAATGTGGTTTTATTTATTTATTTAAGAGATCAAAGAAATAGTTCTCAGACGTGGCAGAAGTCATCTTGAAAGTCTCACAGTGGTTCCAATAATTTGTTTAGATGTAATAATTTGGTTGGCAAAGTGAGACATCGTCGTGATTTTGTCCTGTGTTTAAATCTGTAAAGTTCTCTCTTGTGACCTGCAGTTTTTCATATCTTGCCCTCTCTTTCTCCATTCTTTTTGTTTCATTTCTTGCAAACTAACTGGACATAAATTGTGGAAAGATTTGAGTAAAGTTGGTGCAAACCCATGTTAGTACTAAAAGAATGTGTCCTTGCTGGTGTCTGTTTTCAGTGGCCTGTATTATACAAAGGTATCACTCTCACATTACTGTGAAATATTAGATTCTTGAGATTACAAATAGGGGTGAGTATGTTGTCAGAATAAAGGAAGGTATACTCTGTTGCCCTCCTTCAGACAAAAGTCAGCACGGTCCGGATTTTCTGATGGCCCTGAAGTTAATCTTGTCAGATTTGTCTGAGGTGTGAGGTAAATCAAGACTTACTGTACTCTTCCTTATCCGCTAAGAGGACCACATGGGCCCCTAAGGACAGCTGAGCATGCTGTGAAACAGAAATCATTCTGTTTGTACCAACATTTGTTGGACTGAGTAAAATTGTGGGTAATTCATAAAAAGATATCAAATGAACACAATGATCACAACTCACAGTGCGGGCTGTTTGCCATACCCACAATTCCAGTGTTTGTTTTGCATTTACCAGATTCAATATTCAGAAATTATTTTTTAACAAAAAAAAAAATAATATATATATATATATATATATATATATATATATATATATATATACATTACAAGATTGCTAGAAAATGATAGTATAAATTTTCGCAAATCTTTGTCTTTTTGGGCGTTTTCACAGTTCAGTGTGGAAGATCTAGTTCAGTACAGATTGGTATAACCTGGTACGGTAAACTCTGATCTTGCTTTTTTTCCACAGCAGGCTGAACCCCACCCTGTCACTTCCCACAGGGAGCAGACAGGTGTTTATGAAGCTGTAGAGGCTTTGTTTTCGCTTTGGCTTTGTTTCCGACAAGACTGTACTAACAGTGAGCAGTGCATCTTACTTTTTTTTCCTGCATTAGCTCTGTTCCAGCTGTGTTCATGCTTTTTAAAGCATCTGGATATATAGAGGTACAACTTTTGTACAACCCCCCCATTTTTACACAACACTTTTATTTTGGAGTTGTGTCCAAAACAGTTATTTGGTTAAAGAAGTACCTTGCATTGCTGTTTATTTGAGCTGACAGTAACTTTTGCAGGGGAGAAATGTTAGTTATTTAAAACACTAGATCTCAGCAAATATTTCTTCTTTTGGGACCTCTTGGTTGAAATTCACCATTTACGAGAGAGATCCTCAGAAAGCTTACTGGCTCCATCAGTCCTTTTCCTACTTCACCTCCCTCAGAAAGCTTATTTCAGCCCTCTGGTTGAAGTCATACATTTCCACATACCCTCACCTACACTGAGCTGCAAAGAAACGGTCTCATTACGGTTTTCTCTTTATGAGTCCACAAAGACAGCAAACATGACCCAGAGTCAGACACCCCGACCCCTCTGAATCACTGCAGGAGCCTCTGGAAGAGGATGAGGGTGGATGCTCGCCGGTGAGAATCCTATAAAGATGCAAGGTGACCCACATATCGGTGAGCTGCATTGTGCTGTTACATAGGAAAAGTAACATGCAAAATCTTTTTCCAGGCATGAATCAAATCTATGTCAACATAATACTCGAGCAGTTTTTTTTTTGTTCTTTCTTTCATATTCTGCATTCAGCATGGCGTTTCTTATGATGGCAGCTTATCAGATGGTGCATGCTGACTGTTCATATGGAGCGCTGCCATCCCCTGCCAGACGACGCTGAGGGAAAAGTGAAATCTCTCAAAACGCCCCCCACATCCTCTTTTGCCCCGCCGTCTGCCTCCTCCTCCCTCGCCGCTGCAGCTCCAAGCCAGCAGGGTGGAAAATTGCATCTTGTCATTTAATTTAAAAAAAGAGGAGAAATCTTTGTTTTCACAGTATTAATCTTTCTGCTTTGCTCCACTTAAGTTGAAAGCTCAGCAAAACGAAGCCGGCTGTATCTGTATCAGCAATCTGTGGGGACGAGTTTGAGAAGGAGCAGAGAGATGAATAATGATCAGCTGCCTCCTTTGCCTACATGTTACTGTTTGCTCCTCTGTGGGGGCCATAAATTACCCCCACCCAAAGCACCAAGATACCTCACCAAGACGCAGCATTATTACTATGAGAGAGGCCTAATTTGCTCCAACAGGTGGATGTTGAGCTGCGTTGTTTCCATCAACACAGAAACAAAACACAAAATAACCTGGTCTGATTACACAGACAAACACCAGAACAAACTTCAGAGAGGAAGTTTTGTCATTAAGTTATCAGAGCTTTAATGAGACAAACTCACAGGCAGCAGTTTGGAACATCACATCGAATAATGGAAACCTTGCAAAACCTCATTTTTTTAGACGCAAACCTTGTTAACGTATGTAGGAACACAGTGTTTGTCACATGCACAAATCCAGGGTTGTATGAGTTTAAAAAGCCAGGTTAAATTCTTGCAGCCTGCAACTTGCAAAAATGTAATTTGCAGGTATGTGAAGGGATCCTTTGACAATCAGATTTTTGATTTTCGTCCCCAAATTCGATTTAAAGGGATATTCCGGCGTAAATTTAAGTTATGGTCAAACACACCGTAACGCCGAGTTAGACACCCCTTCGAGAGATGAATGTTGCCAACCGCTTGCTTCTCTAGTTATACCAACTTTAGTAATGACCTCACGATAGTAAGTGGTCTGAGGAGCCATACACAAAACCTCAACGAAACCGCCACACTATAGCCACAAATAATGCTCAGAACAGCACCTAACTTCATCAACAGAACAGATAGGGTCCCAGCCATAGTACTAGCCACCAAACATCTTTTTAGCTTGGCCTGATTTTTTTTAGCAAAGAGACTTAACACAACTCACCCACTCCCCTACAGCACCCGCTTGTTTGTGGGGAAGCCCTGACGAGACGATCACCGAGTGCAGCGGACCATTTCCATTAACTGATAATCATCGTAATAATCATTTTGCATTGCAGAACCGGTAGTTCTTCTGCCTTAGTGTCTCGGTCTGATTGCATTTCCATGAAGTAATAAGCATAATGTTCTTCCTTGAGCTGAGAAACTCTGCTGCACTTCATAGAAATGACCCACTGCACTCGATGATCGACTCTTTAGGGTCCCCCACAAACAAGCGGCTGCTGGAGGAGAGTGGGTGAGTTGTGTTTTGTCTCTTTGCGTAAGACACCAGGCAAAGCTAAAAAGATGTTTGGTGGCTAGTGCTATGGCTGGGACCCTTTAAGTACTGTTGATGAAGTTAGGTGCTGTTCTGAGCATTACTGGTGGCTATAAAGTGGCTTTTTGGTTGAGGTTTGTTTATGGCCCCTCAGACCGCTGTGTATTGCTATGGTGCGGTCATTACGAAAGTTGGTATAACTAGAGAAGCAAGCAGTCGGCAACATTCACCTCTCGAGGGGGTGTCTAACTTGGTGATACGGTGTGTTTGACCATAACTTAAATTTATGCCAGAATATCCCTTTCATGCTGAAATTACTCTTATTCTTTTAAGCAGGCTTTCTCCTGCTTTGCTAGTGACTAAAAGAAAAAAATCTAATAAGTTGCAGATATATCTAGCAGAATTTAAGCTGTGATACTGCTTAGTAGCCAAATTGTAGGAATCAAATATAACCTGACCTGAAACTGGCTTTGGATTCCACAGTTTATGTCTTGGCTTATTTGTGAGTTTGGTACCCCCGGTCTCTTTACCCCAAAGTGCTGCTTGGTCAAAAATATGTCATAAAAATGTCCTGCTGTCAGTCAACAGAGGAAGTAACTGGTAAAAAAGACAGTTAACAAACAGACCAGAGGACATGAGTGATTGTCAGCCGTCCTCTGAGCCCCCTGCAGCCTCATTAAAGAGAAAATATTTGATCCAGTCAGACTCTCCCTGCCTGACGTCTGGGCTAACTGATCAATTTGTACGAGCAGCGGTGGGCTTATAAAAGACACGTGTTTAATGAAAACACAAATAGAAGGAGATGGAGGAAGGAGCGATCTGATGGGCTCATGATTTCAGCAGGGAGGGTGCAGAAAAGAGGGTTACACTTATTAACCTTTGAGAAACGGCTTATGAGCTGAGTCTTTATTGATGACCCGGGTTATGGAGTCACAGTGATTTCTCTAGGAAGCGAAAATGAAAGGTTAAACTATTCACATTAATTGCTTCATGTGGTCGCTTATCGACAGCCCCTAAAGCGGAGGGAGAGGCAGGAAAGGATGAAGGTGGCCACGTCTAATGTTTCTGCACATCATGAACAAACTGTTTTTTGATAGTGCCAAGCTTTCTAAAGGGCCTATGAATAACTCAGAGGGTCGAGAGCCGCCACAAACCTCCGAGGATTCACTTTTCAATGAATAAAATCACGGGGGAAATTCTCTCACACTGCATTTGCACATAAATGTGTCACTCAGGCTTCAGGGCTCCACAGAAAGACTTCTGCTGTTTGTCTCTAGACACAAAGCAGACACGGTGAGCCATGTGCGTACAACCATGCTGGATTATTTAAAAAATAATCTGTATTTACAGATTAAAAATGTAGATTCTGAGCACACAAGACATGACTTAGATATAAGAGATATTCTGGTTTTTCTTTTCAACATTTGGGTACAGATCTCTGTGTGACTGAGCAGATAAAACAGCGAACAGGCCTCAGAGATCCTTAAAGATGTCATGAGGAGGAATGGAGGAGCCTTTCTCTTTGAGAGTTGAACCAGGCAGATGTGCAGGTCATGTAAGGAGGGTGCAGCTTGAAGTATAAAGCAGAGGAACTAACTCAACAGGCTGTGAAATCTATAGGTTAATCATAGAGGACGCAGGTTTCCCCTCTGCTCATATTAGTTGAAGATTTAATTGATGTTAAGGTCACCAATCAGACCATTGTGCAACCTTTACTAATGGGGGATTATTTGTTTATCAGCACAGCGGATGTGCGTGCACAACCTGCAGAAAAAGCCATCCCTGATTGTTCTTGGCTATCTTGCAGTTGCAATGTTAGCTAGCCATGTTGTCAGGGTATTACAACAGTTTATCAGTGATAACAAGTTAAACGGCTAAATTAACATTAGTGACTGGGAAATATCTTAATTACCCATATGCTTTAGATGCTGGTGAATAGATGAATGATGAGAAAAATGGCCCAGACTTCAGTGGCTGGACATCCATTCTTACCTGACCGAGACACAAGGTCTCTATTCCCAGGAGAGCCTGAAATCCTACAAGACACTGGATTCCTGCAGCTGTGTATCAGTGTCGTGTAAAAAAAAGTAAACCAAAAAGTAATGCGTTACTGATAAAGTGACGATTTAGTTACTGTAATTTGTTCTTCCAATGCTCCCATTACATAAAGGTGGATTGATTGTGTTCCCCTCTAGCCATCATTTCAGTTCTGTACTGATGCTGAATAAAACAAACTGTTGGTTAAAACAACTGTCTCAGTTCATTTGCATCCACATCACTGAATCCAATCATATGATCAAGCAATATGATCCGTTGTGCACCAACACAAACCTTGACACTGACACCAACATTTTACCGTTGGACTCTTGGAATAATAGCTAAAAAAGATCCAAATAAACAATTAAACATATCGTGCTATTGTTTTATCAAGTTGTGCCTGCATATGGGTCTGTCTTTTGAACTCCAACTGCTGCTGCTTGGGTGGAGTGGGCGTGTGCTCACTGCTGTGACTCTTGGTCTTGAATGCTGCGTTAGCTTCCTTAGCTGATAACTTTCTTGAAGAATGTCGCTTCTCTAGGTGTTTCAGTAGATTGCTGTTGCTATTGTTCACGGTATAAAGGATTTTTGACCCAGAACACTATTTAAATGTTACTGAAATGTTGTTTTTCCCTTTGCTCTAGAGTTCAAAATAATGTGAGTATCTCCATGAGGAGAAACTTATCTTCCCCTTCTCCCTCGCCATCATGCCGTGCCCTGACCTGTCAGGGTGCGTGCGTTTTCCAATTCAATTAAACCTTATTGATCGCTAAAATGTTTTGGGAACTGTGTGCCATTGTAAAACCTCACCATAAGGAACAGATTAACACAGCATTTGGAAACAGAAACGGGGTCACTGAATCTGAAAAAAAAAAACAACGTGACACGTTATCTGTTACTGAACAAAGTAACAGCGTTATTAAAAACGTATTACTTCCCAACTCTGGCAGCAGACAATCATGTACAAGACATACTATATTACACGATTACAACATTAAAAACTTTGTGGCTCTGAAGACTGAGGTACTGCCTCGTCAACGACAGGGAAGAGGACAGAGATGTATTAAGTCTAAGTCATTGTGAACAAGGAAAACAACTGCATCCTGACCACGAACTGCACCTTGCTGGGCATGTCATTTAGAATGCCACAATGTTTCAGGTTTTTTTTCAGCCTGCTTTCCATTGCTTTGTAACCTTGTCTTCAGTCACTGTCATCATTGTAAACACATGCATATCTAGCTTTATCACCATTACCTGAAATTAATACCAATGTTCTTTCCTCTCTCAGCTTGAGGTTAATGCTGCAGCCAGAGATAAAGAAATGCTGTACACAGTGTGAACAGTTCTTGAGACATAGTATTCTGCCTGAGCTCTGAACACACAGCATGGACCCGAAACAGCAAGCACCTACAGTCTGCTCGCACCGTGAAAGGTCAGAGTTTGGAAAGATCACCACATGTGCAGAGAGCAATAAGCATTTTCACTGCAAATGTGAGAAAATAAAAAGACAGGTTAAAGAATGGTATTGTGAGCAGTGTAAAACAAAAAGCTAAGAACAATGTGCTTTGAAACACATTGATTGTAACTGTTCTTGTAATAAAAAAGAAAAGGATGTTTTTGTTATTGTCGAGATGTTTTTATTTATTAGTTATTTTTTCATGTCACTGCGAATGTACTTAAACAAGACTAATAAAAACCTTTTAATGCATCTCTGACTCTGGAATATTTTATCAAAGTATACACAGTTTATTTTCTCAGCACTATACATTTGCAAAGGTTTGTTAATGCTTCACACACAATTACAATGTCATCTGACAGTTCCACCTGTGAGAGTGGAATAACACTCATCATAAATTTGAAGTTTTCCATCTACCTATTATTCTGTCTTTATGTATTTTAATATTTCCACTTCTTGAGCAGACAGCTGCTTTTCTCCTTAGGTAAAGTGGTAAAACCATAATCTGCAAGTATCTCATCATTTACTTGTTGGAGGCCTATTTTCATACTGAGTAACTTGTAACAATCTGGGTGATTATTCAGACTGTGCCAAACTCAATCGCGGCCAAATCCTTATTTCCAACAAAGTATACAAACATGTGAACCTGATTCATCCTTTTCGTGACTGTCCTACTCTACAATAATTAAGATGTTAACATTCAGAAAAACATTTTAAAAAACACATACAGTACCTAGATAAAGTCATGGACTGAGAGGGTTGTAGTTTGATTTAAACAGAGGTACTTTTCTTTATGAAAATAAAAATGGGTTTACAGACCGTCTTGGTCAGCTAAGTGTTTAGAGTTCTTACCAGTACAAAGACCAGCACCAGGCTCCATTCCACAATCATTTGGAGGGAGGGAAGTGGGTGTGGACTAACATCCATTGTCTGGACATTCACAGGAGTTTTCTCTTATAACTGAAACACACAGGAGAGAGAGATCATTTCGTACAAAGAAATCAGTTACTTCACTTGGTTCACCACAGGTATTTTACATCCTCAATTCATCTGCATACCATGTCTCGGTGAGCTTCATGAGAGAATGTAGACGTTAAATCCCTCAAAATTTCTTCTTTGTCCAGTCATGCTGGTTGATCATATTTACTGGAAGATAAGTCAAAGTCGTCAGATGACTCTCCTCTCTCCCAAACAAAGTGTATTCCAGTGATTCATGGTAATGATTTAACCTCATGGTTGGCCAGAGGTCACTGGCTGAGCATGCAGTAGCCTACATCAGTTACAAAAGCTTAGCAACTTAGCAAAACTAAACCAAGGTACATTAGCTTGTAGGAGTAAATTGTATATGTTCACTCTCTCTCTCTCACACTCTATAAATCTCTAAACAGCTGAGAAGTGTTTTCTTTATTCTCTCCCCTCCCTACAGCAGCAGTATCGCTTCTTTAGATGTAGACATTGTGTTTATTCTCCCAAGGACATGCACCTCCTCCTCCTCCTTCTCCTCATCCTTCTCTTCCTCTTCGCACTTCTCATTCTCTCAGGCTTCGATCCCATGTGTTGTTGTGTGCTTAATCTCTGGTTTTGACTGTTAACAAGGACAGGATTCAGTGTGCAGAGTGAAACGGGTCTTTTTTTTCTGTCTGACCTGTACATTGTCAATACTCGTCAATAATGCTCAGCTCCTTGTTATCAGGTCATTTACAAGAAGATCTTCTGTGTTTTGTCACAAGGTGCTATACTATAATGTGCTTCATATCATTCTTCTCTAACAAAGGATTGAGGTAACCAACTATTAACGGTCATATCTTACCTCAGTTTTTTTTTTTATTATTTGCACTATTTACAAGGTGCAGTGAACACACATTAGCATTGCTGTTACTTGACCTTCTCTCTCTCTCTTTTGTTTTAAAGGCTGCCGCCCAACCCAAAAAATTGATCACAACTAAACTAAAAAACAACCTAAAATAAAGTTTTAAAATATCACATACTGACCCCATGTTGCGGCAGCACTCATTAATCCTTTTGCAGTGTCAGTGCAAACATCCTTTATCATTTAAGTGTCACTGAAATGATTGTAACAGGATCCACACTGATCTTTTCACATCACAGCACCACACTCATGTCAGTCAGAGATCTCCTTTAACTCTCTATCATATTACCTAACAAAAGTTTTTTCAGTGAATTAAGTTTAATGAGATGGTTTTATCACAGTCAGCTCACCCTGCGCCTGGCTTCAAGAGACAGCAGCTAAAACGAAGCGTTTCAGATGGAGGCTGAAATAATGATATTTTGACACACCACTGTGAGATACTTGAGGCTTTTTTTGATCTGAAAATCATGTAAAGCTATTAAAGATGAATCAGAGAGGAACTATAGAGTCTGAAAAAAATGCATATTTCTCACTCTTTTATTTCAACACCCTGCTCATGAGCAGAATGTCACATGTACTGATAATAATTATGTTGGTGGGAGTCTGTTTTTATAACAATTGATGGCATTACATGTGGAAAGGACTTTGAAAAGTGATAACGTGACTTTAATCTGACTTTTCACCATGTCACCAAATCTCCAGCCTCCAAACTGTATGTACACATGGGTCATAGTTTGCTTCCCTGTACGCACATTTTCCCGTTACAAGTGTTTTTTATAGATGACAAACTTTGATTGGAACGCGAGTACGCAGTTTTAGGGCCCCATTTTAAAGATGTGTAATGTTTCCTGGTCTTTTTGCATCATCTTCCAGCAAATCTTTGTATTGGTTTTGAAACTTTAGAGCCTTAACAGATCAGCTGAAAGGGGGTTTCTGGTCATACCCAGAGACCATAAAATCAATTCTTTAAACATTATTATTTTTTTGAAAATATCAGTGTGATTGTTTGGGAAAGTGCAATACAAAGGTAGTTACTGCTAATACTATATCATTCACTCATTCCTGCAAACTTGTGCACTTATTTATACCTAGACACATAAATATTAAAAATAATAATTTAAAAAATAGTTACTGATAAATTCATGCGTTACAGTTTTAATCAGTTCCTTTGCTGTTCATGCGTTTTTACTGTCATCATTGCATATTTTTCAAATTCTGAAATAAGTTTAAAATAGATGCAACTCTCAGGTTTGTAGCACATTTCAAAGTAAATCCAAGGTTTTCTACAGAAAACTGTTCCTGCTTTGACGAGCTGCAGCTGTGGAGATCAGGAGGGTGAGGAGGGAGAGAGGAGTAATGTCAGCACTCGTGGCGGGTGGCGGCTGTGGGTGGGTGATTAAGGCCCAGGCGAGAGACGTCAAATCAAATCAGATCTGAAATGTGGCATTATGCAGCCTTGATGGAGATTAAAAGCCCTAAGCATCAGCCGTGCACAGCTCATCGTACCTGTGCTCACCTCTACTCACTCCATCCTCCTCCATCCCCCTCGCCTGACCAACACACACTAAAAGCCTCAGAACCGCAGCTCTCATCAAGGCTGCTCTCTGATGGAGGGTCATTTTCCTCCATCTCAGCACAGACACACACTTGTTTTTGGCCCTATAAACCTCTGTGTGTGTGTGTGTGTGTGTGTGTGTGTGTGTGTGTGTGTGTGTGTGTGTGTGTGTGTGTGTGTTTTAAGAAGGTTAGTGGGCCTCTTCTTTTTTTTCTTTCCTTATCTAAACAAGGACATGCTAAAATAAAACCATGAAAAATGTGGTGATTGCACCCTTTCGGTTTTGTGTGGACTAGTGCTGGACGATAATTCGATAACAATATATATCGATCGATAGACGTGTGGTGCGATAGAAAAAAAACGGGTCGATAAAAGTTCGATAGAAAACACAGTTTCCCTTTCTTTTTCATCATAGCCTATCATGTAGCTTTTACTACAGTCATTACTTCCTCCCAACCAATCACAAACGCAGACCCAGGTACGCTACGGCACCAAGCCCAGCCCCTATCAAACCACAATAGACAGCACGTGTATTAGAAAAAATGATACAGCAAGGAGAAGCGGAGGACATTGTCCCGAAAAAAGGTTTCAGTAGTTCACCAGCATGGCAATGTTTTGGTTTTTAGAGGTCTGACAAAAAGCGAACAGCGGTCGTTTGCAAAATTTGCAGAGAATTAGTAAAAACGAAGTCTGGTAACACAACCAACTTGTTTTACCATCTAAACCGATCGCACCCGCAGGAGTACGAGCTGTGTCGGCCGCGCCGCGGCTCCACGTCATCGTCGGAGGAATCCTCTGGAACCGCTGCCAGCACCAGCACTAAGCATGTGAAGCAGACCAAACTGGACTTCGTTTCTTGCCAAAATACGACAAAGCGTCCGAGCGGCATAAGGACATCACCCATGCAGTGACATGCTGCCAATAACTACCGTTGAAAAGCCTGGCTTCGACCAGCTTCTAGCCACTCTCGACCCGCGATATGAAGTGCCCGGCCGCAAGTATTTCTCAAACACAGCGCTTCAGGCATGAAAATGGGTCAGGGGTTGAAAAGGTGAGAAGGGTGCGGAGGAAATACGTTCCGGTGTAGCTTCTTAAAGTGGAAGAAAATGAGCTCATATTTTACAAAGACGCGAGTATTTGGATCATGGCTTCTAGCAGGGGGTGCATTCGGCAGGGGTGCATTCTACGACACAACACCGGCGTGGATAAGTCCTGCTTTTCGTGCTTAGTTTGTGTATTAAGTCAATCACATGATAATTAAAAAAATAAATCTCCCGACCCCGGGAGAAATATTTCAGTGTTCAGACACCAGGCTGTGGGCAGTTTCCCACACAGTTAAAACTGGTAGTATGCTATTCCCACCTAAAGCTATTCTGTTTATTTATATATTTGTTTATTTTCATCAAAAGACTATTTAAATATTTATTTATCAGATTTTCTGGTCACTTTAGTCTTTATGTTTGTCAGTATTTACTGACGTCACTCAGGCCACTTAAGTTGATTTCTTTTTTTTTTTGAAGTTCTTTTTTAAAAAACTTTCAGTTGTGGTAAAATAAAAAAGGTGGTTGAATAAAGGTTTGAATTTGAATTCAGTGCTTGTGTGTTCTTTATTAAAAGTAGGTCATTAAGCAATAGCATAAAACATCCAGGGCTGCAATTAAAATATATGTTAAATAATTATAACAATTATATTGATAATTATCGATATCGATCAATATGATTTATTTTTTATCGATATGCTTTTTTTCTATATCGTCCAGGCCTAGTGTGGACCCTTGTTTGAACTTCTGTGTGTGTGTGTTCCCTCTTTACAGAGATTGGGAGGCTCTACCTGCACCTTCACACCTGCACTAAATTTCTACAAACCCTGCACTTAAACCATGCTGTGATGCCTCTTCAGTGCCAGATTATTCCTGCATCTGATGTGGTATCTAGGCCAGTTCTCTAGTTTTCCCTCATCTCTTCCAGTGCCATCGCCCAATCTCTGCCATGCTGCCACACTCTCTCCCTGGATCCACTCACCAGCCTCCTCCTCAAGCCCCTGCCTTCACCTTTCCTTGGATGCTCTCCTCATGCCTTGGACCCTGGATCCCTCCCCTCCAAATTTAAAATTTTATATTCTGTGTAATTAATTTCTAAAGTTTGTCCACAACTCCATAAAGTTTGCTCGAAGAGGCGGGACCTATACTGCAGCCCGTCACCCGAGGGTGCTATTTATGTACAGACTTCATCGAGCAAGGTGGCAGATGATGTCTATTCTAAATACAGTCTATGGTCATCACATGCCAATGACTTTCTTGCAAAAAACCACGTGCCTCTGCACTACTTTGCTGTGGCAAACCATCACCAATCTCTTTGTCACTTATAATCCCCGGGACATTTCACCAACAAAACAAAATGTGATTAATGAAACATATTGAATGAATTAGCGTTACAACTTTTTGTCATTCTCTAAAAACTGTCTAAAAACTTGTGTTTAGGAAACTTTTCCACCCCTGCAGGATGAGCTTTTTGCTTTTCCTCCCAGCATGAAATCACTTCAACAACATGACTTACATGAGGTGAGACAGCTCTGTTTGATCCTCTCCATTGTCTCTTTCAATAGGGGGATTTAATGACCAGCCTGTTTGGCAAATTTTCCAAATCCAATGTGGATGCAGGTATTATTTCTGTGTAAACTGAGATGCCAATCAGGGCTGGATGTAGCAGCGTGTGATGATTAGAGCTTTTGACTGCAGGATATATTCACAGACTAATCAGAATAATCACTTTAATGAGGCCTCTTTGAAGCCACGCCACAAAGTGCAGGGGAGCATCAAGACCTCCTGTGCGGTCCGGTTTTATTATTCAACTAATAAAGTGAGGGAGGGACAAATCCAGACATACAGAGAGAATCAAAACAGCAGCATGCAGATAACATGCATTGTAAGATGTCGGAGGAGTTACAATTTTAACTATTAATCTCTGAGATCTTTTTGAGGAAAATCAGATTAACAGGAGTTTGCATTAGGTTTGTGTCATTTTTTTTTCTCCTTATGTAGAATACACATCACAATAACACCATACAGCTGGTCTTATGAATCAACTCTTCCATCAAGGACTCAACTGTGCTGGAACGGCTCATCTCAGTTAGACTCGATGCACTTGTTGAGGACAAGTGACAACAACAACAACAACAACACTAGCCTCTTCGCTAACTCAGCTTGTCAAAGGAGTGCAATATTTTTCTTTAGGTGATAGATTAAATCTGCAGTAAAAAAATATATATATATATGATGGTTGACACTTCAAACAATTGTGTCTTGTCATCCTCAGGTTAACAAATACAAAGCCTACATTAGCCTTCACATCCAATAAGCGTGATCACCAACTACTTTGACAGGTTTGTCACGGATTCCAGCAGTGACTGCTGCATCCAGAATCTTATTGAGCCTGGTGTCTACTATACCTGTTCATGAAAAAGTTACTCTGTGACAGACTTGTTGCTGATCTAGATTTTGGTCTCTGTTCTTGCCATTTCCGAGTGAAAAGTTTACTGTCCTTAAAGCGGAAATTTAAGTTATTGCCAAACACACCGTAACTCTAAGTTAGACAACCCCTCGAGAGATGAATGTTGCCGACAGCTTACTTCTCTAGTTTTACCAACTTCAGTAAAGACCACGATAGCAATACACAGCGGTCTACATCTCCATGCACAAACCTCAACCAAAAATCAACTCTATAGCCACAAATAATGCCCAGAAGAGCACCTAACATCATCAAGAGTACATATAGGGTCCCAGTCATAGTACTAGCCATCAAACATCTTTTTAGCTTTGCCTAATTTGTTTAGCAAGGAGACTAAACACATCTCACCCACCCTCTTCCAGCAGCCGCTTGTTTGTGGGGGAGCCCTGGCGAATCGATCACCAAGTGCAGCGGATCATTTCCATGAAGTAATATTCATCATCATAATAATTTTGCACCGCAGACGCGGTAGCTCTTCTGCCTTAGCGTCCGACTGCATTTCCATGAAGTAAAAATCATAAATGTTCTTCTTTGAGCTGCGAAACTCCGCTGCACTTGGTGATCAACTTGTCAGGGCGCCGCCACAAACAATATTCCTTTAACTGAAGAATGCTGCCGTCTTGACTCACCCAACAATGTCCCCCCTTGGTCCTCCAATACCCAACAAGTCCAAAGAAGAGTGGGAAGAAAAGGATCCTTTTTCTCCTCTGTACCAAAAACTGATTTAGTTTGCAACATGGCAGCCAAGACAGAGGAGAGGATGACAGCCCTCTTCTGATCACCCAGAAAACACCTCACCACGAACCAATACAGTTTTATATTTTAGCAGGACACACTATGTGTGGCTGGTAACAGAAACTGCCTAATGCATAGGGACATATACTTGCAAAGAAAAACGAGGATTCATGTACAGCAGAAAAAATAATTTTCTTATAGACAAGAAATGTGTAAGACTTTCTGCCGCTCTGTTGGGTTTATCTTCGTTTAAAAATGTCTTCTGCAGAGCTTTGAAATAAACAGGAATCTGCATCCTCTCAGACAGGACGACAGCACTCATCATGGTTCACAAAGCCACGTACGCTCTTCATACCTGTTCGGAGTGTTTGTGTTCCAACCTGAGTCACCTCTCTGTGTCTCATTTTGAACATGGCAGTCACATGGTTGCTCTGTAATTACCTCAGATGGCATACATCAATCATGTGTCCACACGACCTCGCTCTACAGAAAGGCAGACGAGACAAAAATCCGTTTGACCTGTCCGCGACTAAATTAATTATCCAATTACTCCTTCCCGAGTGACTGTGCCGCCCAGATAACTTCGGAGCTATTTACAACAGACTGCCACGCCAAGATAACAAAAGGGCCGCTCGCGTGTAATGACTTCACGTGGTAAACGATCGGCACAAAACTCCTGAGACTACCAAAAAACTCCCCAACCTCCGAGAAGTCATCAGCATATTTTACTTTTTCTCTGGGTGAGCCCAATGATAAGGTAATGAGCAAAACCCTGAGAAGCCCAAAAGAAGACGATCCTGAGGTGATTTGACTCAACAGGAATCACTTATTCTGCCGTTGGTTTGCACTCACGTCCATCTCAGGCCCATCTTCTGCCTTTGCAGCCAGTTGTTTTATTACTATTGCAGCCATCCATTTTGTTTTTATCTTCCCTGAGAAATAGGACGAGGAGGAGGAGGGAGAGCGAGGCTGCAGGAGAGGGTGTCTCTGGTTTCCAAAGCCCAATTACACCTTCCTCCACTCATCACCTTAGCGAGAGGAGGATGTTTTAATCCGGAGTTTTCAGCACAGCCAAGGACGCTGAGCGGCAGGGAGATTTTTCAGAGCTCTGTTACAATCTCCACGGATCAAACGCGCTCCGTCTGATATTCGCCTCTCTGCGTGGGACAATATGTTTCCCCCTTTTCTGCAGGAGTGAGAGCATATCCCTGTGCAGAAAACAAGAAAGGAAGGAGCTCCATGGTTCTTTCCTCTGCTCGGAAACAAGTGTCAAAGGTTGCTGCCTGTTATCACCGAGGCTCAGTCATTTTCTTACATATGCTAATGCTTATCCATTCCCCAGCTCCCTGCCTCCTGTTTTACTTTCCTTTATCTCCAGTAAAGCCAATCTAAAGTCAGATTTAAGTTTGAAAGTTTCTCTAAGAATGAGTTTGAAAGTCCTGCTGCTGAAGACTGGTTGATTAAAAAGTTACATAAGAAACTGGCAGTGATCATATTTAAGCTGGAGCTTTGCCAGTTACATGCTAGGGTAGATGTTTGCCTTCGGACATCTATGAGCTGTCAGATCGATACAGCATGTCAGTGGCCTGCAGGTCTGACAGACGCCCTGAGGCCCAGATCTACAGATTAGGCTGTAAGCATGGCAGCATGAATCTGCAGCCCGGCTCGCTGCATGAGAAACAACATGAGAGCCAATGTCAAACGGGTTGAGAGAGTTCAAATACGGAAACATAATTACCGCTTTGAACCGGCGACCTCTCCAACGTTGTAGCTCTAATGTGTATTCATGACTGCAGAGTGGAGAGAGGCAAGGCCGGGGTGTGGAAGAATCCACACACACACAGATTATGGAGTGGTAAATCCAGCTTTGATGGGCTGACCCTTCATCCAGCTGAAGGCAGAGAGGAAAAACACAAGGAGGATGACCCTGAATATGACCCTGACCTCTAAGACCAGAGAAAGAGGAGAAGAGGAGGAGGAGGAAGACGATCCATGCATAAAGAAACAACCTCTCTGCCCTCCAATGCTCACATCAGATCCTCTGAGTCGAGGCTGCCACCTTAAGGCTCGAGTGTTTGGCCCCAAGAACCTTTATCTCCCTGTGGTCTCACAGGGAAACTCTTGATTTCTACTTATCATTCAGCTTTTAAATTAGCTTGTACTTATAAACAGAAGGATCTCGGCTCTCTGCCAAAATAACAAAACTGAACATAAAACTATCTTCACAGTGCTTCTGACATTTCTGCTACTCATCTGAAATCTGAAAGACTCATGCCTTTTCCACCCTGAAAGTCTTTGTTTTGTTTCACTTTTCTGCAACAAGTGTGCTGCAGTATCAGATTCTCACTGCATCCATGCATCCTCCTGCCTGAGATTTACTTTCAATCCTGATACATGGTTTTCTTTTTAGGTATAGATAAAGGTCTTGTATTGTAATGTTGTCACAGACGGTTTCAAGGCAAAGCTAGATTTGTATTTGACCTCTAAGAGTTCCTTCAAATGACAAGCTGAGGGATCCAAGCTAACCGCATATGGATCCAAGCACATCTGTCCTGAAGATGATCTCCTGCTATTCTTTATTTTAGATCTGAAACTCAAGTCCTACGTTTGGTGAAATTTGCTGTAACAACCAAGCTGCAGATTCTCCCAGCCTGAACACATCCTACTTCTTGCCTCCGAACACTTTTCAGGATCCAAATCACAAAGTCATAGTGCCAGTACATTAAATATTTCCCATTTGCCATTTTCTTTGTCATTTTATCACCAGTTACACACTGACGGGTCTCTGCTTACAGCCGGTTAAACCTAATACAAAGCATATATAACGCAATGAAGCTGGCCCCTTATTTTGCAGCTTCTTACTTAAAATGTAGAAGTAAAACATTGGTGCAGTATTTAAACTGACATGTTTTCATCTTTTAGGGCTTCACTTTTGTTTAATTGTGTGACAGTATTTTCTATCTGGAACAAATGCTCTGCTGGTGCACATTCTCCCTCTTCTTTCTTCAGCATATCCCCCGGGTGAGCTACGAAATCTTCGTACACCCATAGGCTGTATCAAGTGTCAATCATTGAAAACATGAACTAATAACTTAAAATTAAAATAGCTAAATTTTTATAATTAAAAATGGCGCTGTACTGAAAAAAGGAGGACTTGAGCACAAACCAGTCTTACACTAGCTACATGTCAACATCACAAGCAGGGGGGAGAAATATGTATATTCAGTGTAATACCTTTCTAAAGTATGTCCACAGCTCCATAAGGATTGTTGGAGGAGGTGGAATTTATGACCTATACTGCAGCCTGTCACCAGAGGGTGCTGTTCTCACGGTGGCTTTAGGCTGATCAGCCAAAACAGCACAGAGTTATTGCTTCATGGGGCAGTATAGTCTACAGGGTTTTTCCTGGCTCAAATTGAGGCAGAGGTGGCACCATCCTGACCATGCGCCATGACGTGCATGTATTTGTAAATTCAACTGACTCACTTTCTTTTACAGGCAACATACTTTAAGTTAAGAGTTCAAAAAAGAGTGTGACCATTATCATGTTAAAGCATTCATGTATTAAAACTATATACATACACAAATCAGCTGGCAACTTTAAATTGAAAGTACACTTCATCCACACATCTCACAACCAGACAGAACATTTCAGCCTCCTCTTTTTCATTCTGTAGAACCTCCTCATGCACTCCTTGTAGTCCAAGGCCTCCTGGTCTGGTCCATCAACGGCCACCTTACAACAGACATCCAAGTGCCTCTCCTTCAGTCTGTTCCGCAGAGGTGTCTTCACCTTAAACAAAACAATTCATCATGCATTAAGTATTTTTGTTTTTATTCTGATACAGACATGAAGAGTGATAGTGTTTTAATCATATATTATATATAAGTATACGTTGCAGTGTCCTCCCTAAAAAAAACGACAACCAATTATTTCTTAAACTATCTAAACTATGTTATTTTAGTTTTTGTAACTTTATTAGTTGAGTGTTTTTAGGTACTACCATCTTTAATATATTTCTCCTTCTCTTCTGCTGCTTTGTGAATGGCTGTCACCTCATGTCTTTTTAATGTGTCCAGCCTGTAGTTGGTTGATGGCTGTCTCACTAAGGAGGCAGCAATTGCCTGCTGTGTTGGGGCACAGTGCTTTTGGCATAAATAGCAGTGCATGCCTTCCTCAGTATGCCTGAGCCAGGTAAATTGATTGAGCCACTGCTTGTCAAAGCCACTGGCTCTGTGTTTTTTTTGAGAAGATCTGGAAAGAGGAATAAAAACCACGTACACGTTGGTTTTGCGTTGTTATGCTCCTAATTGGAAACTAATTAATTAATTACCCTCGCCTCGCCGACTCGTCCTGTCCTGCATTCTGACCCTCGCGATCACCAGTCCCTTGTGAAGTACTTTCAGACCTGACACAAATGTCCACGTTGTCACCAACATGAGTTATAGCATTTTAACTGCTTGTTACGTTTTTTCTCTGCTGTGTTTCACCTGGACTCTTGACTTTCCTCCTCGCGAGGTCGCTTTTTAAAGTACTGGCTGATTTTGCCTGTCATATCTGCAACGCTAAAAAAACGGAGGAAACTTTTTTTTTAATAAACACGTCATGCTTGGATGCAAAAAAGACAAGCAGTATTTACCTGTTTGTACCAGCCGCCGGGGAAAATCAGGTCGCCGATAGCATCAACTAGCGGGAAAAAAACTTGAAAAAACATGATTCGATCCGTTTCTTCTTCGGTAGATGCTTCAGGTCTTTCCGGTGCACTGCTGTTGATATAGCGCCTCTATAGTGGCGCAACGCTGCAACTGCAGTTAAAATACGTTGCTGCTGCAGAGGGACATCATACGCTCAATCAACACAGCTGGAGCTTTACGCTGTGTTGAGCGAAATCAATCGCTCTGGCTGGGGGCGGCACAAAATTAGGTGGAGGCGGCCGCCACGCAATTTTGAACGCAGGAAAAACCCTGGTCTATATTGTCCAGCCAGGGTAAGGGATCCACATATTTCACAGGTCAGTGTTGTAGAATGAAAGGTTGCAGATTCAAACTTGAGGTACAACTTGTCCATGAAACATGTTTTAAATTTGCATTTTTGTTTGTCAACTTGTCTTCTACTAAACCAGAATCAGGTTGTCTGCCAAACAGGCTCTAGCTGAAATTCCTGCTAACACAGAGAAGAGGTCCGGACTTCAATTCATCATTTTACTGTTTACTCAGAGTGGTTTGGTGAAGCTGAAAGAACTCATGGGAATAGCTTTGGCTCATCAGGACAGGCAGAGGGAAGTAAAGGAATCTGTGTGTGTGTGTAAAAATGTGAGTGTAAGTCCTGCAGATAGAGGACAGTTCAGACTGTAAGCAGACAGAGACATTTTCTCAGCATTCAGGAGGGCTGTCGGTGCTGTGCCGAGGTAAAGTTGGTTTCTCCTGTTTTTTTGTTTTTTTTTAGGTCTATTGCCCCCCTCTCACAGACCCTATCTGAGAGTCCCGGCTGGATCAGCTCAGAGTGAATTATCGAGTGAAAGTAGCTCCAGTAACAAGGGTGCCAGAGCAGGTAAGGCTGTAGGACGATGGTGGTTAGCAGGGAGGACTGCAGTCTGCCTCAGTGAGGAAAAGTCAGAGGAGGGGGCAGGGCTAATACATCTTTGTTATCCAAACAACACCTGTGTGCATTTATTAGAAAAATAAAACGACTGGATCTTTATTATTCAATTCACAGAGCCTCACACAAAGCATCACAGGTGCAGTGTGTAAAGATATGTAGCAACTTCCAGAAGTAAATCATATTAAACTCCCTCACCAACCTCTCCCATCACTGAGGCAATGTTGGCCGTTGAGGACCAGAGCAATTTGTGCCATAAAGATGGCATCATCAATAACAGATGCAAGTAATTCAACTGTTTCAAAGGATAGGGTGGTTCCTTTTTTTTGTTTAGTTTAGTTTGGTTGTGTTTTTTTTATAAGTACTCCCTTGACTAAAGAGCAGCACTGAAATATTGTCTCATACTTACAGATTTTATTTTTTTATTATTTTGATGCAGACTCTGAACTTGTCTTGAGTCTTTTTCAGTGTGGGTGTCTTTCTACCTCCACAGAGCTGCAGAGCTGATATACTTTATATCTGCAAACTATGCAGAGGGCACCAGGATTCTATCTGGTTTCAGTGATATCAGGTCATTTATCTTAAATATATTACTCTGAAAACATCTTTTTTATAAAATCACAGGACTTTTCACAAACTTTTCAGATGAGCAGCTGTGATTGAGACTGTTTTTGAGAGAACGTCTCAATCAATCAATTCCAGCTGCCTAAGTGATTATCTCTGCAGACAGCTCAGTTTTCTTTAGGGATGAATAAATACTCTCACTCTGTCTTTCTAGTATGTCTGATCAAACTGTGGGTGAAAAATACTGGAGTGTATGTGTCTGTGGGAGCTGAGTAAGAATGGAGGAGAATAAGATTCACAAAGTCAGCAGGAAACTACCAGCTTGAGATTGTGCTGATGAAAAATACAGATTAGTATTGAAATGATGAATTCTCATGAGATTAGTGAAATACTAACCTTTTTTTCTATAACTGACAGAGACCTCACAACCAGAATGTGGAGAAAGAGCGGAAATCACAATAAAAGACAACATATCATCTGCTGAAAGTGAACAAGTGAAAGTGAACATTTTTTTAATTTGCTGCTAGCAGCATTTTTCTACAAAGTAAGAGGAATGACCAATAAGGTTAAAAGTTGTACAAAGATAGAAATCCACAGGACAACATTTTACAACCACCAGTGAGGTTCATTTCAAACAGGTTAGTATGACTGTATATAAAAAGGATATTCAGAGAGGCTAAGTCTCTCAGAAGAAAAGGTGGAAAGAGATCACTCTGGTAGAGACTGATAATGTCAAAATAGAGTTTCTTCATGTAAAATGTGAAAGACTGAGTGGATTTCATCATCTACAGTACACCATGACTTTAAAAGATTCAGAGAATCAGAGAAATCTCTGTACAAAAGGGACAAAGACCAAAAACCAAAAATCCTGGATGTCCCTGATTGCAATAAAACAAAGATCGCTCTGTAGTGGAAATCACTGCATGAGCGCAAAATCACTTTCATAAACCTTAATCAGTGAACACGGTTCATCGCTGCATTCACAGATGAAGATGAAAACTGAGCCAGGAATATAGAAAATCAGAAATACACATGATCCAGAAACACTAGAGACTATACTCTGGACTTGAGCCCATCTAAGATGGACTGAGAAGAAGAGGAAAATGTCACATCTGATCCTGTCTTCGTAAAAATCAAAGTTCTACAATATTACAGTGAAGTTAATTTAGCAAACACTTTGTCCAAAGCCAGGTTTAACACAAGTAAAGTTCTAGATAAAGGAAACAACTAAGTAAGTGTCTCAGACAAGTTTTGGGACAACATCTGCTGCCATCCAAACAATTACTTTTTAAGAAGGCCTTTATATTTCAGCATAACGACAGCAAACCATATTCTGCATGTGCTACAACAGCATGGCTCTATAGTAGAAGAGTCCAGCTGCTAAACTGGCCTGTCTGCAGTCCTGACTTGTGACCCATTGAAATCATCTGGGGCATCACGAAACAAACATGCAAAAAAGGACACCCTGGACTCTACAGCAGCTGAACTCCTATATCAGAAAAGAACAGGAGAACATTTCACTCTCCAGAATGACTGCAGACAGAGGTCTACACTTGGTCAGTGTAGATTGATAGTCCAGTGTGTGTGTGGGGAGATCCAAAGAGGGAAAGTCGAACATGGATTTGTAGGATGAAGGAGGATGCTGTTGAACTGCAGAGCAGCAGTCTGAGAGTGTTTCTGTGTGCACGAGCTTGGGTTGAACAGATGTAATCGGGTGTGTGGATGCAGAGGTAATAACTCCACAGGGGGAAAGGTGCAGAAGTGAATCCGTCTCTGTCATGGAGACACGAAGTAATCAGGAAGGAAGCTCAGCCCGCAGATAAAGAAGCAGCAGTTAAGCGTTTAGCTCTGAAAGAGCATCACCTGAGAGGATTTACAGTTTGGCAGGAGAGACACAATATCCAACTGTGTGTTATTCACAGCCATCTGAATGTCACCTGCTGGTTTGAGGCTTTTAAGTTTGGCATTTTGACTCTCACCTGGATGTTTTTCAGCTCTCAGGCTCCCACCTGTATCTCACAAAGGCCACACCCCTAACCATGCAAAGATTGAGGCTTTAAATGGCCTCAAAACCGCCTGACCAAAATTAAACTATTTAATCAGGAAAAGAAAACAATGAGAAAATAGGACAACCAGCGGACAACAGCCAAACCAAAAAAAAAAAAAAAAAAAACAGCAATCTTAAAATGCATGGGGGGAATATACAATCACGGAAAAATACACGCTTGGTAAACAAATGAATCAACTGATTAACGAAAAGAGAGGGTTAAACAAAGCTCAAGCATTTATCCAGGAGTGTGTGTGTGTGTGTGTGTGTGTAACCCCTGTTTGCCTGATGAGGTTACAGGTATTAATATCAGGTTTCAGTTTCAGTTCACATCAGATGCACTCGGTTAAGTGGTGGTAGCATCTCGAAATCATCTTCTGACCATACGGTGTGTTCATATGGGTCGAATCGAGCAATGTCCACAATTTTGCTTAGGTAACGCTCTCTTTCTTCATTTTTAAGCTTGTCCTGAACGTTATGTTGAGCCCAAGTTTTTCTCTCTCCATTCTGTTCTCTGTTGCTGTGTAATCAGCTAATAAATAACTGGTTTTTAAAACCTAACATCATCCTAATTTCACTTATTCCAGTGCGCTTAGTGTTGTTTCGTCTGTAAAAATGGCCGCACGTCATGCACCGAGCCCCCTGTACTGATGTCGGCGCTGCTACACTTTATGGGTCTCACTTTACCAGTGTCAATATTCAAATAACCCAAACTAAAGCCTTCAAGCATCAATTTCTTTGTATAAAGTTATTCAATATGGTGAATTTCTCTTTTTCACACACCGACCATATGCAGTACACACACGCGATTGTTCTGGTCCATGAAGTTCACACACACCCACACACGATAGCTTAGCATTTTGTCTGAATTTCCCAACCATAGTAGCAATTAGCTCATTCATTAGCTCTCTTGGTAGCTGAATTCAATAATTTCACATTGGCTGCTACCCCCAACGGCTAACGCACGTGGCGTCAATTAGCAGTTGGCAGCTAAATTAGTGCGACGGCTAACGCGGCCTTTACTCACTGCTCTTTTCCCCAAAAATGGACAATAAACTCACCGCCGAGCGGGTAACATCCACCGGGACTCTGTGGAGTCAGCTCGCAGTGAATTCCAACTCGTTCACTGTATTTCAACAACTTCTTGATATTTCCTCGGGCAGAGCGCTCCTCACGCAGGCGGACGGAACGATCCCTGCTGTCAGACATTCACCTGTCTCCCAGGGTGCTGTGCGCACCTGCATCGCGGTTAATCCGCGACGTCATGACGCACTGCTCGCTCTCTCTTTTTCTGTTCGGCACAGTTAAGCTTATGAATGCCAGCTATCCCTCTCATACGCTCACACATGCAAAATAACCGACTTTCACCCTTTCTCCTCCATACCTTCTTCACAGTTTATGAAGCATGGACTACATGTGTCTCCAAGGAGCTTAGCTTCGCTCTGCCCTAAATACTCTCCTCCTATACCCCAAGTGTTAGGTGTGCTGCAGCCACACAGGTATAGAGAGGGAGGGAGATCAGAGAGAGCGGAGAGAGAGAAATAAACATGCAGCAGCCAGCCACATGTAACACCATATTTAATGAAAAATAGAGTCCTGCTTGGGTTAGCTTACAACCGAGATGTTTACAAAATTTAACTTCAGCTTTATATGGTCAGATAATCAAACTTCAGTTGAGCCACCAAAACACAGATTTAGACAAACAAACAAAACAACAACAAAAAACAAACAAACAAACAAAAAGTATATCTATCTATCTATCTTTTTAACAAAATATTTACATATATTTAAAGGTTTCTGGTATTTTTAGTGTCATCCAGTGGTCTGTCCTACTCTGCAGTATGAAGAGAGAACATGAGAGTGGTTGTAGTTTTCTGGTATTTGTAGTGATATCACCTGTCCTAAGTCTCTGCAGTGATGAGAAGTAGTGATGAGGAGCGATGGTGAGGTTCAGGGGGACTAATGTGAAGTCAGGTCGGACCTCAAACAGCTGCTCGGCTCCCTGAGAGTCGGTCAGGGGCCGTTTAGCACCCAGAAGACCTGCTGCTCTTAACTGGTGACCCAGCACAGCAGTCATGCTGCGGACACATATGCCTATCCACAGACACACATACACACACACACACACACACACACTTTTGTACGTACACAGACAGAGCTGCATATAAGATCTTTCCTCTTTTTTCCTTCCTGCTCAAACACAGGAACCTCTTCTTTCCCCTTTAACATCACCAAATAGACAGTTTGTGAAAAAATGATATTTATTGGATAAATCTTGAAGCACATCACATGTTGATGGTAAAATACATCATTTGATACTGAAGACATTTACAGAAATATGTAAAAAGGCTCTGCTGAGTTTACAAAAGCATTTCAGTCAAGGCTTCGAAAACAATACTGACAATAAGATGAGACCGATATGTACACTCTCTTTACAAATTAATACCTAAAATACAGCTCCTGTTTTATTTTTGGAATAAAAACACAACTTCAGCATGCTTCTCTTGGCAAAAAAAAGAAGAAAAAAAAACATATTTAAAACATTTCAGACTAATCCAGCTTTGAATTTTGTCATCTTGAAACCTTTAATTGTCTCTCTGAAAGTCGACTGAACAGAAACATAACCTAAGATTGATACTCATTCATGAAGCACATCAACAGCGAGAAAGACAGAAAAAAAAAAGACTAAAAATATAAAATATGTCTTACAGTAAATCACAGGAAACATGCAGTAAATGCTGCACAGATGAATGATTCATGCAGATGGATGAAAAACTGGATAAACAGACTTGCATCTGTTCTGTAAGTCTGCAGGTTTCCCTCTAAAAACAAGGGCAATCTTAATGTGGGTTCAGTTGGAGATACCGTTTTTAACTGAGTGTGATTTCAGTCAGATTAATGTGTTTACATGTATTCGAGAAGTCCAGTTTCAGCTGGACTAAGGCAGTAAATTGATTTTTGAACAATATGTAAACTCACTGAGTATTTTCAGTGCTTCTCGCCATCTTCTGCCTTTCATTGGATGTGACTGCAGTGACTCACAGAGCAGAGTTTCCTCATAAATATAAACAGAGCCAGCTTAAAGGAGAAAGGAGTATCACAGGGAGTGAAAAAAAGATGCCATTCACAAGCCCATGATGGACAGTGGATGCTATATACTGAACAGGTCAATATCACACAGAGAACTGTAGCATCCCTAACCTTCATCTTCAGGGTAGAGATGATATTCAAAGTCTGTCTTTTACAAGGAAAAAAAACAGAATCCCAATTAATATCTCAGTAACTGTTCAGTATGGCCCCACCTTTCTAGCCTTCCATGGCTCCATTTTCTCACACAAATGTGGTTGCATCTGGCTCTTAAAGAAAGACTTGCTAAAATCCAGGCTTTCAACCAGTGGACCACATACAGATTGGTGTTTCAGCAGCTGAGTCAGTATCTGTTTGAGGTTGAGACTGATGAAGCAAAACATAAGGGCTTGTGTCCACTAACAGCATTTTTTTTCTCCTTCTTGTATCAGCAGTTTCCCTTTTCCAAACAAACCAATGCAGCTCAGTGTTCTCAGTGTACAGTGTCCTCATTGCAAGAACACTCTCTGTCAGCTTTTTATGATGCACTCTGAGCTGAAAACAGTTCAGTTTCAGAGTGCCAATGTGCTTGGAACTATCATCAGCCAATCAAATCAAGAAGGGGTGGGGCTTGGGATATCAAATTTATCAAAAATAGGAGAGGAAGAAACCAACAAGGTCTAACACAATATTTTCCACTGACTCTTTTCCCTTTTCTTTGTGCAATTCCATTTAATAAAATATAAATAAGACGCAAACAGAGAGAGAATAAGACGCAATTGTCAGAGCTGTCAGTGGACACTGGCCCTGATGCCCCAAGTTTGGTCACGTTTCACATATTACTTTAACCTTGCTGTCCTCCTTTTGGCTACATTGAGGGCTTTTCTTGTCTAGATTTAAGAACACGTGTTTGACATGTTTGGCTCAACAGAAGAAAGACCTAGTTTCTTCAGTTTTTTTTTACATTTGACATTTAAAAAAATAAACGGAAAAAATATTGGCAAGGTTATCTGGCAGAGGAAGTTCACAGTGGAGCTGCTGGCCTAACAGACAAGAAATGTTAAAACAGGGAAGTAGACACAAAAGGGGATGTGGAAACATAAATGAATAGATCTTTTATTAAATAATTTTTGTTCTATTTTTTGGCTAACAGCCCTGTTTTTACATATTTTGAGGTCTCAAGGATTAAGAATGGAAATTTAAAACTGATTCTAACTCATTCAGGCTGCTGACATTGTTTGCCTGTTTGTTCAATGCTTCCCTTGTTGATGCCTTCCAGTTGGTTTTACGAGCCAAGCAATGCTGTGACGCACAGCGAGAAGCAGTCAAGTCATAACCAAGGAAGTAATTGCGGTGGACAGAAGACATGAGCAATCCAAGATGCTGTACAACACAACTTATTATTGCTGTATTTGCAATAGGTAAAGTTGGGGTTAAAAATGTGGCTGTATGTGCTGCTCTTCAGATGATTATAAGCAAAACTTTGTGCATGTCTGAAAGGGGCTTTCATAACAAAGACGGAAACTTTTGGAAAACAAAGGTAGATTTTTTTATGGGATTGTGAGCCTGTTTACTTGCTGCAGTTTAACTCATCTACTGCAGACATTCACAAACATTTTGTACCTTTAACACCTCAAAAAACATGTAAAAGCAGAGACTAGGTTCAAAAAAGAATAGGAAACATGCCAAAATTACAATATTAAGCAGCTTTAGATCTGTTTGATTAATATGCTGATCTGTTGCTATTCTCTGCAAAAAGCAGCAAACCTGTGATATAGATATGACGCTATTGATTGACTGCATAAAAACCAACAACTTTGCACTTGCAGCAAATGAATAATGGTTTACATTCAGCTCTCTTTTATGAAGATGACTAATTGTGATCAATATCCTGCACTGTAGGAGAATGATTCGTGGTATAAATGCTGTTTTTCCTTCGATAATTAAATGCATGAAAATAGTTGTATGTAAAGATAATGTTTGCATAAGTTACCAGATACCAGCTTCGATCATATAGGAGAAGTTTTGGCACAGGTATGATGAGGTGAGATCCAGAAACAGCTCCAGAGAGTCTATCGTCTCTCTCCATTCAGCAGCATGATCAGAAGAATCTGGATTTCCCTTTTCATCCAGCAAAAGCGAAGCATCACCTTGCAGGAGGTCAGAGTCACATGACTCTGCAGGCACTCCTAGCAGCAGGTAACGATGCGACAATCACGCCATGGTATACCCGTAGCTCCCACAATGCAACGCCACCAGCAGCCGGTCTCTAAGGACCTCCTGGCTCGGGTACTCTGGGAGTTTCAGCATGTTGATGCTGCAGGGAGGAGGGGGAGAAAAGAGAGCAGAGGGAGGACATTGTCAGAGAGAAGGGGGAGGGATGGAGTGCTGATGCCTCAAACATCTCCTGCAGAAAGACGTGCAGAGAGATGAATGACCTGTTGCACACTCCGTCATGCAGAGGCCTGCCCCTAATGTCACACTGGGCCGTCTCTGCACAAGGATGACAGAAGAGACACACTACCCTCTAGTGTTCAGGAGTGCACCAATCAAATATTCATCACCAAGGCTGCAGAGTTACTTCTCCTTTCTGCTGTCTCTGTATGTCTGTAACATGTAGTTTATCTGAGAAACACCTCATAAAACTATGAGACTAGAAAGCTGAATCTATTAGAAATAAATAAATTTTTTTGGAGCCAAAGTTGCATAATCAGACAGCAGAAAAATTACTAGATGTCTTTCTGTCACATTAAGAGTAAAAGATAAATTATTTTAACTTAAACATTACAAAAAGGATAGGTATCGTTTCAGAGGAGTAGCCCTTGACTGGCTTAAAAGCTACATGAGTGACAACAAGCAGTCTGTTCAGATGGGTCAGCGCAGATCAAATTGTATAAACATTACCTGTGGTGTCCCACAAGGGTCAGTCTTGGGACCCAAACTTTTCATTTTCCACATAAATGGTGTATTTGAAGTGTCTAATCTTCTAAAACTCACGGTCTTTGCAGACGACACAAACATGTCATGTTTTAGGGATGATCTGCAGCAGCTTTCAGAGGTGGACAGGAAGGAACTGAACAATTTAAAATACCGGTTTGACACCAATAAGGAATCACTAAATTTGATCAAAACCAAAGTTTTGTTATTCAGAAACCATGCTGGAAACCTTACATGAAAAATCTAATATGATGAGTTAAGATTACATACAGAATAAAACCAGAAAATCACAAAGAATCACACACTTTACTGTGCTCTAAGGTGCTTTTTGTCCTTCGAGTCTACCATCACTTTGGCAACAAGAGGAGTGAGCAAGGGAGCTTTTCAATCTTGAAACTGTGTGCTAAGTATCTTTAATCCCTGCATTTCCACAAGTTGTACCTTACGGAAGCCCTAAGCAGACATGTTTTTTTTTTTTTAACCCCTGTCTTCCCAAGATCACGAGATAGTTTTCTCGTGATCCCGGCGTTGTCTCAAAATTAATTCGTGATCTCGAGAAAATGAGGGTTAAAAAAATAAATAAATCATGTCTACTTAAGGCTTCCGTAGTACATCAAGTTAAAGCATCTGCATAAAGATCTGACAGCTGTCTCACAGCAGGAGAAGTTTCAAAACATCCAGTTTGCTTCAACTTTGGTACTTGATGTTTTGACAGGGAGAGGCTGAGGAAAAAACTACTTGGACTTGTGACACCTATTGCTAGTGTTTTAGATTCAACAGGTCCTGAACCGGTCAACAACAATACAATAAGCCTCTTAAAACACAGCCAGAGTAGACTCACATACTGAACAGAAGCCGTCAGAAATCTTTCTTACCATGTACTGGAGGTAGGCAGCAGGTTGGAGGTGTACGGCACAGCAGCTACTGTAAACTTCTGTAAACCGCTACCCCCCATCAAGAAAGCAAAGCCCCCATGAGGAACCCTGGAACTGATTCACAACATGAATTCAACACACTGTCTGCTGTATGGGGAACCCAAGTAAAACCCAGAAGAAAAACTCACCTTCCAGTGACAAACTGGAGCAGGAGAACCCGTTCCTCCTGAGTCAAGCTCTCCACCACCTCCCAGAACCACTGCAGGGGAAAGACACAGATCAGTAATAAGAGGAAATCAAGTAAAAGAGAGAGATATTAAAGGTTTCCATGCACTGAGAGCACCTGCCAAACCTGTGCATGATGCTGACAGCTCCACAATCAGATGCAAGACAAGCAACCTGCCGAACTTTACGGACCATTTCTGCTTCAATATATTAACAGAAAATCAGTTTGGCAGGTGTTCATTTTGGTCCTAGGCCACAAGTCTTTGGCCATCAGTCCAGGTCAGTCTGCTTTGTGCAACTAATCATTAGAGGGTGCCAATAAAAAGGACAAATCAAACTTTACTCATGGTGATATTAGCAGCTGCAATCCAGTCTATGTGAATTCACTTGTTCTGTTTTATCAGTGATATTTATCTGGTCAAATGTTTCATAACTATTTATCCTCTTTAAAAACACCCACTTTCAACAATCACACACACATCTTTGCGGGATGCCAGCACTTAGTTCTAGACAAGAAAAGGCCAAAACCACTGAGGGCTTGTGTTTGTTTATCTTTGTGTTCACAGTCTTAATGATGCTAAAATGAGAGTTTAGCTTCAGGGACTGAAACAAAAGTTTTTTAATAGCTTTATTCACCTCCAAGTGAGACACGTAAGGTATACGCATGAAGGGTATAATGGTGTTTGGAAACTCTTGATGCTTTTTCTTTTACAAATTTAATTCACCTTTGTCACTTTATTCTGTCTTTTTGTTTTTAATATCAGTTTAGTTTTTGTTGATTTTGATGCTGAGGGTCTCACCCGGATGACCGGCTCCTGAGGGTCGTAGCCACTGGTGTACTCAGTGTTCCTGCACCAATCCTGAACATCGATCTCTGGCATCCCAGACAGCAGGAGCTCCTGAACACATGAACACAAACACACATAGAATAACACCCTTAGATAGATTTACACCAAGAGAAAAACGTCCATAAACGTGGGTCCAGACCCAAAGTCTGCATTCGAGTGACAGGACTTATACCCAGCAGGTTACAGAGACGGTACAAGACGATTTTTGGAAATCAAGTCTCATATCTTCCAACAAGATGAACTTGAGTCTCAAATATTTTGACATGGTCCATGCCAAGTCCAAAGACCAAGTCTAGTCAGGAGTCCAAGAGTCAGGTTTCAAAGTCTTTTGGGTCGAGTACAGGTCAAGTTACAAGTCTTTAACTATAGTCCCAGTAGAGTCTTAAGTCTTTCAGCTGGTCAAACTTAAGTCTCAAGTCTTTGGCCATGACCGAAGTCAAGTCTTAAGTCTTCTGCCAAAAGTCTACATCTTTTGGTCCTCAGTAAAGTCTTCAGCTTAAAGTCTTTGGCCATTATTCCAAGGCAAGTTTCAACTGTCTGTTACAAAAAAAATTTCAAATAAGGAAATCATTTATTCACTTAAAAATTAAACCTTTAACACTAAATGTGTCAGGGGATGTAAACACAGTCACTTTGATTCTGAATGTAGGATACTGCAAAAATAATAACACTATGGAGTCTGATCCTCTCCCTTTCTCTCCTTCAAAGTGTCTCTGTGCTGACAGCAGCTGATCAGACACTAACAGCTGTCCTGCTGCAATGACAGAATGACCGAGACATGTCCAACAAATCCAGGACGGGATAATCATCATGCTACTCTATCGATCCTCCCGCTGCGGGGGCGGGAAATCTGCCGACACACACAGAAAAAAAAAAAAACAGCTAATGGAGTCAGACAAGAGGGAGGGGCTTCAAGGTCAGCGCACCCCGCCCTGCCAAAACCACAGCTAATCAATCCACAGATCAGAGTGGGCGGGGCAGGGGGACGAGAGAAAAGAGCACAGTGTGTGTGTGTGTGTGTGTGTGTGTGTGTGTGTGTGTGTGTGTGTGTGTGTGTGTGTGTGTGTGTGTGGGGGGGGGGGGGGGGCTGAACAAGACAAGGCAAGAGTAGGAGGAGAAGAGAAAGAGAGGGGGAAACAGGGAGGATCAGGAGGTCAGGATGAAGGAGGGGGATGTGAAAAGTAACAGAGGTAAAGGGCAGAAGAGAAAATGGAGGGATAAGAGAAATGAGGTGGTGAAAGAAGATGACAATACAGGAAAGGAAGAGATATTAAAAGAGAAAGAAAAGGGGAAAATGAAGAAGAGGATAAGGCAGAGGTGTATAGGAAAGGAAGAATATGTGTAGAAAGGGGAAAGGAGGAGATAAGGGAAGGAAGGAGGAGGAGAAATTAGGAGAGGAAAGGAAGGAAAGATGAAAATAAGGACAACAATAAGGGGGAAGAGGAATCTTACCAGTTCATACTCGTCAAAGAGCTGGATAAGCGAGGGGGGGATGAAGGTGTGGAAACCCGTCAGGAAGGCATTTATCTGAGGTTGAATGGCCCGAGTCATTCTCAGTTCTGTCACCAGCTGGACGTACTCCGCCTGACAGAGAGAGACAGAGGGACCCAGCTATCAGAGAGTGATAAAACAGCTCATACTCTTGTGGCTGTCTCTGCTTTAGACCACAGTGGCCTCTGCAGGACCTCTGCAGTACTACACTCTCTAATTAGGCGCTTCCAGACGATGAGCTGCAGGAGAGAAATCAATCGCTCACAGGAGACAAAGTGAGGAGGAATAAACTGCAGGGGAACTTCAGCTGGTCATTAACGCCACCTCCACACACAGAGAAAAAAAAGATACTGCAGAACTTTTAATCTATAATTACAACTTAAAGTTCTGGTCAGACTTTTAACTGACAAAATCTTTAGCAGAAACAAGAGATGAATCCAAGAGTGAGAATGCAGTTTTGTTTCGTTTTCAATGAGAGGTTTGGAGTTTTGACTTAATTACCAACAAACTTTTCTGCAAGAGCCAAATTTCCAAAAAATAAACACTCCTTTCTTACTGAGGATGAAGGATAATGTAGAGATGTGTTTTTGAGGAAAGAAAAGCATCTTTACAGTTCAATAAACATTAATTATTATTAATGTTGTAGTAATAATTGTAGCAACTGTTTTTATTATTTTCCTGCCTACTACTATTGTTGTCATTGTTGTTATGATAGGTATCATTACAATGGTCCGCATTTGATACTGACCTGAATATTTAAGAAGACATTTTGAAGCCTAAACCTTGTCTTTCTACAGACTACAATTTTAAAATATAATAAATCATAAATTATAATAAAGTACTAATAAAACAGAAACACTGAATTATACAAGATGAGTTGATGTTTTTTTCAGCATATTTCAAATCAAATCTTCATATTTTGAAATATCATTACAATATTCAACACATGTTAAAATTTGTCTTTGGGCGCTTTAAGAAAAGTGACAGTTCTGCACAAGGTTACTTACAACGATATGATCCTCTAACACATTTATAAGAACTTATAAGCAGGGGTATCTTGTTCTCAGTAAAATAAAAGACCAAAATACTTTACGGCAGTTATCAATGATATTTTTCATGACTTATAAATATTTAAATAAACTTACTAAGAGGATTTGGTAACACTTGATATAAATCTACCTCTTACAGTGCATCATATGGACATTTATAAAGTCTAAAAAAGTCTACAAATGTACCTATAAGGCTTTATAATGAGTGATTATAAACATTCATAGTGGCTTATAGCCATGTTTATGGTGTGGTATAAGCTGTATTTGCTTGATAGTGTATGAAATGTTTGTATACACTTGTTCAGTTATTGTCATAGTGAATCCCCATTTTTGTCTTTGCCTCTAGAACCTAGATTTCACTCAGTTACCTTGTTTTATATTGTTTAGTTTCTTGCTTTTAATGTGAATGTAAATGTATAGATATCTTTAAATGTGGACCTTTGTATGTGTTCATATTTTTAAAACAAAAAGCTTTACCCAATGTTAAAAAACAAAACTGTGTCAGTAACTGTTAATCCAAATTGTTGTGGGTTCTCCCAGGGAAAATCAGTATGGCGAAGTCAGAAAGGTACATTTTAGAGTTTTTTTTTTATTCCACCAGTCTCCAAACACAGTGAAAAAAAAAATGTACAGTGTCCAAAAATTATTTACAAAAAAATATTCAATCACCTGAACAACGGGCTCACACTAACAAATAGGTTAGATACTTGTGACCGCTGTGGGGGACCAGAAGGGAAAGTTTGGCGTTGTTGTTGTGTAGCGTGTCGTATGTAGCATGTAGTGTGTCTGCGCTAGCTGCTCTCAGTGACGGGGCAGCTATGTCACACAAATAATAACCCCACATTTCAGTTAATCACACTTTTTTCAGATGTATGGATAAACAGTGATTTATCTAATCTCAAAATGTAATATTTGAATGGAAGAGGTATGTTTTATACTTATTTCAAACTATAAGCCACAGTTTAAAAATTAAAATATAAGGAAACAAGCTCCAGGTCAAGCCTCTCTGAATCAAGTGTTTGGGATATCTGTGACATGGAAACAGAATCAAACTTCCTCACGAGGTGATATTGCAGCTTTGACCTGATTTTCGCTGACTCACCTTGTTGTCCTGGGTGACCAGGATGCTGGTCCCTCCAGGTTTGAGCGGCACTTCCTCCATCGCTCCGAACACATCTGTCTCCACAGAGAAGGTAAGTTCCAGACCCAGATCACTGATGTCGTTGTCCAGGATCCACTGCAGGTTTTTGGCATACTCTGGATCGATGGACGCCACATCTTGGTAATTCACTGGGATACCTAAAAAACACACAAACATTAACCATCACACAAAAGAAAATGCACAGTGGAGCTTCATTATTCCAAGGATTCAATCTGGAAAACAATAAAACAGATTTAGAGCTTTACTTGTTTTCAATCCAGCATCAGTTAACCCAGATCACTTAAACCCTGTTTTTTTATTTTTGTCGGATTAACTTGATCCAGGCACAGACTTTAAAATAATATTCAAATCCAAGTTACAAGCACTCAAAATTAGATGATTAACTGCATACTGTGTTCTTAAAGAGTGCCGACACAGCTGCTTTAAACTTGATATCATGTTACACAAAGCCCCCGACCTAAAGCTAAGACAAACTTTTGCTTTGCACTGATATCGGCGCCCCCGGTGGACAAAACCAGGCTCCTTCTCTTTTTGCCACCTTTGTATGTGTTTGTTGATCCATTTAGATGGCCTGTGGATGGTATAAAATGCTTTGTGATAATTGTAGACACTGACCTCAAAAACCTGTATGAATTGAATTACCTCCTACTGCTCGGTAAGACTGAAGATGATTTATATGGGTGGATGGGTTTGCCTCTCACCTTCATTGGCAGAGTTAATTGTATCAAAATGAACACATGTGTTTCAATCCCTGCCCATTCCATTACCACACTTTCTCTTTATAATTCCTGATAGATATGTCAGACAATTCATATGGAACTGTAAAGTACTCCTTATATCAATCGGCAAATAAACAGCACTATTGACTATGGTTCAGGGGGGATTTGTTTTGCACCCGTTCTTGGACACAATTTGGACACATCCCCTGAAAGAAAAGCCCACAGTGACGTCATTTGTAAGCATAATTATGGAAAGTAAAAAACAGGACAGATAACCCTACACTGAGGCATCTGATTGAAAATCGCTATAAGGTTCACAAAAGTCTTGGATTGAAGGTGGGACTGTCAGCTAAAACACCTTTAAATTAAAATGAACTTATATACATGCCTCTTGATAATAAGATTTTGGATATTGGCATCAAAAAGGAATTCAGTACTTGGAGGACTGCTCCAACAAAGGACTCTTCATGCCATTTGAACACCTCGAAGGGAAATATAACTTGTCCAATCAGACCTTTTTCTGTTATCTCCAGATAAGATTCTTTCTGAGAGCTAATCTGGGTCCTGAAATGACTCTGCCTGTCATGAATGATGTATAGACTGATGAACTCTAATATTCTACATCAATTTTACCTTACCCCAGAAAAATGACATTCATTTAAATGTGATCTGTCAGAGGTCTGTTGGTTCCTTTCTGCACTGTGCCTGGCATTGTACCAAAGTGAGCCCTTTCTGGCATGATACCTGCTCCACTGTAACCAGGATCACAGGAGTTAGTGTTTCACTAGACCCTGAAGAGTGTGTTTACTGGGGAACTTCACATGTACTGCTGTTCTCTAAATAATGCACAACTCAAATTCATTAAAGTTGGTCCATGTGTGGCCAAGAAGTGCATTGCAGTGTCTTGGAAATCTGATACCCCTGAACAGATGAACAGTTGCTTCCCCCCGAAAAAAAAAAAAATCACATATCCTCTCGTAAAACTATATAACACTTTTCAAAACTAGTTGGCAGCCATATTTAGACCATTTCGGTACATCTTTTTCACTGTGTACTTAATATAGTTGTTTGTATTGACTTTGTACACTGACCGCTTCTTGGGATGGAGGTGATGGGTGGTGGGTGGATTCTTCCTCTTCTTTTATCTATTTATTTATTTATTTTTTGATAGGGTAAGGGAGTTTATCCTTTACACACTTTACCATTTATTATGTCTACTCTAGCAATATGTTTCAAGTGATAGAAATTTTTTTAGACATCTAATATGTTGCACAAAGCTAATGTCTGCATTAAACATCGCCACAAGATTTTTGACCTGCAGACAAGCAAAAGAAAGTGTTTTCAGTTTTGCATCCAGTTTCTCTCCCTGAAATCCAGTAACAACAACTAAAGCTTGAGTTTTAGTCTGGTGGTCAGTCTTAAAACATCAACTATGACACCTTTGGGGCTACGCTCACAATGTTTGGGAAAGGTGGGGAAAATTATGACAAATTATGGCACCAAAGGTGTCACAATTTATGGAATGACACATAATGACAACCTTCATAATGACAGCCTTATTCATGTTCATGACAGGTGTCACATCATTATTATGACAGTGTAATGTCAGTCTTATGAACAGCCCTTCAAATTAAGTGTGACAGACTATTTTTGCGGCTTTAATAATAACATCTCGACAGCAACCATAAACAAAAATACTGTTCTCAATCACCACTTCTGACTCACCACGCACTTCACTCTTCCTCCTGATGATACAGTTTGCAAAACTTTTCAACACAAACTGATATTTGATTTAACGACATTTAAAACGTAACTTTGTTTACAAGCTGTTCAAATCAACTTACTATATTAAATGCATGTATGCACATTAAAATCTCATTAACACCCAAGAAATCACAGTTTTTTGAAAAACACTATAAAAACAGTTTTTTGGTTAACCAAAGAACACCTGTCTGTCTAAGTGGGTAATATAAGAAAATCAGATGTTATTGTAACTGAAAGGGGCCATAAATTACTTCTTCCCTTCACTTTTAAAGAGCTTTGGCTAAATTTGGGGGATACCCACTCAATCAAAATGGTACATTTCCCTTGTAACACTGTTATTTACCCAATTTGCCCCCCGGATAAATAAAGTATCTTGATTCTGATTAAAACTTAAAACATAAAGAACATATTTTGTTGTAATCCTAATTATGTAACTCACAGATATGCCTAGTAGTCATATACTCACGATTATTACAGCCTCGAGCTGTGTTTATTCTGTCTTCCTGCTTATCTCTCTCTCACACACAAACACACACACACACACACACACACACACACACACACACACACACACACACACACACACACACACACACACACACACATCTTACTCCTCCTGCTCCTCTCCCTGCTCTCCTCTCTCCACCTGTGGAGTTTGTACTGCTGTTGCACAACATGTTTGAGACAGTTTAGTCTATGGTTAGGGGTAGTAAGAACTGCAACTTGGGAAAGACGGATCCAAACCTGCTCTTTCATGGTTAGAAGGATTACAGTCAACTTGAGACAAATTTTGCACATTTCATGAATCTGTATGCATACAACATGTATGAACAAGCTCTAGTTCTGCACTTGGATCCACCCCCTCTATTGCAATAGAAGAACAAACAGTCGGATGTTCAACAGCAAAGTTAACTGAAATAAGTTGAACTCACATCCATTACCAAATGTCTTTGTTGAATAATTAAGGCTTCAAGGTGTTCGATTTATGATTGCTTCAACTGCGCCAACCTCTGACTTCAAGGATCTTTATTTCTGTTTCCTTCTCAGTCAATTATGAATGCAGCTGAAATGAACTTTATCCAACTCTTCTTTGTTTTCTTATTTGCAAGAAATAGATCTGTCTAGAGTCTAACTTGATAAAAAAAGGTAAGAAAAACAGCAAACCAGCATGTTAAAATAGTGACATTGGCAGAGCTGGATTACTCGTTTGCAAGTGTGTTGAGGTTATTTGTGAGGAAAGCCATTCAAATTTCAAACACTACAGAGTGAAACTACAATCGTCTTTGCTTTCACTGAGGCCTTTGTGTCCTTACCCAGGATGTGTTTGTAGAAGGAGCGGGTGAAGTAGATGTTAACCAGCTGTCTGTGGTACAGAGCCAGACCCAGGATCTGACCCGCAAACCTGAAGTAGTTCAGGTGGTCCGGGTTCACTGAGGAGTTACTGTTGGGCTGAAAAGTGGTGCCTGCAGATCAAACACATAAAAAAAAACACTTTAACTAGACCTCAATGTGTGATATGAGGATAATCACAGGATAGAGGGTTTCTCATACCGTCAGCTGACTGCGTGAATAAACCGTAGTCTGGATTAATGATCTCATTGGACAGGATGTCAAACCACTCCCTCACCACACCCTGACCCTGAAACAAAACACAACATGGTCATTATAGTGGGTTATAGAGACATGGAGATCCTGAAAACCGCAGAGAAACCCACCATCCCCTCCTCTCCGTGGAAGCGCACAGCGATGCCCTGTTTGAGCTTCTCATTGGTGGACTTTGAAACCATCTCACAGCTGCTCCTGAAGATGGAGTCTGTTAGTTAAACACAAATAAATCATTAGAATTACACGTTAGGAAATTCTACAAAGGTCTAAAACTGTGTTCAATTTTCAAGAGATGAGCCCTAAATGAGACCTACAAATCAGCAAACAACCTCTGGGAGAATGACTGTTTTTATCATCTGAGGTAGGAGTCGAGTGCAGTAGCTGAGTGGAGAAAGTTCACCCTTCATCTTAATCATGCACAATATGGATGTGTTTTATTCAAACACTGATCAAAGAGAACTGAGAGATATCTGACAGGAACAGTGAAAAACAGCGAATACCCCGATATGAAGTCTCACTCTCGTATGTTTACATCTCACCGCAGTCACGCTAATGAACTAAAGTTTGTTCACAAGAAACTTGACGAGCATTGCCTGCAGGCATAGCGTCGAGAAATGTACATCGAGCACTCACTGCTTCAAGCAAAGTTGTCCAATGCAGGAAACTTCTCCCACCTTTAACGGAGTAGTCGTAAATTACACAAGATTTTGTGAAACAGGAAACAAACTGAGTGAGCAATCTGGCAATGACACCCAAAAAAAGTTTGATTTCATTTGCTTTTTAAGTTTTCTTTAAAGTCAAACCGGGAAGTTTTCTAAATATAAATGATTCAGTTTTTTTCAAAATTTCTTTGTTCTTGAAGCAAAAGTGTTAAACAAGTGTTCACGTCCCAAAGCGTAGGTTTGATTGATGAGGACAGATTGCAAGATTGAGAGGGAAAATAAATGTTTTTGTTTATGACCTTGTTTCTGTGTCAGTAAGCTATGTCTGTTCCTGTTTTTTCATCACTTTGTTACGTTTTGTGGGCATAGTAGAATTTTGGGAACTGCTGCACTAAACCAACATCTGGCAGCGAGCCTGAGTTTTCCTAAAAGTAAAGATGTGGTTGTAAACTCAGTCCGTGATTGGACTTTGTCGCTGTGCTCTCCTCACACAGGAGCAGTAAGGTAGTTTGAAGTTTGTCTGGGACATGTTGTACCTCTATGGATGAGCAGGATGTCGTTCTCATTGACCGGACGATGAACCATGTCAGAGTCAGGCTGTCCGGCCAGCAGGTGCTCGTAGAACCACTCACAGCGATCCTTGAAGGGCTGAGGAGGGAAAACAAGACTTCATCCCACACTGCACAGCGTTTTCCTCCACTAATTACTACTCTGCTGCTTTCAGCTGCTCACACTGTGGATTTCTCTTCTCCAACAGACGGCTTGGAAAGCTTTCAGAGCTAAAAGCTCCTCTGTAATGTAGAGCTGAGGCTGAGCAATATTTGCATAATATATGCCTTTGTTCTGAGCGCGTTGGAGGTAGAGTGAAGGATGAGCGTAGAAAAGAGAGAGCGGCGTCTCCCCCTGAGGCTGCGGGCATGCAGAGAGACGAATCAGCAGAAGGAATCAAATTCACAGGTTAAAGTCGATAATTAAAACGAGGGCCGTCTCCCCGGCGAGTCATAATCCACGGGTAACGAGGCTCGAACCAACGAACGGAGGCAGGAACGGTGCAGCTCAAATATGAATTCTGAGGAGTGAGAGAGCAGCACTTAAAATTTATGAAGCTGTGTAAATGGAACTTAAGACAAGTGTTATCACCACAGCTGTAACACTGTTAAATGATCCTGAAGAGAAGACCGGGACTTTCAAAGTCACTGCCATAAAGTCCCCAAAGACACAAACATAAAAAAAGGGACAGACTGTGAGCTCCCTGTCAGAGCGGAGGAAGGTAAGCTCTTCAGGAGACACAGTCATGTTTGCAGAAGAGCCAAAAGATGAGGAACTGACCGTTGATTAGAACAGCAAAGAGGATATTTAACAGAAATCACCTCCTGGTTTTATGCCTCAGCTGACCAGTGAAGTTCAGGTTCATCAACCAGCCTCACAGACAGTGTAACTGTGAACTACACAAAAACTACACAAAAGTTTGCGCAAGTTTCAAAACATTTTTCCACTGCATTTGTCTGGATCCACAAAAACGAGTCATGAAGGGATATCTACAGATTTCCTCCTGTTTAGTGCTCCATTTTTAGGAGCTTAAGTCCTTTAAGAGAGACAACCTCAGTATGAGTTAAACGCTCGGCCCCTTCGCCGCATGTCATGTGTCGCTCTTTCACTCATTGCCCTGCCCTGTTCACTGTCTATCCTCTAATTGAAGACATAAAAAGCCCCCAAAAAACCACTCGATCAAATAAACACAGGCATGTCTCTGAACATCAAGATGTGACAGTGAGGTTAGCTTTTGATAAGCAGTGTGTAAGAGCAGGATTGGCTCATTATCAGGTTTTTTATGTGGACATTTCGAAAGGTCAATCCTAATTCTTAATAAGAATATCCGACAGATTATTCATAAAAATTCTCTCAAATTCTGATTGGAATAAATTTAAAACTACTTTTTTCAAATAAGCGAATAATCTTTGCTTTTTACATGTCATGCACGTAGACTGTATACAGAATGGCCACCGTCTGCCTCCTTGCTGGGTGAAGCCACCCTGAGAACAGCACCCTCTGGTGACGGGCTGCAGTATAGGTCATTAATCCCCCTCAAGCAATCCCTATGGAGCTGTGGACAAACTTTAGCGATTAATTACACAGAATATACATTTTCCTCCCCCCTGGTTGAGATGTTGAAATGTAGTTACTGTAAGACTGGTTTGTGCTCAAGTCCTCGTTTTTCTGTGCAGCTCCATTTTTAAAAGTTATTGGGGGTTCATGTTTTCTAGTATTGACACTTGATACAGCCTATGGGCGTACGAAGATTGCTTAGCTCACCCGGGGGATATGCTGTTTGAGCCGAGCGTCATCACAGCGACTCTCGGGGACTCTCCTGCCGAATGCGTACAACGCCATTGCGCAATGTTGGTTTCAGGAATTGGAGAAAAAAAACGGAAATATCGAGAGCTTTTTGGCTTCAAATCTGTATACTGGCAGAAGGCGGAACCAAGGTGTCCATACAGTCTATGGTCACGCACCTGAAGTTGATTTTAAGTTTCCTGCTTTCTCAACAATGAACCAACCACTGACTCAATCCAGATTCCTTCAGGTGCCAACATATAAAGTCTCACCTGGCCTTTAATGATATGCATGAAGCGGGACATCAGCTCAGGGCACTCCAGCAGGAAGTGAAAGTGGTTGAAGATGATCTTTGGATTCCTGGAAAAGAAGAGGCAAACAGATAAAGAGAGAAACAAGACAGAGGGAGGTGAGAGAACAAAGAGATTAAAGTGGAAATAAACTCAGTGGAAAAGAAGCTTCTGGATCAATACTCAGGCCTCTGGGGCTCTGTGTGAGGAGGGTGAAAGATGGTAGAGACACGCTGACTCACCTGGTTACAAAACACTTCAGCACCTCATCGTGCTTGCAAACAAACTCTATGAAACGAGGGGACGTCATCCTAAAAGAGAGGAAAGAGAAAGACGGATTGAAGAGGAAAATAATAACTCTTAAATCTGTATGAGCAACATTTTTACACTGAAATCGAATTAGACATTTATTCATCACTCAATCCGAGTGCTGACGAGAGGGCAAGATCAACAAAAAGTGAAATAAATAGAGCTAATTCATACCACAATGTCAATCACAGGACTCTCCTAGAAGGTAATTGACAGCTCTAATGATCTAATTGTGAATAATTATGGTTCTGAAGAAAGTTTAAACAAACAGAGATGAACGTAGGAGGTAGACGAGGCAGTGCAGCTCACAGTGGGAGATATGTTGAGATTTTAGAGGTAAATGCTGAGAGAAAAAAGGGTTAGATAATGATCAGTGAGCCATTTGAATACAGATAATCCATAAAAGACATCAGAGTGGATCTGTCCTCATCTCTCCTCAGTGCAAAACAGATGAAAAAGTGAAACTCAGTTTACATAGAATATATATTTCAGCTTTCCTCCTCGAGTGTATCTGACAGAAAATCCAATTCAGAATCAAAACAATGTGTGAAAATAATGGAGGATAAAGCTTATTGGAAATGTTACATCATACTTCACTTTTGATGATACAGAGCTTTCTATTCTTTATACTTTTACACATGGGCTGGAAGGAAAGCTGCTCAAGCTGCAGCTTTAAATGCTCTAACCTGTTGATATGCACATCAAAACCAAAATGAAGCTGCTTCTAGGGATGGGCAATATTGGCTAAAAAATTTATCACTATATGATGTGCCATTCTAGCGATAACAAAAAAAGTCCTGATAAAAAATATTATAATTACAATCTATATTTTTGTCTCAGTTGGAATAGTCAAATAAGATACTTAACCACAAGTTTGAATGGTAGGTTATGGAGAAAACTAATGAGATCAAACAAGTCTCAAATGTGAAAACATTTTCAACTGAGAAATTTGACACACCACAATCAAATGATAAAGACTCTTCATCTAATGTAACATTCAGCTTTATACATGGAAGTACTTGGTTTCTTTTGTTGTGGGCTGGGTAATAAATGAGATTGTGTATATCTCATGTAAACTCTGGGGTCCTGTCTCACCTCTTGGGATTCTCATTTGCATAACCACTTGTTCACTAGGCTAAGGTTATCACTCAAAAAAGTGCTTTAATGCCAAAGGTAAATATCAATAACTCAAATTTATCAACTTTACCGCCCGAGGAGAAGCTGACAGTCCTTCTGGGTGAAGGATCAAGCAGCTCTGTGTGTTTCTGTCTGCAACAACCTGTGGGCCTCACCCTCAACAGAGGAGCTGTTTGATCCACTCTCTGTCATTATTCAACTGTGATATAGCTGCATGAAGATTTAATACATTAAGTTGTATAAACAGTTTAATCTTTAAAGAAATGTAAAATAATCATACTATCATGGAATGTGAATTTGTGACATAAATGTTGTGATTTTTTTTTTTTTGTAACGTCTTTGCTGATAGCAACATTGATTGTTCATACGAATGAAGCAATTTAAACTTGACATCAAAACAAATGGTATTAAATGGTATGGAGAAAATGCATTATTTGAATATAAGGCAGGTGGAACACTCTGTAAGGATCCTCCATTTCGACCAACATTCTAGATCATTGACCTCACACTGAACAGGAGCTGAACTTAGACCTTAAACCTGGAGAGAATGATCAGACCAACTCAAACCATCGGACGAACAGCATCATCCCTGTGCATTGGAAAAATATTATCAGCAACCACTTCAACATCGATCTTTTATTTAATCTAATCTGTAGAATATAAGACAAAAACTGTTTTTTGTGATCAACTTTTTACTGAATAATTAGATAACTTTTTTTGTGTGATCATTTTTCTTGTCTGAGTAATCAGAGGATTACTCTGACACTTTGATTTTGTTTGACCTTGTTTTATCACTGTACCAACATGTATGTGAGATTTCCTGCAGGAACTCTGAACTCTCTGTAAATAACTACAATTGTTATGTATCCATATCTGCAAGTTTCTGTAATTTCTTAAATAAACTTCATGTCATTTTCTCTCTTTCAGCCCTGTGTGCCAGTCACATATGTGGCAGCTGTTAACACCCTGAACAGTCCAAATACTGTTCAGCTGCAGAGACCCAAGCTCCAGCTCAGCGATGCTCAGATTGCCCAGAGTCTGAGAGAAACACTCTGCTCTACCATCGCTGAGCTCAAGACTCTGAAGGAGCAAAACAGAATCCTGCAAGAGGAGCTGCAGAAAAAAGATGACCTCCTCATCGCACTGACAAAAAAGGAGCAGGACCGAGCAAATAACTATGAGAGTTCACTGGACCTGCTGGCCCAAAAAGAAGACAAAATAGCTGAACTACAAGAACAGCTTAAAATGAAGGCTGACCTCCTTGAAACTGCTGCTAAAAAGGAGGAGGACATGATTGAGGCCCATGTTGAGCAACTTGCTCAAAAAGAAACAGAGGTTCAAAAACTCCATGAGGAGCTGCACCGAAAAGACGACCTGCTGAGAAAAGCCCAGATAAGGGAGCAGGATACAAAACGGGCCCATCAAGACACGATTGACCTCCTGGCTCAAAAAGAATCAGAGTTGAGCCAAATTAAAGAGGAGCTGAGGCTCAGAGATGAGCTGGTGCAAAAGGCTGCTGAAAAAGAGCAGACCTCGGCCAAGGCCTATGAAGACCAACTGGCCCACAAAAACTCTGAAGTCTGCAGGCTGGAAGAAGAACTGAAGGTTATGGGAGAGGTCCAGTGTAGGGCTGTAAAAAAAAGACGTGAGCGCACCAGAGCTTACATTGCCACCCTGGACCTTCTCACCAAAAAAGACCTGCAGCTTCAGAGGAATGAGGACAACTGGAGGACAAAATATAACAATCTGCAGAAGTGTCTCCATGACCAGACCGACAATCTGCAGGTACTTCAGAGCTCAGTATCAAAATAATCACTTCATTGATTCTCTAGGGAATAATTAAAGGTTTCTGCTGAATCAACTAACACACAGTTTCTTTTTTAGCTCCTCCAAAATTCAACACAGGAGGGGAGGAGACAGCAAAAGGAGGAGGAGGAGGAGATGAAAAAAGAAGAGGAGGAGAAGATAGTCAATAAGGACAAGAGAACTGAGACCGACAAACAGTCAAATGAGGGGAAGACAAAGAACAAGGAGAGCGAACATGAGAAGACCAGGCTTGAAGAAATAGAGGAACTCATTGAAAAAGAGACCAAGGAGACCTCAATGAAAAAGAAGAGGAAGAAAAGAGGACAGTGAATTAAAAAGCTGTCAACTAACCCCCCTACCCACCTTCCTAATCCCCTGCCTAACCTTAACCTCTCTCCAAACCCCCTTTCCTAACTCCCTTCCCATCTTTCCTTCTAACTCCTTCCTAACCTAAACCTCCCTGTTCCATCCATCGTCCAACCCTAACCCCTTCAACCCTTACCCACCTTTCCTTCCCTTATTCCCTCACCTCTTTGTACATCTGAAAACTGTAAAAAACTGAAGAACATTAATACAGTTCTGTTGAGCTGAGCGTTTCTTTGTCTTTTTCTTGTTGACTTGATTTGGTTTTTGAAACTGTTTCTTACACATCTGATAACTCTTGAACCTTAAAAATCTTTAAAGTCAAAGTCATTCAAAAAGTTCACAGCTTTAGACAATTATTCTATAATGTTTCACTTTGTTTTTCTGAATGCACAACTCATTTACAACACACATGTCAACCCTCATTAGTCAGTCTCTACCAACACATGTAAATCAAAAGGTTTTAGCTTTGAAGGGAGTTTAATCAGATTCTGGTAAATGTTCAGAGAGCTCCAACTGAAGGTAATTTAGGATTTTTTTTTTTTTAATGGGACAATATGCATTAATTAACATTTACATGTAAAAGGATTATAGCCAAGCAGCTAATTTCCATCCCCAGTCCCATTAGCAGGTTAGTGTCATATTTTTCCATACATAATTTTTCGTTTTCAATACTTTTTAACACCTAAAAAATTGTTCAAATTTATTTCCATACTTTCCATACTTGCATAGGAACCTTGATGTGGATCTTCGTTCAGTAACGAGCCGCTCAGAATCGTCTTCTTCATTACCTTCAGCCATGTTTGTTTGTTATCACATCATCAACTTGCATCTATCGTGTTTATCATGAGATAGCAAATTATATCATAGAGGATTTTTCTGATGATTTATTGTGAACAATAATTTATCACCCATCCCTAGCAGCTTCTGATACATTTAGTTTGGAAAATGGAAATAAGTGAAGGTACGGATTTCTATAAAGAAGGCTCAGCCAGGGATGTTGAAAATTCAACTCTTGACCTAAAAGCTGCTCCAAAGGTAAAGAGTGATCTCAAACAGTGATTTTATCAGCGATGGCCTCTGTCTAGCCTCTGGCAAAGAGTCTGCCATATAAAAAGCAGCCCCTACGGCGTTGACAACACAGCAGCCGACACTTGAAGTTCTCTTTGTTCAATAATTAATCTGAAAGTATGAAATCTGACCCTTGTGGCATCTGACAGGAGCAGCACATGTAGAAGGCCTGGATCACCGCACTGAGTCGATTGGCCGTCATAGAGATAACATCCTCCCCGTCTGGGTACACCTCTGTTTCCATGACGATCTGCGGGTCCAGCAGGGAGGAGGGGAGCTTTGGCGTGGAAACGGAGGGGTCGACCTCTCGCTGTTTGAGGAGCAGAGAGGCGATCTCGCTGCTGGAAGAGGAAGAGGACGGGTTCTTCCTGCTCCTGTCCAGCTCTGTGGAAATGAGCACCAGCCACTCGTCCAGGGAGTGCCACAGCAGCTCCAGAGGCTGCAGACAGACAGATAGACAGAGAGGGAGTGAAAGAGGGATCAAATCCAAAACAAAGAAAGAGAGATAGAAGAGGACAAAGATTCAGCTTGGATGGATCACCAAGATTACAACAGACTGAAGAAATCTGAGATGCATATTGTCACTTTTTTACAGTTACACTGTAAATCATATCATATCTTATAAGACTGCATTATACTATGTCATATCATATGTTATTGTAATGTGAGTATCATAATTCTACATTAGGGCTGGGTAATATGGCCTCAAATCAATATCAGGATATATTGAGCAGTTCATCTTGATAACGATAAATGAATGATAACTACTCCACAAGCTGCTCACCCCTTTTGAACCATCCTCCATCTCCTCACCTGTCTTTCCCTATTTGTTACGGACTGACGTACGACAGCGTTGTAAAGGGACATGAGACCATAACCTACCTATATACATCCAAAACCAACTTTTATCTATTTTTTTTTTTTTTGACACCGAATACACGGATATGGGGAAAATGATGTTAGTTATTTTCGTAATTTCATTATCGGTAAATTTTCAGTTTATCACCCAGCCCTATTCTATATGTTATAATGTTGTTTTATTCCTGACTGGATTGTACGTATTTTACAATTTTGATTCAAATTCAAGACTTTTGAAAACTGATATTCAAAGATTTATTGAAAATCCAAAAACACTGTTAGAGCTCTTGATGCTACAGGTTACAAATCAGCTGAAAATGTACAATTTCTACCTGCTCTGTGACTGCTATCATTTAATTCTGTTACATACAATAACCTTCACAACAAACGCATGAAAAACAACCAGTCACAGGGCTGGTGGTGTGGATGAGTCATTAGAATAGGATGGTGATTTTAAGTTAATTGTGTTTATTAGTAAAGTCTCTGAAGTAACATTTTGCCTCATCTTCCTCCGTCCCAATTACAAACCAAATACCGCTTCATCAGCAAAAGAAACCCTGATATTCCCTCAAGGGAGAGCCCTGCTGCTTGTTTCTATTTGTGTGAGATGGGCCAAAGAAAACAGCCATTGTGTCTCAAGCTTGTCTCTCAATATAACTCTCATGCACTTTTTCAAGAGCAAGAAAGTACTGAGTGACTCGCTAAAGACCAAGCTAAAGAAGTAATCAGTTTTTAAAGCAGGTATTTCAGATAAAACATCTCTCATGTAGTGTTTGTGTTTGTTTGGCAGAAGACGGACTTTCATTAAAAACATCCTGATTAAAGTGAAAGAAAAAAGAATCATCGGAATACAAATGAATTAAAACAATCATGAGAGTCAGCCCAAAACTTTGAAGCTCTGCATGCTGTTGTAGATTTGAAGATTTTAACTTACAGGGAGCAGGGCAACTGATCATGAGATTGCAGAAAGACTTCAGAGATCATATTTCCCAAATATCAGCATGTCCGTGTGCAGACGGGTGACAAATCAAAAGGTGAAACTGACATGAACTACGTCAATGATCTCAGGCACTGACTCTCCGTATTTATGGACTCGTCTGAGGGGACAAACTGCATTCCCCATTTTTCTGAAATGTCCCAAAGTTGTTTCACTGAACTGAGATCCGAGCAGAGCCTCCAGATCTCCTCACTGCAATGTCTAAGTTTCAACTCTTCCCTTCACTCGTCACCCGTCTGTACTCGACACCCAGAAGTTCAAGATTTACTGCGTATGATAAAAATGGTGATGAGCTCACATCTAGGACAGCAGAGCCTGTCCAGGGACAATCGTCTTTTTGGACCGTCTTTACCTCCTTCTGAGACACACACATCTGCAACCAATGGAACCATTACTTATTACCTTCCTGCAGAGGATCATACATACATGTTGATATACACACAAGTATGTGCATATTTTTCTTGTGACATATCCCAGAGTAAAACATTTACTTTTTTATTTGAATATCTTTAAATATTCAGTTTCTGCACACCTGAGAAAGGCAAAGATTAAGTGAGCAGACAGGGATGTTAAATTTCAAACACACAACCACACCTGCAGCTTGGGCGCTTTGCATGCACAATCATCCTCCAACCTTTGACTGGAGGAATGGGACACACCTGTGCTGTGAGTTTAAACGGCACTTTATTGAGCGTATTCCGTCAGCGTCGAACAGTGCAGTCTGTATTTGGAGCGTGGCAGCAGTGTAGTGCAGCCCCGGTCAGCCGTGCTCAGTAAAGAGGAAACAACATGCTCACAACAGGTTGGTTTTGCTTTCTATGATCTATTTCTTGCTAATTTGGATATAATTCAGTCACTGTTGAGCCTCTACTATATGTGAAAAAGCTGTGTCATTTTACACTTTTGGTTTTTGCAGGTTTTACTCCTGTTTAATAAAGTAAACTATGTTCCTTTATGCTGTGCTGTTACCTTCAGACAGAGTTAGCAGTTCAAAGTCCTGTTAGGGTCCACATGGATCAAGGATTGACCATCGGATTGTTCTGTGTTATTGATTAATCCATAACCAGGAAGTATTTCTCATCTGCATGAACTGATACACAGTTGGGAGTCCACATATGGCGTTTTATTTTGAAATGTACCGGATGACGTGCGGTTTTTGTGCTTGACATCCTGTCCAGAACGATCTTCTCTGTGTAGATTGACTTGTATTGGAAGAATAGAGCAGCAAAAATAGACTCGGCACGTGTCTTTATCAGAGCAGAGCCGCACTCGATACGGAGCTACGAAGGAGCTGATATGCGTCCTGTATGCGATGCTGCATTGATTAGAACAACAACCTATTTGCTGAGTGGTACGGGACGCTGACGGAACGCGCTAAATACAGACTCTGTATGTTTTAGCCTTAAGACAGCAGCCGAGCAGCATTAGCCCAATTATACCTGCCCTGATGTGTCACATTAATATGTTTTTCCACTGAATTAGTGTTAAGAGACTGCCAACAGATGCCATCAAAGAAATCTCATCATGAAAAAAGATGTTTTAAAGATTCAATTGTTGGTACTTTATGCTATACGCATATCATAACGTGACGTTATAGCTAGATGTTTTCATGCTTTGTTAGTGAGCAGGTCCACAGTAACATTACATCCATTTTTATTAAGGGACCACTATAAAACAAACGCTCCAACTTATCAACTAAAGGGTAAGTGTAGTTTTTTTTTTTAATGGCGCAAAGATCACACACCATTTCTTTTAACTGGATGGTGTCCATGGATCATTACTTTTATTTTGGTATGCAATAATGTTGTTGTTAACATTAAGTTGAAGTATCTTATCACAGCCAGACACTCCAGCTGATGGGGCTGGACAATTTGGTCACCAGTGACTAAGCAATAGGAAAAATGGAAAATCTCAAATATAAAATAAGCCATAATAACAGCGTCAATAATATATCTTATAATAAAAACATTGTTATGCTGATGCCAGCACAATCAGCTGCATTTTGTTCTCTATAGTATTGTTACCGCTATGCAATGTGAAGAAGGTTTTTAAAAATGCACACTCAGCTGTTTAATACACTTACAGATTATGGGCAATTTGTGGTTTCATGTGGCAAAATGTCACCCAAGTATGTGAACAAGCACAGGCACAGAGTGGCAGGACAGTACAAGAAGTTTCAAGAGACATTAGTGTGTCAGGGCAACATGCATTTTAGTGCAGTCCAATTATATCAGTAATGTTTTTATAACTTCATCTTTTTTTTCCCTTTGAAATGATAATAGTCATTTGTTTGACAGCTATTTATGTGCAAAGTTCTTCTTTATTGGTTTTATCTTTTGTGGATTCCCTTTAAATTATTGAGTAAATCATTTTTTCTCATCCAGCCTGTCACTCTGACTGAAATGACAGACATGTGACAATAATAATAGTAGTTTGTACCTATGAAGTTATTGTATGCTTTTTCGCTTGTCTTTAATCTCTTTCTTGATCATGTTATATTCATTCAGATGTGTGCTGTTGACCTCTTGGTCAGGTCATCTTGAAAATGAGACCTGGAACTCATCTGGTTATTACCTGGTTAAATATAAACCAAATTAAAGGATCTGTTTGCATGTATTCAGTTGCATTTTTCCGACCCTCAGGTCTTATTTTCGGTAAATGTAATCTTTCCACTGACCTTAAAGACCTGGCTGCGGGGTGTCTTGTTGCCATTGTATCCCATGTCATTGCCATTGTTTGGGGAAGAAGGACCCAGACGAAACACGTGACAGAAAATACGAATAATTCTCAGCAGACTTTTCATCTGAGCTTCATAACTGCTGGACAAGCTGAGGAAGGACAGAAGTGTAAATAGAGACACTCAAGCAAATTTCAACATCATCCAACAAAGATTCCCAAAAGATGCATTTAGAGTAAAAAAGCATTACACTGTTGCAGAGACTACTCAGTTTGACCTTTTTTATCCTGGCTTTCTTTTTGTAATCACTGTTATTATATTTCCAATTTTAACTTGTCTTTACTCTGATTTCCTTTGAGGTTTTTAATCATGTTCTGTTAGTGTAAAGCACTTTTACATCTAACTGTGTAAAAAGTGCTATACAAATAAGTCTGATTGATTGATTGATTGATTGATTGATTGATTGATTGATTGATTAATAGCGTCTGATTAGAAAAGTTGGTATTTAACAAACTGACTTTTGTTTTAAGAAACATGAAAAAGACAAAGAAGCAGGTATATGAAATCCTACCTGAGCAGCTTGTGTCCGTTTGTCGTAGCAACCTCAGCGAGGCTGGTTAAGATCCTCTGATAGTGAGTGTCACTCTGCTGGGACACATGCTCCAGAACCTGCCTGAGCTACACACACACACAAACACAAACACACACACACACACACACACACACACACACACACACACACACACACACACACACACACACACTCTCATTTATATTCATAGTACCCACCAGGCCTCTGAGTCTGATCACTATGACAGCAAATTGAGAAAATTATTGATATCTAAAGACTTGAGCTGAATTTTACTATGAAAGGGGGTTTTAAGGCTTCAAATAAGTCTCAAATGTTTTTTTTATTTTTGTGTAACTCTGTTATAATCCATCTGTTGTTTCTGTTTTTATCTCACACTACAGCAGCTACTACAATTTGATATAAAACAGGCAACCCCTAAACTAAACTTCATTGTCTTTGGAGTTTTTATTTTGCAATCAGTCACGCACAAAAAGGTAAGTGGAACATTTTAGCTGAGTAATTTTGAGGTCAGTACAAAATTAATCAAATAACTCGTTATAAAATCCATCTACAATTTTCTCTGTTAGATTTATGAATTTAAGTGGACTTCAGTCTAGATTTTGAGAAATGTATTCCTCTAACTTTTAACACAGGAGAGGCCCTGAAGCAGTGTAAATGCACCTTTAAAGCTGTTTCAGAGCTCCGTCTTACCATGTTCTCCTTGATATCATCATTCTGGGTCATCTGGATGAGCATCTGAAACAGTCTGCCATGATGCTGGATGAGGATCTCACAGGTCTCGCCATACCCACCCTAAACACACGCACACACAACAGCACATTAAGTGACCTCACAAGCTTAAAAACATCCTCCAAACTTGGCTGGTGAGGAGATCAGATGCTTACCTGCACACAGAGATCCAGAGGAGTGATCCCATTCTTGTCAGCGAGGTATTTGGCTCCTCGAGAGAGCAGAATCTGAGCGGTGTCTCTCTGACCATGGCTGCAGAGAAACCGAGGGATAGAATATTTCACTGCAAAACATTCTACTGGTATCTTAAAGTAGTACCTTTCCTATATACTGGGTTATTCTCATAGATTCTGATGTGCATTAGTAACTTTTAATGCAGCACACAACTTGAGTCTGCAGCATTTCAAAAGACTGCAACATAATCCTGATGTATCAAAGTGTGTCAGCTAAAGTTCTTGTTTTTGTCCCTTACAGGCTAAGGTTGTTATTCTATAAGTCTGGCAGCATCCCAGAAAAGGTCCCTACAGAAAGAGAGCTTTTAGTTTAGGATGGATAATGTTTTTTTAATTACAAACAGCTTTTTTAAACTCTCTAGAAGTTTATTAAAAAACACCCTTTAAAAGTCTCTCTAGACAGAAACAGTAACATTTTAGTTTGTCTCACTCTGTTGGTTGGTAAGTGTGAGCAAATGTCTGACTCTGGAGTTACTTTAGTTTACAGACGTTTCCAGCAATTAAACAGCTTCAATGTGAATTTATATTGTGGACCTAAAATGTCTCTGTAAAGAAAGTGTAAACAAATGATATCAAACTCAAACATCACAGTGACTCTCTCATGATGAATTCACCTGCAGGCGAAGTAAAGGGGCGTGGCTCCAGAAACGTTTGGTCGGTTGATGTCAGCTCCACTGTCCAGCAAACACAACACGGTCTGAGCAGAAACAAAACTTATTTATATCACATACTGGAAGATATTTGACAGACACACTGGACTAAAAGAATCACACAGATGGCAATAACATTAAACAACAGGGAGCTCTGCACTGTTGCTGCTCATGAACACACACAGCAGAGCCCCAAATCAAATTACTTCAAATGCATGCTGTTATTATATCAGCATAAACTCTTATCCTGACTGTAATTGAGTCGTTTTGTCTATGTTTACATCAGTATTTTAGTTACAATGCGTGGTTTTTATTTTAATCTCTTGTGTTTATTGAAATATTCCCAACTATTTCTGAATATTCCTGCAAAGTTAATTTCTTTTTATCATGACTTCGGCTCACCGTTTTGTGTCCATTCTGACAGGCCACATGTAGAGCCGTCTGCCCCATGGCGTCCTCCACGTCCACATTGGTCACATGCTGGACCAGGTCATGAAGAAGCTCAGTGCGCCCGTTCACTGCCAGCCAGTGGATCTGCAGCATCACAGGGAAAGAAAAACATCAGATACATCTGGAACAATTCATTCACACTGATCAGATCATTTTACACTCATTTGTTAAGAGAGATCAGATAAATCTATAATTAATTGATTGTTTGATATAAAGACATTTAATCCAGCAGCAGGATTTCAGCAGACTCACAGCGGTCAGACCCTCGTTGTTGCAGATGTTGACGTCAGCGTTATATTCCAGCAGTCTGCCCATGCACTTCTTTTGTCTAAGGAAACAGAGCACAGTTTGTACATATCAGGGAATGAAGTATATCATTACTGATCATCATCATCATCATCATCATCAGAGTGATGATTTGTCTTATTCAGATAATACAAGTAAAGCTCAAAAATTAACGATGTCCTGAGAAAAGTGACATTTTCTCCAATGATTTCATTCAACGAGTGAAACTTCCATATATTCTAGAATAACCAAACACAAGGTAAAATATTTTAAGACTTAATTTGTTTGGACCTTGATGTTTATGGTTCACAGCTCAAGAAAATCAAAAATCCACGCTTTCAAAATATCAGAGTCTTACAAAACACAAATCCAAACACAGATGTGTTGACTTTCTGGAAAATAATGTTCATTTTTGCTCAGTCGAGACTCCTTTTGAACGATTTATTGCATCAATGTGATGTGACACGGTGACAGTCAGTCTGTGTCTCTGCCGGGGTCTTACTGAAGTCCAGTTTTCTTTGATAGCTTCTTCAGCTCATCTGTGTTGTTGCTTTGGTGTCTCTCACCTTATTTTGACAATATCCCAGAGATCTTCTACGGTTCAGGTCAGGATGGTTAACTGGTCAATCAAACACAGTACTACGATAATCAGAAAATCAGTTTCTGGTAGTTTTGGTGCTGTGGGCAGGTGTCAGGTCCTGCTGGAAAAGGAAATCTGTATCTCCATGAAACTTCTCAGCGATAGAAGCATGAAGTGCTCAAACTGTCTTCTGAACAACTGTCAGATCAGTAGTCTCCTCCATGATGACGTTTGTGTGTACTGAACCAGTGAGAAGTAAAGACTCTGTAAACCTTTGCAGGTGTTCAGATTTCATGAGCTGAATAAAGCTCTTTTCAGGACCAAAAGAACCGACAAGGAACTGGACTTCTCCACAATGTTCGGATGTTTTGAGATTGTGGATTTTTGATTTCTGAGAGCTGAAATTGCAGTTTTCAGAGTATTGCATAAATCCGCCTTTGTGGTCGTTTTTGTATGGAAGGACATGCTAAAATCAACAATGTTTGCTCGACCCAAATATCCCTTAAAATCATTTAAGTCAGCAAACATATTTTGTTGCAATAAAGCAACAGCTTATGGCTCAAAAACACCAGAGAATGAGGGTGTTGGAACAGGAACTCAGTGTTGTCACTGACTTGACGGTGTTGTCAAAACACAAAGTCAACTCATCACGAACATGTGATCAGATGCGGTGCGAGGCTCGTACCCATTCCTAGCAGCCAGGTGCAGAGGGGTGCAGCCTGAGATATCCTGATAGTTTGGGTTAGCTCCTCTCTTAAGCAGCAGAACAAGACACTCCACCGATCCACAGCTAAGCATAGAAAACAGAGAACATAGCTGAGTGCATGTGTAAAAAATCACCCCATAAAAAACTGTGTGTAGTGATCATCAAATAAACATATAAAATTATGAGGCATTTGAAAACCAACAATGACATCCCAGTCTGCATAAATAATGGTTCTGGGCTATAGCTGACCATTTCTATCACAGAGCTCAGATAAATAATCACAGAGTGACACGCTTCCTACTTAGCAGCGATGTGCAGCAGACTTCTCTTCACCCGTCCAAAGGCATAGTTCACATCAAACTTTGAGTTGAGCAGCAGCTCCGACACCGACCTTGGACAGGGAAAGGACCGAGACAGATTAACAGTTTGTCCTGCAGACAAAAACTTCAGCAGGAGTAACCAACTAAAAACATTTAGAAGTTTCACCGATGCAGTAAACAGATTATCATTGAACATCAACACTGAAATTCAAGTCCTCCTTCAATCACACAACCCCTCCTGTCGTACAGTCCTGTTCAAACTCACCTGTGCTGGTCTGCCATGACCATTGGCATCAGAGTGTACACTGCAGTCTCATTATCTGAAGAGAAACAAACACAGAAAGACAAAGAATTAAGACACAATTGAAGCTTTAAAATAACATACAATATGTCTCAAACAATGTAAAGATAGTGTCCTAACTGATGACACAACAAAAGGTTTACTGACACCTACATGTCAAATTGCAGACTTTAAAGAGTTAACATTGAAATGAACAGCTCAAATAAGTGTTACTGCTGTTGGACTCACAGTACTACCAGGCCAGTTTGGAGGATTCATGAGGCATTTTTTTCTGCTTATGTTAGACTGAAGTGGAAAACTGTCCTGTTGTCTGACTAATCAAAGTTTTATTCTTTTTGGAAACCTGAGAGGCTGTATCTTCCCACCTCAAGAGAAGGGGGACCGCCTGGTTTATTACCAGCTTCCCTGATGGTATGAGGATCATAAGTGTCCATGAATAGCACACACATCTATGAAGGCTCCATTACTGTTTAAAACCAGATAAAGGTTTTAGAGGAACATTCAGACAATGCCCTCCTCAGGGAAAATCTTGTATATTTTGGCAAGACAATGACAGACAACATTCTGCATTTATTACAACAGCATGGCTCTATAGTAGAAGGGTCCTGCTGCTTTAATGGCCTGCAGTCGAAACCCATGGAAAACATTCGGTCATGACTCATCCTACTGGGCATTTTTTGGTCTAAAAGACGTTTAGTAGAGGTCTAAATGTAGTCTAGACGACTGGTCTAAAATCAGGCTACCACAGGTCTAAAAATGAAAGTTTTCAGACGTCTAAATTTAGACCGAGTGTAGACTTGCCAGCTAACAGAGGTCTACCAGTATATTGCTCAATGGCAATCATAATTATTTTGGTTCAGTACTTGGAGATCAGTTATGCAACTCACAGTTGCTTTTTGAAATAAATACTAAAGTGCAACGCCTAAATTAGGACTGGGCGATTATAGGATCATCATCGATAATCGTGATAAATTTCAGTTCGATCACAGTGATCAGCTGTGAGCACATTTACATGATCAAACATGGCGGAAATGTGCGTCACAACAGCCAATCAGTCGACAGCCAATAGTCGATTCTGCTCACAGAATGACCAAACAGGAAGCTAAACGCGGAGCTGAGGACAGCAAAATAGATGTCAATCATGACTTTGAGTCATCCTCCGAAGATGTTAGTGTTGAGAACGAAAACTATTTAACGGGTATCTCCAAAGTGACGTCAAGAAATTACGCCAATGTGTAAGGTATGTCGGCGGTCAGTGCCCTCAAAAACCAGCAACACGACAGATCTGTTTAATAAAATGTTGAACTAATCTCTAGTCTCTTCAGTTTTTAGTACAGATGCTTTAAAACTAGCAATTTAAAAACAAATCGTGATAATAATCGAGATCGGAAGATATGAAAAGATATATCGTGACCTTTTTTTTTGCCAAATCACCCAGGCCTACTCTAAATTCTGTCCACACATATACAAAATCTAGACGGTTGAAATTGGGTCTAAGAAATAACTAGAGGTCTAATAGCCTTCTATTGCTCAGTGGGATGACACATAAAACAAAGGAGACCCTGAACTGTTGAGCAGCTGAAATCCTATATTAGGATAGAATGAGACAACATTTCACTTTTCAAAGTCAAGAAACTGGTCCTCTGGGTTAAACAGAGCGCTGATCCTGAAGGAATATTTCAGTGCTATTTGCAACTCATGTGGCATCACCCTTTTGGTTGAGGTTGAGTTTCCTCTACTTTTAGCTGTCCCTGTACTGTGCTCATAAAGTCAAATAAATCAAATAGAGGCAAATAATTCTATAAATCTTTACTGTGAGACAGTTCCCCATTTTAAAATTCAAATCTAGAAAAAGCCATACACTTCTGAGAACTATTTGATGTTTCCCTTACATTTGTTTGGATGAGTCAGACTGACAATAAAACCAAACCCTGACCCTCAGCCCTAAAGTCACAGTATTTCCTGTGCAAATGCATCTGGCAAGAGTTGTCTGAATGCCCTTTAATGGTTGTAAGGGAAATCTGGATGTCTATTTCCCTCACATTTGCTTGAATGAGTCAGACAGACAATACAACCAAACCCCGACCCTCAGCCTGATGCTGTTTGTCAGTCAGTCATAGTAGATAATACAGTGCCTTTATATCAATGTAGCACACACAACTGTCACCTCTGACAGTGTATTTTTATCAGTGTATGTAGAGGCCAGAGGCCAGATTGCTGCTATAACACATCTATATAACTCAATTATTAACGTTTTAACACTGTTTGCTAATACTTCCACCGCCTGAGGCTAACACTTCCCCCGTCCCGGAGCTTCTCACCTTCCGGGAGCTCCACGGTCCTGGCCCGGCGGAGGGAGCGGGTCAGCCGGTTTAGCTGTACGTTGAGCTGCTCCATCGCCCGTTCCATCATAGGTGAGCGATTCACCGTGATGAACCGCGGGAAACAAGCCTCTCAAGGCGCTGTCTACGTGCTGGTGATGGTGGTGTGTATTCCCTGAGAGCCGTCCATGGGCGCTGTCTGCCTGTGTTGGTTGTTAGTGAGGGGAAACCGTCCCTCTGATTTACTGTACGTTCATATTTTCCTGCTCTGTTCTCACACTTCAAACGCTATCGCCCTGGCTGGGCTACTTCCTGTTGTGATGACAATCCCAAGCAGTGCACCATGGGTAATGTAGTTCATAAAGTAACCAGGCTGCATTGATTTGGTAATAATTTCGGGAAGTATTTCTTTCTGTTGAAATTTTTTGTCCATGCTGCATGCTAGAACAAAACAACAACACACGGGGCTTATGTTTAAATGTGCAAAAGAGGTATTAGACCCAGGAAGGTTTGTATGAGGTACTACGGGAAAACATAATAAACCTTAATCCAAAGATGGAGGCTCAATTTTAACACCGTTTTTACTGTTTTGTTGCCGTTTTGAACCACATTCACTCTGAGTATTTTATAGTATGTTGGCTTTGACAATTTTTTGACTTTCTGAAAAAAAAAATATCAAAAGCTTATGTCATTTGGTCAAGTTAAAAAAATAGTTTGACTATTTGGTTACCTTTTATTCAATGAAAGAGCATGTAGAGGGCAATTAATTTACACTTTAGTTTTCATTAAAAATGTCTCCCAAGAGCATAATGTTTAACTTTGAATTCACAAAAGATCATCCAAGGGGCACTTTGTTCATCATTTAAGATTGAAGAAGCAACTAGAGGGCACTAAATTCACGTTAATCAACTGAAAAAGTAACCTGAGAGCCATTAGTTTACAATTCATTGACTGAAAAAAGCAACTAGAGTGCACTTTAAGTACATAGTACCCTATAAAAAAGCAGCCAGATGGAACTTTATTGTTTTTTATTCAGCTGAAAAACAATCAGAGGGTACTCTATTTACATTAAAATAACTGCAAAAGCAAATGGAGGAGATTTTGTCTACCTGTATTAAAACTGAATGCCACCAGAGGAATTTTTGTTCACGATAACTCAAAATTAATTAAAGGTCTCTTCTATTTTTTTTATATATCAAATAACTGCTTTGGTGTTTTTTGAGTTTCTAGGGTGTACCCTTGTTATTTTATTCTTAATAGTTCTGTTGTCTTTAATCTTGTTTCCACAGATAGTTACTGATAACTTCACCCTTTAAAATTCAGATGTAATGTCCAATTATAACCACACGGGGGCACTGCACTGCAACAAATGAAACATCAACCCTACTTTGACAACAACTCACAGGCTGAGGAAAAAGAAAGAAACAGAGGAGAATAACTCATCACATTTTTATTACTTTGTGTTATACAGGTGTGAAATCAAAAACAGTGGCTGGACTTCCATACAAATAAAACATATATCAAACTGTGAGACATGCCTCTTCAATTTCTTACTAAACACAGCAATACACTCCTTCAAACTTTTTCAGAAATGTAAGTTATCCAATTACCTGACTTTCATGGTGAAATTTCTAACTAACAGAGACTTTTCTTTGACAATTGTGACACATGAACTTGTGGCTAAAACAGAAAGATGCTTATAGTGTGTACAATGAAAATAATATGAAACAGTTTTTCCCACACACAAGGACAACTCCACACAGTGTAGACTCTGAGTGACTACAGATATAAATACATCATCTGCTCTGGTTATCCCGTCAAGGGGTCATGGTGGGGGCTTAAGGGCTGTTACTGGTTGTCCTTTGGACAAGAGGCAGGATCCCACCTGTATAAGTCAAATGTCAATCACAAAGATGATGCATAAAACCAAAAACTACAGCTTTGAGAGGCTGTTTTCCACCTTTTCGTTTTATGCAACTCCATAGTTACTCTGTTGGAGACTTTCTGATTCCAGTGAGCAAGGATAAAAACTGCAGGTTAGGGGTTTCAGGGCGAGGCTTTACAACATGCCAAGTTTTTACAAAATAGTCAGCTAGTCTTTATGATGGCCAATAACAAGGCAGAAAAAAGGATCAGCTGGTTACAGCTTCATCACTCCATTGCGATAAGTGACTGAGCAGAATTACATTGTATGACTATGAAAAGGCAGCACTGCCACCAGTAGACAGCATGGACATGACTTTTGATCGCATGAGGAAACTCTTATGGAGTTAACTCACAGATTAATGGGAAGGTATTAAAACTCCACACAGAAAGAAACCCTGTCCAAATCCAAACCAGGAGCCTTCCTGCTGTGAGTTGGCAGTGCTAACACCTGCAGTCCATTTCAAACAATCTGTATCTGCAGAGTGCTGATTTGCAGCTAATGTTATCTACACACACTTTAAAGAGAACATGTCTCGACCATTTTTATTATTTAAAAAGACCCAACAAAACTCGGAACAAAAGACTTTGCAGCATTGGGCAAGGAACTGGGGCAAGGAAACAATCCTTCAACAGGCAGAAACCTCAAGCAGAGCCAGACTCAGGATGACAAGACAAGACAGTTAACACCCAAATAAAGTTCATCACTATTCTCACTCTTAATTTGACTTTCAAGAAAATTTGTGTTTCAAACACAAAATTTAAATCTCATTGACTATTTTAATCGTTTTAAATATAACTTCAAGACATGAGCAACCATACCAAATAGGGTGTCAAGAAGTTGCCTTTTTGTTGTTTAAAATCCAACTTCTCTGCAGTCTCTAAACTATATAATGTAAAAACAATTCACAAATGACCTTAACCCTATTTTTTGACACTAACAAACTAGCATTGTGTCTCACTTCTCAGCTGAAAGAAGGGGGAAATTTATACATGTGTGAAAACCATGAGGCTGGTCCCTGATGTCTACACTTCTTCACTAGAGGTGCTGCCCATGTGACCAGACTTGGCAGGAGTTGATTCCTCAAAAACGTCGTCCTCCAGGCCTTCAGCTATGGGCTTCATTTTTGCAGAGGTCTTGGTTCCAGGTGATTTTTCTTAAAAGACAATAAATAAACATCAATCCAAAACAGTCATTTTTCTGCTTATGCGCACTCAGGGTAAAAAATGCTCCAACAATCAATCCACAAAAGTGGCGTTTTTTGTGAAGTGTCCCCACAAAGCATCCTGACCTGCAGGATGAGAGGGTGAGTACAGTGTGTGGAGTAGAAAAAGGTCTGTGAATGAGCTCCATCAGCATTAACAGGCTTTGCTTTAAACCTCTGAGAGCTCCTCACACAGAGCTGCTATAATGTATCCTGGAGAGCTGCACTCCTCTGCAGCTGGTTTCAGCCCACATTACCACAAATGCATAAATTTACAGTCTCTCCTCCTGATGCATGTGATGCTTTCAGAAAAATTAAAAAACCCCAAGCAATAACTACTCGGGGTTGAACAGATTTTTGTGGTTGAACAAAGATTTGGCTACTTTCTAGATAAAAGCTGCAAAAATCTGAAAATCCCTGTGAAAGTGCAACCAGGGAAGGGGTCATGTATCCCACTTAGTTACCAGCTACCAGCTAAAGTTAGGCGCATGTTGATACAAAAAAACAGTTCAGTTCATGCAGCTTACACGAGTACTCCCTCTGATTCCACAGTTTGTACTGCTCCCATGGCAATGGATTCTTATCAGTGTTAAATTGTTACTTAAACTTCTGATGATAAATTTTCATTAACAACCCTTTTCTTGATGATGAGACAATGATGAACTCAAAATACATCTCTGATCAAAAAAATATGAAGGATACATGTTTTCTTTTTTAATTTATGTGACAATTATGGGATGGAAAATGTGTTCACACCAGTTGATAATAACACTATTCACACAATAGCATGTGAAGTCAGTGTAAAGACAGGATCACATTTGAGTTGCAATGCAAATGCCCCCACCCTGAATTCTGTTGAAGGAAAAAGAAGATATGGTGGAAAGACTTCTGCAGGATGAGTTTGTTTAGGCGTGTAGAGGACAATATAAGCAAAGACTCAGTTATCCACCAGGGGCGCCAAAGTTTACGTGGACTTCAGCTCAGAAGAGTGATGTTTTAATCACGTCCTCTTATGGTTTAAGTTACTTTTTAGCAGTGTACTTCAATCCAGGACTGAACCTCGAGTCTGGATTTCTAGGACCCATGACTTGACTTGACTTGAGCATTGATGACTTGGACTTTTCCTCAGATTTGAGCACTGACTGCATTAGTACTCAGGAGTATTTATGACATAGATAGACTGTTTTAATACGTACAATGGGAGCTTTTTTATATTTTTAAGTTTCTTATCAATCGTTCATTCTAGAGAGAGGGCTGACATGACTTCACAGGGCACCAACTCAAAGTTTGACAGAGATAAGTCTCACATCTCACTATTATCTTAGAAACTCCTGAAAGGACCCTTGAGACTGGAAACTTACGTAGTGATGAGCCGGCTGACCCTCCTCTTAAAATCTGGTTTAGGACATCATCAGTATCACTGGTGCTCGCCAAGCTGTTCCTCATCTGCATCATGGAGAGCTGAGAGCAGAGGCTGGGCTGACGGTCCATCTTCTTTACTGCCTGGGGCACACCAAACCATCCCCATCATAAACATTATTAACCAATCATTAATTTTAGTGATAACTTTCATATTAAGAGGACTTGAACGCACCTTGTCACTGAGGGTGGGGTCATTCAAAGAGTACAGCTTGTTGGTGATGTCTTTTCCGATGAGGTACCTGAACACCTCATTGAGGAAGGTGTCCGACTCCAGGAAGTAGGTGAGTCTTTCTCGGGACCAACACAGGAACTTACAGTTCTCCTCAGCCATGATGGTCACCTTAAAAACGACAAAAATGTGCATCTCATTTATTAACAAGTAGGGCTTTCTTTGACTCCAGGGCTAAGCAGAGTAGCGAGAGAAAGGTCAGCAGGAAATAGGTCTTTTATGTGCTCTGGTTTCCCTTTATCGAACCGCAATCCCTCGTTAACCACGTTATGAATTAAAACACACAAATGAGCCAGCAGGTTGTGGGTTTTAACTTTAAATCAACAACAGAGAGGGAAAAAATGAAAAGCTTGTGAACAAAGGGAGGAGGGGTTACAAACAAAGAAGGTCAGAGACTGAATCTCTGTTTCCTCCCAGAGCTTTGAGCCATTAAGGACTTTAATGAATCACCTGGAAAGCGATTGAATGTATGATGTTAAAAGGGCTAGAGATGATAAAAATGCACATCAATGTTCCCTACCAAAATGAAAGCTCACTAAACGCCAACTCAACCAGACAACACACAGCAAATGAGACAAATATTGAGATTACATTAAAGTGTCACAAGAACAGAATAATAATCTGAGTCACAAACTTCTCTACCTGAAACTTCTCGCCTCGGTGCATCTCAGTGGACCTGAACTCTGGAGAGTCGATGAATGAGTTGGTGTAGATGTTGTGGAGGAAATGACCTCTGTACGAAACTTTCATCCTGTCACACATCGACAATGAAATTTAGGAGTATCTGAAATCTAAAGAGTGCATTTTAGGTTCATGATTAAAAGATATTTCATGCAACATCTGAACCCTGCACACCATAAACATGACATACTTTCCTTTGAGGAGGATGCTGAGCCGCTCATCCACAGACGTCTTGTCCTCAGCGGCGTAGGCCTGTCCCTTCTTTAGGGTCTGGATAGTGCAGAACTGTCCTGTAAGCCGCTGAAACAGAGCTTCCTTCACATGGAGGGGCTCAAACATCCGCTTATAGACCGATCGCAGCTCCCTGTCAATCTTTATCTGAGAGGGCAGAGATGCAGATTTAACATTGCTCCTTTTTCTGAGTGGAAATCCAACAGAGAAGAAAAAAATGATGCTGTGCTTTATTTAGAAAACGTATTCAGAGGGTGTATGAAGAGGTGGAGGAGCAGTGACAAAAGAAACAGCCCTTCTGTCTCATTAGGAAACATTCTGGTGTGACTGTCAGCTCATTTGTTTCGCCAAAATGACACTGAACATCCCCCCTAAACCTCCTGTGGATTTAATCCACATCCCATCACCATTAAGCAGAACCAAAACCAGGTCACATTATTAGTCACTGAATGGTCTGCATGTAGAGGAATAATTGGAGTGTGTTTGCAGAAGTAAAGCTCACTGGTCTACGTTTGTAGAGGAGGAAGAACAGATGCATGAAGTTCACCACCAGAAACACCACGTTCCACACCATCACGTCCAGGTTACACCGGTACAGAGTCGCCCAGGCGATGAAGAGACCACAGCCTGAGGACGAGAGAGATTGGAAACTGATTAATGAGTATGGATGGTTAAAGGAAAATCATGTATCTTGGGGTTGTAACAGATTTACGATGCAAAAAGTCCCCGAGTGTCTCATAAGATTTTTTCATCCTGCAGCTGATAAACAGGCTGTAAAGTTTGCAGCATCATCCTTTATGCATCAAAGTATGTCCACTGTAAGTTTTTGTTCCTAAAAGGCTTAGATTGTTATCCGAAGAGTCAGACAGCATTACAGAGAGGATCCCAAAAGAGAGAAAGTTATTTGTTTAAGAGAAAGAAGTTTTTAACTACAAACAAGTGTTAGACCGCTCTGTACAAACCTATCAAAATACAATCATTAAAAAGAGATCTGAGCTCAGAATGCAGCAGTGTCCTGTTTTTTAATGTTGCTATTTTTTTATTTAGTTTGTCACAAATGTCATTTTGAGTCTGAGGTCAATAAGTCATAAAACACTTGATAAATAAGGAAGCTGCACACCAGCAACTCTCATGTACTGTGTGAATTTTCTTATTTGTGTGGAGAAAATTCCTGTTTTTATCAATGGGGTTCATTTAAGATGGACTGAAGTGAGGTGTAAAACTGTCCTGTGGTCCAACCAATCAAATTTGACAGCCTCCATTAATGTTGAACAAAATCTGCAGGTTTTCAAGCAGCATATGCTGCCATCCTTACAATGACTTTTTCAGGAAAGAGTTCATATTTCAGCAGGACAATGACAAACCAAATTCTGCATTAAGCATGGCTCTGTAGTTGAAGAGTCCTGCTGCTAAACTGGCCTCCCTGCAGTCCTGTCTTCTCAGTCAATCAATCTTTCTGTAGCTTCAATTCACAAGAAGTGTTGTCTCAAGATGCTTCAGAAAGACAACAGGTGTAACCACCTTCATAAATATCATTTATCATGACCTAACATCAAGACACAATTCAATCCTATCTGTTTGTAACATTCGGTCAGATGATTTTCAGACTGTCTGAGAAAAGGCTCATGCTGGTTTAATGCTGCTTATTTAGAAATGCCAAGAATGGTACATTTTACTTTCCAAATGCCAGAAACAGATCTCCTGGATTTTCAAGCACTTACTGAGTGTTGGTAAAAAGTCATCCAAACCATAACAATTAAACTTAGTCCTCTGTTTATAAAGCTGCCTCTCAGGATTTATTTCTGTGTCTCCTTCTCTTACCCTCTCTGTTTTTGTTCATGTAAAACTCCTCAGGGACAGGCTCACCCCAGAGGACAATATAAATAAATGACCTGTCAAAATATCAACCACATTACCCATAATTCCTGCGTCTTCCTGTTCCCACTCTCTTAAGATAAACATGTAGAGGTTCTGTTTCCAGTCAGTGTCCTCTGTGTCCTCTATCTGCTGTCAAAGCCTTTTACACACTCTGATCTCCGTCTGTCTGTCTGCAGGTTTTAAACTTCACTAAACTGAATTAAAGCTTCACCAAACTCTACCTGATCAAACACACACATTTTTAATAAACAAGAGCAAGGATCTGTGGTGTTGCCTGTGCCTACAGCTGCAGGATAATCAGCACAGGAATGCCATCATGGAGTTAGGGGGGGACTGTGGGAGTTGCAGACCTGTCACCAGCAGCAGGCGCAGCAGGATCATGTGCAGGCTCATGGTGGTGGGGATGATCAAACCCAGCAGCAGGGACACGTTCCCCAAATGGAAGAGTAGGTGGTGGGCCTGCTCCCACTCCTGGCAGGAAGTGGCATTCGGCTCCAGGACGCCAGGAGAGGCCGAGGGGAGCGGGGCCAGCGTGGTGAAGAGGAGGGGGGTAGAGGACATCCTGCAGCTCGGTCACCTTGAAGAGGAGGGCAAGGTGAGAGAACATGTGAGTGAGGAAGATAAATTGTTCTGGTCTGACTGTGTCTTCTGTCTGAGACACAAAGTCCAGAGGACAGTCTGTACGTCTACATGCACAGTTAGAGTAAAGATCACTTCGGTGATTAAACTGGACTGCTGTTCTTGTCAAAGTTCACATGCAATGGGCAAGAATCAGATTATGACAGAAATAAGTCTACCTCATCTATGGTAGGCTGTATCCCATTATTACCGGATTACACAAACAAATCTGTGTAGTCTGTTTGTTGCATTATTGTTGTCGACAAAAGCCTTTATAATATGTGTGCAAAGTGTACATGCAGTTGGCAGTTATAATGGTGTATGTTGCCCAAAGAATCTGTCTAAGAATTCAGCGTAACACTGGAGCACAAGATCGAGGGCTTCCCCAGACTGCCACCGAGTACCTCACTCACTGCATACAACCTTTATTTTAGTGGGTGGAAAGTCAAACATTCAGCAGGTTCAAATTAACTTCAGTTATTTCTGAACATAACTGACTGATTAACTGCTATCAAAATTAAGATCTTTGTAAATGGCCATATAATTAGCGGAGTTCAATTTGATTAACTGACCCAACCACTGATGAGACGGCTAAAACAGTTGTGATACAATGCTTGACACAAACAATACAAAACATTAAGATTCCATTCAATACACTAAAACACTAGAGATACAATATGAAACAATACAATATAACAGAAAATAATAAATGATTTGATATGATACGATATGATACAACACAATACAAAACAATATGATATGGAATAATAAGTTACGACAAGGTGAGATATGATACAACAGGATAAGATAAAATACAATACAATAGAATAAAATAAGACACAATATAATATGATGCGGCAAAATACGATACAACAAGATATGATAGGATGCAATATGACATGATGCAGCGTGACTCAATGCAGTATGATTATGATATTATATGCTACGGTATAATATGATTTCATAGGGTTTAAATACAATACAACATAACTTGTTAACAACCCAACCCAAAACAATACAATACTAATAACAATAACTTTACAAAACCACTGAACTACATGACAATTAGGCAATAATAAATCTCAATACAACTGAAGAACAAAATGGCTACAAATGTAAAGTGCAGGATTAACAATAGGGTGTCTTGAAGCAGTGACCTAGAGTGTCAGATTGGTAGGTAAACAGATTTACAGAGCTGTACTGTTTTTAAATTAAAGGAACAGTTCAATTTGTTTTAAGTGTGGTCATTTGGGGTAGTTGGGTGCTGTAAGTGTATCACCCACAGGGGATTTCAGTCAGCTTGACCCTTTTGCTGAGAACCAAAACAGAAGCTAAACTATCACCCTCTGATCTTTGTACTCAAATTTCCTGCTTCTCTTCAGCTGAGCTATGAATAAGGCCAAAACTCCCTGAAAAAATAAATATGAGCAAAAAATAAAAATAACCTTGACTCAAATGCTAATGTCAGTGTGTACACCATAGAAAATGTGACTTTGCTTTCTGAAGCAAACTGTTTTTGCTCTGGATGCAGCAAATCCATGGTGTGTAAACAATGAACAAAAATCAACTTGTGGTTTACAAACATGAAATTTTGTGACCAAGTTTACCCACAAAGTTTTTGAAGATTTGAACTCATGTTTCATTCTGCAGTTTGCTTTTAGCAGATGACGTGGTCCTGTTAGCTTCATCCGGCCGTGACCTTCGGTTTTCACTGGGTCAGTTCTCAACCGAGCATGAAGCAGCTGAGATGAGAATCAGCACCTCCGAATCTGAGTCTATGGTTCTCGGCCTGGAAAAAGGTAAAGTGCACTCTCGGGGTTGGGAAGGAGATCCTGCCCGAAGTGGAGGAGTTCAAGTACTTCAGGGTGTTGTTCACAAGTGAGGTAAGATGGAGTGGGAGACATCCAATCAGGATGCCTCCCAGACACCTTGCTGGAGAGAGAGATGTTGTGGTGAGATGTTCAGGGCATGTCACACCTGTAGGAGACAGTGATGAAGAACCAGGACATGCTGGAGAGACCAAGCTGTCCCTCAGCTAGCCTGGGAATGCCTTGGGGTCCCCCGGTAGGAGCTAGACAAAGCTGGAGAGAGGGAAGTCTGGGCTTCCCTGCTAAGGCTGCTGCCTCTGCAACCCAACTCCAGATAAGTGGTTGAAGATGGACGGTGCATTTCAGGATGCAGTTTTTTAATGTACAACTATTTTATATCTGTCATAAAGATAGTCTGATGTGAGTCCTATTTTAAACCCTAATAATTCATGTTTTATGTCTTTATTAACTTTGTTAATTCCTTTTATTTCATTATTCCAGTTCACTTCACTCTGTTATATCTTTGTTTAATCTTTGCCTTTCCAAACAGCCTCCCAGCAAAAGAATTGACAAATCTGTTGCAAAGCCGCAGTAACAAGTAACATCTGATATTTCATTGTCTTATTTTCTCAGTTGTTGAATTGTGTACCTTTTTTGCTATTTATCTTTTAATCTTTTCATTTATTTTCTTGTTGAATTGGATTCATGTACCTGTCAGGTCTAACAAATCAAAAATTAACAAAGTTTTGTAAGGGGAAGGGCAGTTTATGTTAAGTGTCAGAGAACATCCTGTCTCATGTCACATCAAGCCTGCAGTATAAATATCAGTCTGGAGCTGCTCTCCTCAAATATTAAAACAGTACATTCACAATTACAGTGAAATTCGGGTTTTGTTGTAATATTAACAGTTTGTTCAGCCACAAAAGGACCTGTAATCCTGTCACAGTCTGAGCTATGTTTGTCTGTGTCAGGCTGATGTTGTGCAGCTCTGGGAGGGCTCTGATGTAAAAATAGAAGAGGGGACACATGCAGCCCCCTCACAACACCAATCTCTCACGGTCACAGCTCCAACTTTGTCACTGCTCGTCAAAGTACGGAGAGGAAACAGTGGCTGTACTCACCGATCAGCAACAGAGGAAGAAGCCGGAATGAAGCTCTGAAAAAGGGGAATGATTCCAGTAAAGACCAGAGACAGCAGAGGAGGCTGTGAACTGGACCCTCTGCAGGAGGGGGGCTGCGCAATGTGCGTCGCACATTCCTCACAGCTGACAAGGACAGACGAAAATGGGCAGGAAGGCGTGAGCGGCTGGGCTGCAGTGACACGGAGCCCCGACAGGGGGAGACAGAGCACAGAGAAACAGCGAATACCCAGAGACTTTCTTCAGTTAAATATTTATAAGTGTTTTAACCAAACTCATATGTTCAGGTTTACTGTAATAAACACGAATAGAGTTCGAGGCTCTGTTGATAAAAATATATTTTTATTATATATTATATTATATATATTTATAGATATTGTTTCCTTTTTTTTGTCATTTTTGATGCCTCAAAACTGCCCTTTTCTTACCATATCTAAAATAAATAGATATGTGGAAAGGGGGAGGTTAATTCTGAGAAGTCTGAATTTTCTTTTTTTTTTATACTTTATTAGGTCCGTAACATATAGCAATACAATTTAATTGCCATTTCATCAATGTTTCTTTTTCATCATTTATATCACTTTTTTACAGACATTTTGACCCTTTTTTTTTTTTTCTGCACACAGAAATAAACTCAAACAGAGACGTAAAACATGACATTTCTACACAAAAACATGTTAATAAATAAAATAGAAAAAAAAAAAATCTCTCTATATATAAATTAATTAATTTAATAGAAAAAAAAAAAGGCTTTGTTGTGTTTGTTTCAGCAATGAAAATTCTGTTTTTAGGGATACAGGTTATCCTTATTTGAAAGATAAGAGACCCATCTTTTCTCAAACAAAGTTTCCTTGCCATTAATTTTATATGTCACCTTTTCCATTAAATACATATTTTCCATTGTTTCCAGCCACCTATCCACCCTAGGGTGGTCCACACTTTTCCAACCTCTTGTAATTTGTTTGAGTGCAGTCATTCTCAGTATACAGAAGAGATAAAGATCTTGGCTCCTCAATCGTTTGGGACGTGTTCCTAGAATTATATTGTGATTTTCTAATTGAATATCTCTTCCAAATATTTGTTCTATAGTGTGTGAGACCTTCAGCCAAAAGCTTTGTACTTTGGAACATGTAAAAAATATATGGGTATGGTCAGCCTTATTCTCCCCACATTCCCTCCAACAATTAGAGTTTAATGTGTACTTTGATACGGACAGTGGTGTTTGGAAGTACCGTATATTCATCTTCCAGGCATATTCCTGCCAGAAGGGAGATCTTATGTGTTTGAAAATGTCCGTGAAACTCTGATTCCACTCATTTCTTTCTATAGTAATTCTCAGCTCTTTGTCCCATTTTTCCTTAATATTATCTAGATCTTCAACAAAGTTTTCCTGAAATATTTGATAAAGTTGTCCAATTGTGTTTTTGTAATCATGTCTTTGATGAGATTTTGTTACGTATCTCAGGATAGGGTGAAGGTTTCCAAGAGTTCTAATTTTAAGTTTATCTTTTAGGTAGCTTCTCACTTGCAGATATCTAAAAAAATGATTTTTAGGAAGACTGTATTGTTCTACTATATCTTCAAAAGAGACCATTCCTTGGTCATTATACATTTGAAAGAATCTCTGAAGACCTTTCCCTTCCCATATCTTAAAAACCTGATCTATTCTATTTGGAGTGAAATCTGAGTCGCATGACATTTCTCTCATACAGGTAGCTTCTTGTTCCTTGATTTTACACATTTTACAGATGGTTTTCCAACTCCTAAAAGTATTACGTATAGAGTAGTTGAGTGTTTTCATCTGTGCTTTATCATAAGGTGTAAAGATCAATGTGCTGAGTGACTCGACCAGACTCAATTCCATACGCTTCCATTTAGGGTTTCTCTTATTGTTCATCCATATCAGTATAGGTTTAATCTGTGCTGCATAGTAATAATGACACAGATTAGGTAAGGCCAACCCACCTCTGTCTTTATTCTGTTGCAATAATTTTAATTTAACTCTTGGCTTCTTAGCGTCCCATATAAATTTTCTCAGCATTCCCTCCCAGGTATGGAAGCGTGTCGGTGATATATACAAAGGCAAGTTTTGGAATAAAAATAAGAAGCGTGGCAGAACATACATTTTTATAATCTTAATTCTTTCTAGGAGAGTCAGGGGTGTTATTTTCCATCTACTGAAATCTTGTTTCACAGCATTTTCCAAGGGCACATAGTTGCAATTATATAATTCGTCAAAATTGTTAGGTATGATTACTCCTAAATATTTAACTTTATTCTGATCCCATTTTATATTGAACTGTTTTTTAAATTCATTTTCCAGATGGCCCCCCACTTACATCGCTTCTGTTTTATTTAAATTTAGCTTGTAGCCAGACATAATACTATAGTTTGTTATTTCCTTTAATAAACTAGGTAGAGATTGGCGGATTTCTGTGAGGTATACAATGATATCATCTGCATACATTGCTAGTTTATGTTCTTCTCCCTTTATATTAACTCCCTTTATTTCATTATTTATCCTAATTTGTTCTGCTAAAGGTTCAATACATAAATTAAAAATTTGGGGTGATATGGGATCTCCTTGTTTTATTCCTCGTTTCAAATTGATGGTCTTAGATAGCATCCCATTAACTCTTACTCTTGCATTTGGTTCTTCATACATTCCTTCAATCAGTGTAATAAATCTTTTATGAAAGCCAAACTTCTCACATACTCCTAGTAAAAACGTCCAAGAGACTCTATCAAAAGCCTTTTCGGCATCTAAGCTTAATGTCAGCATCTGTTGTTTCGTCATCACTGTTTGGTCTATAATATTGAGAGTACGCCTCAAATTATCACTTAAAAGACGGTCCTTGACAAATCCAGTTTGATCTGAATTAATTATATCTGGGAGTATGTGTGAGAGTCTATTGGCTATGATTGATGTGAATATCTTTTGATCAACATTTAAAAGAGATAACGGTCTGTAGGATGAGCAATTTGTCAAATCTTTTCCTTCTTTTGGTATTACAGTAATAATTGCAGAATTCCAGGTGTCTGGCCACACTCCTGTTTCTAAAATGTAATTAAAGACCCTGCCAAGGATAGGTAATAACAAAACTCTAAAACACTTAAAAAATTCATTTGTAAAGCCATCACTTCCAGGGCTTTTCCCAGTTTTGCTTTTCTGTATAACCTTTGTAATTTCGGCTTCTGTTATTGGTTTAACTAAGTCTTTATTTTGTGTATCTGTTACTACAGGAAGGTTTAGAGGTGTTAGATACTCTTTAATATTTTGCATGCTCACATCTGCTTGTTCTGGAGTATAAAGGGTTTGGTAATAGTCTCTGAAACATGCTGCTATATTTGATTTACCTCTCTGGGGCTCGTCATTTCCATCCTTAATCGTTACTATTGCACTTTTTTCTTTTTGTTTCTTTAATTTGGTTGCTAATATTTTCAATGCTTTTGGACTGTTATCGTAATAAGTCTGCCTACACAGCATAAGGTCCTTTTCAATTTCATGTATTTCTATAGTGTCTAAAGCTTTTTTCGCTGTTTTCAGTTGTCTGTATGTTTCTTTGTTCAAGTTTCTTTCATGCCTGAATTTTCACTTACATCTGAAAAAAAAAAATCCTGATTTCTGAGAGAACAAGTCTTAATTCTTGATTTATTTCACTGAGTTCTGGGAAAGTCCGATCTGATTTAAACATTAGAATTTCTAAAAATTAAAAAAAATCCAGAATATGGGAGACAAAGTAAATGAGTCTTTGTTTTTAGGGTTCAGAAAAACTCTAGATCAAAGTGAAAATTCTGGCATATACCCGAGTACAGTGAAAAAAAGAATCAGACACCTAAGAAAAGTTAGAATTTAAAATTTAATCATAAATTCAGAGATTAATCACAAATTTCTGAAAAATTTCTGAACATTTCTCTGGTATCTGAATTTGAACAGAAGTCTACTAATTTCTGAGTTAGGTCTGCATCTTAAGAATGTCAGAATTCAGACTTCAGTCAGTAATATCAAATGTTAGATTTACATTAATCTGATCTTTTACTTTCAAACATGCCTTCAAAGTAAAAACATAATCATTCAACACAGTGAGTTCAATTGAATGAGTTTTATTTATAACAACAAGGCCCACCAGAATTTTAGTGAACTACAAAAGTAAAATAAATATATTATATATTTTTTCCTTTTTCTATTTTTGGCTCCTTAATGTAAAATCCCATTGTTTGAGACAGAGCTTGTCACTTTAATCTTTACAGCTGTATTTTACAACAGCTCTGATTATTTGCAGTGTTGTTAATTTGGACACATATTAATAACAGGCTCTCCTTCTTAAAAGCAAACAATAAAACAAGCTAGTCTTTATCTATTAAATAACAATTTTGACACTTCAACTTGTTTACATTTGTATTTTTACAATTTTTACAATGCACAACATTGCACTAACACAAGGTTCTAAACTATCTGGACTCACAGTATTGCACATTGCATAAGACATCTGCTGCAGCCTGTTTATTTCACTCTACATTCAAAATGTATCAATACATCCAAGTATTAAGTTTTTCATTAAAAAACACAATTTCTGTTTTTTGTAACTTTCCAAAATAGTTTAAGACCATTTCCATGAACATACAAACACAGAAAAACATTATGTCATGATCACTGCTTTTCTTTGGATACATGGAACATGATTTCAGATAAACAAGCTCACAAAACTGGAAAACAACATCTGCCATTGAACCTAACTGCAGTAATTATACCATCTCATACTGATGAGCCTATGTTTTAATGGACTCAGTAGAGTACAGCTGTTTTTACCTCTGTGCTAGGTTTATTTAGTGTTGCTGGGGCATTTTGTAAACAGACAAAATGTGGCGTTGAGTATTTCTTTCAGAGTCTGCCTCACCTTAACAATTTTGCATATTTTAGGATATCCAGGCAGATTTATGAGTTATTTTTTTATTTTAAATCTATTTCCTACCTGGTAAAAATGAAACAACAACCCCATCACCCTTCTCTTTCTGCACTGAGTCAGTCCAGCATCAAAGTAGGGCAGTGAGTGTGTGTGTGTGTGTGTGTGTGTGTGTGTGTGTGTGTGTGTGTGTGTGTGTGTGTGTGTGTGTGTGTGTGTGTGTGTGTGTGTGTGTGTGTGTGTGTGTTCAAGTCGTCCTGCCCCCCTGTGTGGGCACCTGCAGGAGCACATCTGTTTTTTCCAGCTCTGTCCCTGGTGTATGACAGTAGCTGGGTAAGCGGAGGTCGTAGCGATGTCCGGAGCTGTTGAGGGCTTTGTCGTTTAGAGAGTACAACTTCTCTGCAATGTCGTTACGCACAACCAGCGCAAAGATCTTTGCTATGTAGCGATGTTTTGCAAAGAGTAGATAGAGTTTCTTCCTCCTCCATGCCACGTACCTGCAGGGGTTATCAGCTCGAAGGGTCACCTGGAGCCCAGAGTGAAAGAGGGTAAGATTTTTTAAGGTTTTATAAGGTTTATTGCTCTGTAGGTTTTCACAAAAAAGATATTTGTCCAGGTATTTTCAGCAAAAATATGAACACAAAAGTTAAATTAAGTGGGTGGATCCCTCCACAAAAAAAGTAGATAAAACTCTGTCTTTAAGAAAAACATTTCAGAAGTATGACCACAGTCTGATTATCATGCTTGACACAGCCTGAGCAGTCTCATCTGTTGTCATGCATTGCCAAAATCAAGCCATTCTGAGGTTGTCACTCTGCCAACACACTTTCTGCATGAAGCACCAGAGTTGGTAACAGTCTGCTGAGGAAATACAAGTACAACCAGACCAGAGCACTTGGTGGAAATGCACCATTAGCAGTTTAAATTTATTCTCAGACGTTTCATTCATTAACAACAACTGGCAGTTTGGTTTATATGTTCTTAGGTCCAAGCATACATTGAAGTCTCTACAATTGCATTTCTGGGTGTACTCTTGCTTTTATGGATAGTTTCAATGCACCATATTTATTAAAGCTTGAAATTGTTTTCTTTTTTTCTGTTAATGCATTTGAGTTCACATGAACCTGAAACACTCCTTCCTCTGATGGTCTGAGGGAGTCCCACTCAGGTGAATCCAGGAACTGGAGCGGGTAGATGTAATGCAGAAACTCCCCGTTTACTGTCACACGGATCCTGCAGGAGAAGAGATTAAATTTTAATCAATATTCACATTTTTGGTATTTGAATTAAATCATCAATAACAGCACTAATCGGAAGGTGTTCTGCGTCTAACAGTTGGAGGAATGAAACACCACTGTTGCAGGTTTTGGCTTAAGAGGATTCCAGTGTTTTTTTTGTTTTTTTCCCCTCAGATATCTGAGTCTAAAGATCTCATAACAGCAGCGTTTCAACTCTTCCTAGGTAAGAGCTCAGTCCAGTAACCACCAGCTCGCATTTTATGTCTCTCTTTTGTGTCCCAGTTTTATCATTTACAGTTAGTCTTACAGACTGTTTATGTGTTTGTGTTAAACCTCAGCTTGCTGTCAATAATAGGTACAAAGCCTTCACTCAGGCTCAGTTTTCCTCTGTTTGTGGTGTGTCTCAGGGTAAATAGTAAGTTCAGCGGTATAAGGCTGCAAAAGTCACTGAGTTTCCTGTGATTTTCTTGTGGTTAATTGATCTCAAGTTTGATGAAATAATGACATTGTGATGCCAATTAGGGAAAAGCCAGCTTTGTCAGGTCTGTCATCAAGAGAAGAAGAAAACAACTTCTTAAAATGTTTGTTTAATGGCAGTCAGATCCATCACTTCTGATGTGCTCCAGGAAATCAGGAAATGTTGATGCTGATTGTCTTTCACGACTCAGTATCAAGCTGATTATCTTTTGCTACTCAGCATCAAACAGTTCAGTGTCTCAGTATCTCAGTGTAAATGTTTGATCTTGAACAGACTGTTAGCTAACCTCGCTGCAGATATCTGTTTAAAGAGAGACAAAAGATCCTCCTCAGACTACCAACAATGGGAGTCAAAATGTCATTAAGGGGGATTGTTTTCCTCCTGCTTTTGCTCTCTATACAGGCAATTTTTTTTCTGCAGACACCAAAGCCTGCTGGCACCTGATTGGTGTTAACTGTGTTGATCTGAATATACAGTACACCTGTAAAGTATTCATAGCACTACACTGTTTTTACATTTTTCTGAACCTGAAAGACTCTCAGACCATGAGAAACAATTTTCTTTTGGTCTGATGAAACAAAGACTGATCTTTTTGGCCTGAACACCAAGCGTCACGTCTGGAGGAAACCACACACCACTCATCACTATTCTGATACCATCTCTACAGTGAAGCATGGTGGTGGCAACATCATGCTGTGGGGATGTTTTTCAGCAGCAAGAACTGAAAGACTAGTCAGGGTCGAGGAATGGATGAATTCAGCAATGTACACAGACATCCTTGATGATGACCTGCCCCACAACGCTCTGGAAGCTCAGACTGGTGCAAAGATTCATCTTCAACAGGACAACGACCCTAAGCACACAGCAGAGACAACAAACTCGGTAAATATCATTAAATGGCCCAGCCAGAGCCCAGACTTGAACCCAACTGAACATCTCTGGAGAGATCTCAAAATGGCTTTGCATCAATGCTCCCCATCCAACTTGATGGAGCTGAAGAGGTTCTGCAAAAAAGAATGCAAAAACCTGCCCAAAAATAGGTGTGCCAAGCTTGAAGCATCATACTCAGAAAGACTTGAGGCTGTAACTGCTGCCAAGGGTGCATCTACAAAGTACTGAGCAAACACTGTGAAAACTTAATGTACGTGTTATATTTTTGTTTTTTACTTATCATAAATTTGCAAAAGTTTCAAACAAACTTTTTATCACTTTGCAATTGGTTGAGCGGTAGATGGATGGAAAATGAATTTTATCCACTTTGGAATATGGCTGTAAAATGTGAAAAAGGTGTAGCATTGTAAATATTTCCAGATGCAGTGTAAAACTGATTTTTTCTTGACATACATCAGAAAAGTGTGTGACTCTCTAAAACTCTGTTTTTAGTCATTTAGTGTCAACACACATTGCAAAAGTTAGTTTTGATGGTGCTTTGTTTATTTGAGGAAGGTCAGATTTATCTGAAATGGTCCTTGGAGATGCATCAGGAGACGCATAATCACACAATGTGTGGATGCTCACACTTATCTACCTCCATTACATCAAGGATGAGAGTTATGCACCAATTTGCATAGTCAGGTGCGTAGGTAGTTGACTGACAGGTGGATATGTTATGGCTGTTTACATGAAAGCTGCAGAGCTAAAGGCTGCTGAAGCTCCATCTTTTTGTCTGTTTTTAGGTTGATGCAAAAAGGTAGTTGTAGTCAAGATTTCTTATCTGTTATTGGGTCCTATAACTCTTCTATATGACCCGTAATGCATCCCTCTTGTCAAGCTCTCATGTGGAGGAGAAAATGGAGCAGGGCCAGTATGTTCTGCCTGACTAAAATCTCTCATTATTTCACCTTACCCACAATTCATCTGCGAGCAGACTCTGAGTCATATCAGACCTCTGTCTCCTGCAGCAACAGGTTATTTTCTTCTGCTGTAAGTGTAGCTGGATAAAATGGACCATCAAGACGCACAATGCAACAATGATGAAGCCCTGTCTCTGATTCACATAATCTAAGGCAGTAAGGTGTTTATCTACACTGGTATTGGAGTAGGTAAGAAATGAGCTGTATCTTCAGCCCACACTTTGGTTGGACAGCTGTTGGTTTATTCCTGCTGTATCTATGTGTGGGCCATGACAGTAACTCTAAAGTTGGACCATTAATCTTAGCACAAGTGTGAAAACTACCTGTCTGGTTGTGGGACAAATCACAGCACAAGGACTGCACGTGTCAGAATTGTACATGACCTCTGGTAAAACAGGGAATCAGAAAATGCCCTCTGTTGACCACATAATTCTCTAAGTCAGGCTCCACAATGTTATTGGCGGCTCTGGCACTGTGGCTAATGGGTTTGCATCCTATTATTCTGACAGGGAATTCTAAAACAAATTGTGGTGTCCCCCAGGGATCAATTTTAGGTCCCATGTTTTTAGACCTTTACATGTTACATCTTAATGTTGTCATCAGGAGGCACAGCATAAGCTTTGAATACCTTTTCAGACAACACACAGTTTTCTCAAGCAAAGTTTCCTGTTTGTCATATTCCAAATTTCATCATAAAATTTTCAATTTTTACTGTCAATGCACATCGGCTCTAAATGTTAGCTATTAGTCTTATAAACTACACTGCATACCTGTATCAAAATTAAGCAGTATCGTGAAAGTCAATGTTGCATTAAATGGTTTCCAAAATTAAAGATTAATGTCTGCACTCAACTTTTATTTGTAGAAGTGTGACAGATGGAGAATGTGTGTGTTTGACCAAAGACATAACTTTAACAGACATCTGTGATGCTGACTCTTCATGAACTGATATGACAACAAGATAAATTAAGAATTACAAATATCCAGGGATGCAGATAGATAGATAGATAGATAGATAGATAGATAGATAGATAGATAGATAGATAGATAGATAGCAATGCCCCCTGTGAAGCTGGAACATAAACTGAATCAATTTCACTCACTAAGATTTGAGGGGAAAATCCAGTCATAGACACATAACCCTGAATCCAATGGTATCATGAGTCAAGTGTTTCGTCCAACTACAGCTACTTTGAATTTAAGGCAACATATATTTTTTTAAATGTATAATATTGACGCTAATAAAACGTATTGACTACACTGACAAGACCCTGCGGACAGCAAAGTTTTCTGTAATCATTTTTTTTTTTATCCCTCTGCAGAAAACTGTCAGGTTTGACCTGAATGTTTTCAGTGTGTATTCAGTGCTGTATTTACCTGCCTGACAGGAGCACGGATAGCTTGTCTATGGGGGTCTTTCCCTCGACGGCGAAGCAGTGGTCCTTCTCCAGGCTCTGGATGTGTCCATCACAGCAGGCGACGATCTTCCCAAAGTGTGTGAGCGACACCCCGAGCCTCTGGAACACGCTGGCGTACAGCTCCTGGAAGTCCTTTTCGAAAGAGACGCTCCTCAGCCGGTAGGAGACGTACAGCAGCTGCCCCAAACACACCCCGAACAGCGCGAAGCTCCACAGAAACGAGTCTGTGGTGCAGGAGTCCGACCAAGCCCACAGCGTGGAGCAGAAGAAGCCCACGGTCAGGAAACTGAACAGGTATAAGAGACCGTAAAACCCGCTACCCCCCATGAAGCCGAGGAAGAGGAGGATGTTGGAGAGGTGGAAAACGGAGCCCTCTGCGCCCTCCTTCCATGCTTCGCACAGGGGGTAACCCGGCGGACCCGGGTCGACCGTGTAGTTCATGGCCTCAAAGTCCGGGGGTTCCATGTTCAGTACAGAGGACTGAAACAACCGAACATGTAACAGAGAGTCCTGGGGGGTCCAGAGGGGTCCGGCAGAAAGTAAAGGGGAGTCCGGAAGACAACAAAAACATAGAAGGACACGAAGAGAGAAATTGACACCTGAGAGAGTGAGGCGCACGAGGGCGCACGAGGAGGATCGCATTCAGCCCCGGAAATAGACCGAGTATAAACAGAAAAGCCCTCGAGGGGGTTATTCAGGGGAGTCCCAGCAGCTCCAAACACGGATTTTTTACCCCCAGATAAAAAGTGGACTCTGGAATTTAAATGGTAACAGCAAATTTTCATCTTGCTAAACAATCAAAAGACACCACAATTGGGGTGGAAATTTATACGAGTGAGTAGCTTTTCTGAGTATTTCCACTTATCTGACTAGTTTAAAATCACTATGTTTACCTTCTGTGTAAATATCCCACTAAATTTTACATAAACAGCAGTTACAGAGTTCTTTCAATTTTAATCGCAACTAACCTTTTTGAAGACAACATATGAATCTGAAAAAAGAAAAAAAAAAATCATAATTTCATCACAATTGAACAACCCAGGTTCTTGATTAAACATTTGTTCAGTTTACGGCAAATTAAAGTCAATAACTGAAAGCAATAGCAGTGAAAGCATACATAATAATGAGGTTGAGGAAAGAAATGGGGCTTAAAATTAGAATGACTAAAGCAGAAAGAGGAGAAAAGCCCTAAAAGTAACATTAGCTTTGTGACAGTAATAAAAATGGAGAGTCTTATGCTACTGAATCAACACCAGCTTTGTAACAATGATAAAAGTAGAACGACTGATGCTAATAAAGTAACATTAGCTTTTCTAACAGTGTTTAAAATGGTGGGAATGATGCATGCAGTTGAGGCAGCTTGGAAGCAGGCAGTTCCACAGCAGAAGGATGTGCAGAAGCAATCCAGAGAAATCTATGGGATGAAGGGCTCAGGGACTTACAGAAAAGACTGTGGTTAGTGACTTTAATGACTTCAGTCGGACACGATGATTTAAAGCTAATGACGGATAGGGGATGGTGATTGAAAGACGTGCTTGGTGTGCCAGTTCCCCTAGCAGTCTAAACCTATAGCAGCATAACTAAGAGCTGGCCTAAACCTGAACCAGCTGTGAGCTTTTTCATATAGGAACAGCCCCAAAAGGTAGAGAGGGTCTCTGCCCCCTGCACCTTGACTGACAGATGATTACAGAGAAGAGAGGCCTTGTAAGCTCAATACCACCCAGACCACTTTTCAAGACTTAAGGTACAATGAGCAAACCTGTATATAAGGACCTCAATGTGCTGGCAGGGAACTATGAGCTCTTAAGACATGATGGTGGTGGGTAATCCAACCTGGAGGTGACAAATGCATAGACTAATCTCTTTGCGTCATTCTGAGACAGGATGTGTTGGATTTTTTGCCACATTACACAGGTGAAAAAAGGCAGCTCAAGAGATTTGTTAGATGTAGGATTTAAATGACATCCCAGTCAAAAAGACCACTTTTTTTCAAATGTCTGTCTAACTTCACTTTCTAAACAATAACTTCCGTCTGTCTGATTGAGTAGCTAACGACATTTAGGTCTTTATGTATGTAAATCATGCTTCAAGTGTAGTTCATCTATTAGGGTTGGGGTACAAGCTTCAGTGATAGGTATAATTGAGTGTCACCTGCACAGCAGATTTTCATACTTCAGAAAAACAATGCCAAACCACAACCTGCATGTATTGCAACAGCACGGCTCTGTAGTAGAAGAGTCCAGCTGCCAAATAGACTGGCCTGCAGTCCAGACTTGCCCTCAATTGAAAACATCTGAAGCATCATGACGAAAAATACAACGAAGGTGACCCAGAACTGTAGAGCAGCTCAAATCCCACATCGGGCAAGAATGGGACATTTCACAATCCAAACGCCAGAAGCTGGTCTCCTGGGTTCAAAAACATTTGCAGAGTGTTGGTAAAAGAAGAGCTGATAACCCACTGGGAAAAAGGACTCTGAAACAATTTTTTGAAGCATTTCTGGCATGTCATTCAAAATGAGCATATCTTCGTCACTAAACAGTGCAATTTTCACTTCAAATTTACATTTCTCCATCACTGAGTTGGCCACAGCTAATAGTGGTAAGTAAAGAAGGGTTTTCTATGTGCAGGTGAGCTGATTGCTGCTCATTAATCAAAGCAGTGGAGTGTTGTAGGATGTGTGAGACCTTATGGACAGGAATAGCTACAGCTCTCCCACAGTGTGTTATGAAGGTGACTTTAAGGGTTTCCTGGACAGTGAGAAGTGTGTGTGTCTGATGTATCTGGGGCAGCAGAGACAGACAGAGACCCCAGGGTGTATTTCCCACAAATAGTCCGTCCCTGTTTTTTTTTTTTTTTAAAGCTAGTAAAGAGGAGCAAAAATCCGACTTATTGATTACACTCTAAGTCTGCTTGTATGCATGAGGTTCATATCAAAGCATTTATCTCCACACAGACATCCAACACCTGCTATTTTTAGAGACGCTGGGCAGTGTGTGTGTGTGTGTGTGTGTGTGTGAACATGTGCATACCTTCTTAAAGTATGTAAAATAGCTTCACATAAAATGGAGCCAATTAGCACTAAGTATGCAGAGAATCAAATCTATGTGGCTGAAGCAGATGTGTCCAATCAGATGCCACCAACTCTAAAACACAGTCCTAAGAGACGTGCAGTAATCATTAATCTCTACCAGCAGAGCCCTGCTGTTATCTGTCAGTCAGTTTGCTGTTATTTTTAGACTGCCTAGTACTCTTGACACGTTTGCAGTTGCAGGAATTTGTTCTGGTGCCATGAAGGCTTGAGGTCAGTCCCACAAAGATCGGCTGTCAGAGAGTGACACTATCTCCAACAACAATATTAAACTTGACCTGGTCACACCCAGCTCCTAATCCTTTTTGAGTCTTAATGACTGAAAGACACAAAAAGTTTTTGACTTGTTCCTGACACTGTCTGGGCTGCAGCTGAAATATCAAGTTTAAATATCTCATGCGTGCCACAGGAATGAATCAGATAATAAAACCAATCACAGGTAATAAACGGGCATTATTATGGTCAGATCTTTGGAACACCAGTTATGGAAAGTGATGTTATAAGTCTTGATTTGAGCACTTACTTTTGGCAAGCTCCTCCTTTCTGCCAGTCCTTCCTCATTTTGCAAATCTCATCTTTATATTTTTCTCTGAGTGTATGAACAGGGGTGTAGATTTTGTATTGAATATAAGTAGCTTTTTGAGTTGAGGCAAAAACCAACAATTCTATTTTACTGGGATTTAGCTGAAAAGCTGTGGGTCATCCAGTTTCAATTTTGGCCAGACACTTGTGGAAGACGACAGATTTGAGAGATCACTAGTTTTAATGGATAAAGGAGTGTATCATTCTCGTATTATACTCGAATTCTTCGAGGCCAAGGTCTAAACCTATTAAAATCATCTGATCTAAGGTTGTCTGTATGTTTCTTGTATTTATATTTGCTCTAACCTGACAGATCTGACAGATTGGTGCAGGCTTGAATCCTCTTCTTTCTCTCCCAGATTCCTAATAATGGAATATAAATGAGACACACAGCGGTCTTTGTAGTCCACAGATGAGCAGTGACAGGCCTGTTGAAACTTGTTAGGGGAGCAGGGAGTCACAGGGAGCTGCAGAGTGACATACCAAGTATCTGAGGAGGGATGTAGGAGGGCTTGAGCTGTGGGCAATGTGATATGAGGGTGATACCTAAGAGTAGGAGGGAGGTGAGGGGACATTGGAGGTGGACTTACATCAGTCTGCCTGTAAAAGGCCTGATAATGAAGGAGATGGTGATGGAAAGGATTAGAATATTTGCACAGAAATGCCCTCTCTCTCTTTTGAAAATCTCTTTTCATTTTCAAGCACCTTGAACAGACATGAAATTTGCATCTTGATGACAATAGAAGCTCATTTAATCTTCATGTCCCTCATCAAGGGTATTTATCGCCTCTCCTCTTGCAGTCATTGTCCTTTTTTGCTGTCTGTTGGCTGTGTAGATCAAATGAATTGAAGACTTATCAACAAAAAATAATAATAAAAAAGAGCGTCTCTAAAAGAATCTGGAGAGCAGACTCAACCTTCTTTTGTCCTCTATTGTCCCACATAAAGAGCAGACATGGGATTTCACTTTTACTTTTTACTTTTGGCTTTTACCTGGATTTCCCAAAAGACATCTGTTCCTTAGGGGAACATGAACTTTGTCTCCCCAAACGCCAGAGGAGGAGGGGTCGACGACCCTGAACTCTTAAAGACATGGCCTTCTTCTTGAAAGCTCCCATAAGGAGTTTCTTGATATTCATAAAAATAGACTGAAATTCATATTGATGCCTTTTTATGGTTAATGATCATTCTCCTCCAAGTTATCCCATCTCTTAAGATGATTCACCATGACTGTATTTAGGCCTGTATTTATGAAAGACTTCACACCTACTTAGAGAGAGATGTAAGATTTAAAGGGACCATGGCATGAAAAACTGACTTTGTTAACGGGAGGGGGGTGCATATCAGGGATAGAAAACTGCTACAATCCCCCCAAGTTTGAAAAAATTCCATCCAGTCGCTTTGTAGTCATCTCCGTGTTTAGGAACTGTGTGCTCAGAGCCGGTGTTGTGCCGTAAAATGCACCCCTGCCGTAGAATGCACCCCCTGCATCCCATCCACTCTTAGCTTCTTAAAGTGGAAGAAAATGATCTCATATTTTAAAACATACGAGTATTTGATCGTGACAACTTTTGTTCTGTTTTTATGTGTCTCAAAAATGCACATACGGAGGTGTACTTGGGTATATAAATTGTACAGTTAGCTGTCAAGCTAGCAAACATTTTCGGGACAGCAAATATTCCGAATCAGAGGGCTATTTTTTCGACTTATCTGATTAGCCTGAATGAAATTATTAAAGGCATGCGCTTATGAATTCATCCAATAATCAGGAAAACTTGTTACTTATGATTATTTTCGCCTTGTTAAGTACTTTCAACCGCGCTCCCGTCGGGGGTGCATTCTACGGCATAACACCGGCCGTTCTGAATACTCCACTGAAATGACATCATGTCAGTGCTGGCGGGTTGATGCTACTGCCCATGGAGCCGCCCACTGCCCTGCCCACAAAATTATCAAAACACCGCCATTATTCTCGGCCGCTCGCTCGCATAGTTCCGGTTAGAACCATGGCGGAAGTATGATCTGAAAAAGAGGCAGCGTTTGCTCTATTGTTGGCTGTACAAACGAGCACAAAACTCTTTTGAAAACTCCCTCGTAGGATTTGAGGACTCAATGGGTGGATTTTATTTATAATGGGAATGTACCCGCGGCACTTCCAACATATCTGTACGTATGTGCGCACCATTTCACTTCGGACTGTTTTATAAACGAGGGACAGTTCAACGCTGGATTTGCTAGATGTCTGAAGATAAAGAATGGATCCGTACCAACTATCCGTGATCCTACTACAAACGTGGCATCTGCAAGTGTGAACGTTTCATTTTGACTTACTGTTTAGCCCAGGGGTCGGCAACCTTAAACACTCAAAGAGCCACTTGGACCAGTTTCCCACAGAAAAGAAAACACAGGGAGCCACAAAACCTCTTTGACATCTAAAATGAAGATAACATTGCATATATCTTTTTTTTTTAACCTTTATACAAAGTATATAAAAAACTGTAGCGAGTTGCATTTATGAAATAAATGAACTATTTCGGCGAGTGTCTGTCTTCTTCTGTAGTTAAACCGCAAGATATCAAAATCTACCCGGATACAGCAATGCTGCTTTTTGATTGGCTGTTCAGTAGATATACTTTATTTGATTGGCTTGTGCGTGGCACGCAGCTTCTGAACTCTCAGAGGAACTCAGTTGATTTCCCCCAGTCCCATAGTTGAAGAAGTGCAAATTGGTGGACATCACTGTGTTCATTTAAATGCGTGAGAAATACAATGTGTGGTGTGTGAGCGTGTGAACGAGTGTGAATGCGTGTGTCATACGCTGAATGCGTGAGACTTGAGAGCCCTGTGCTCACGCATCATCGATGTACTCCCGAGCCATGCAAAACAGTCTTTGCAAATGTTGCACTGAACGCCTTCCTTTTCAGTCTTGGTGAAGTTTTCCCACACCGCTGATGTTTTAGGTCGGGATTTGGGTTGGGTTGTGTCCATGTTTTTCTCAGCCGCTGCCTCGGCCATGGCTGTTTCTTTTCTGTGCATGCATTCTGCTGATGTTTACACGCCGGTGTCCATGGACATATATAAAGACCCGACGAATCGATTACAGAATTTGTCGGCAACGGATTTTTTCGTCACGACGAATCTACTTAATCGATTCGTTGTTGCAGCCTTAATAGTTTATTTAATGTTACAAGAGCATTATAATCTTTGAATTTAGAATTACAAAAAAAAATTAATAATAAAATAAAATAAAATGCAATTAAGTATTTATTATTTATTTTCCAAATCCATTGGGAGCCGCAGCTTAGGGAAGAAAGAGCCACATGCGGCTCCAGAGCCGCGGGTTGCCGACCCCTGGTTTAGCCTAAATTCCCCCGGTGCCTCAGCACGGCCACCACGCTTTGATAAACACACCGGATCCACGCCGGTTTACCGGATCCTCCCGTATTTTAGCCGCTCGCTTCTTCCCCGACAACTCCGGCGGCGGGGGACAAAATCCCCCTCCAGAGTAGCTTATAGCTCTAGCATTTACCCGTGCGACGACGCGCCTCTTTTGGCTCAAATACGGGACGTCTAATGTCTAATGTTGGACGGTCAGCCATCTAATTTATTAGCAAAGGCTTCAGAGAAGTTTTAGAGCACTAAAATCTTACATTGTAGCAGAGCTCTGGTTTTAATTTTTTCTACATTCATATCATTCATATCTGCGTTTGGTCTGAACGCGGCTAAGAGTTTCTTCCGGAGCCTCTCCCTCTGGGTCAGACTCTGGCTCAAACTGGTAGGGTTGTATGAACGATCTTTTTGCAGCCATGACCGAGCCAGTGTAAACATTAGCACATGGCTATCGGAGCACAGCCACAGCCCCTTCCAGAGAGATGGGGGTAAAGTGGACGTGGCTTAGGTGCAGCTCATTTCATTTTAGCTGACAAAAAGAGCACTAAAATAATTGATCCAAATCGAATTTTGACCGAAGGACGTCACAGACATGCTTTTAACACACCAGGGGACTATTTTAAGTTGTGTGAAATTGGCATGCCATGGGACCTTTAAGTTGTAACCTGTTTGTGCAATATCTAAAATGTTTATAAACTTCATCCAAAATTGGATGAAACTTAGGTCCAACCTACTGCTGGTTTTTATTAAAATACTGTGACTTTTAATCAAAAAGAAACCTATAATCTTACAAAACAAAGCAGATGCAGAAACTGAAGCTCCCTGGGCTTGGTAGACTAGTAGTATTAGGGCCTCATTAAAAATAACTATTTTTTTCTTGTGAGAAAAAAAAAACAACCTTCAAAACGGGAGAATGAGGCTAATCATTGCTCATTTAGTTATGTTTCTGTCAGAGTAGAGAAATGAATGATTTATTGTGTTGACGTCTCCTCATAGTTGACTCTAATCATTCTGAAGGAACATCAGCAGAATCTCTTAAAGCAGCAGATAACTGAGATCATTCAGCTTCATTTTTCTGTAAACTTATGTCACTTTGAGGGAATAAACCATCTCTTTCCCATCCAGCAGAAAACTGAAAAACTTCAGTCTTGGTTTTCAAACATTAGTTTGTAATCAGGGTTTTCATCTATGAAAGGGAACACCCATGTTAACCCTTATTTTTCTGCTGCCACTGGTCTTGATTTTCTTCTTATGCTCTTCCTTTTTTTTTTTTTAGTTTTTTCTTTTTACGGAAACTCTAGTTCATTCAAATTCATGTTCCAGTGAGCCATGATTAGTCTGATCTGCCATTTGTCAAATTTCTACAATTAAGAACTTTATCAACACAACTCCTTTGATCACAACAACAAAAAGCCACTGAATCTTGCATGTCTTGCACAGCCTTAAAATCCAATGATTATGATGTTCTGTTTATTGCAAACTATATTGTAAAGATACTTGGCATGATACATTCAGTCTCTTGAGGAAGATGTTGCTAAATCCTTCACAATGTACCTGTGAAAGGTGTTAATCTCACAAGAACTTAAAAGAAATTCAGGAATCTGACAAAAAGCTCAGACCTAAAATCTGAGCTCTTGATGTTCATGTAGTAAACTCTGGTCCATTTGGAGTCAGAGAGAACAGGGGCGGATCTAGACATTGAAATAATGTCTTATTCAGTATTTGGCTGTACCAAAACACTCTGAGATGTTTGTTTTAGTTTTTAGAGAGCACACTTTAAAGCCATATCAAGTTGACCAAAATCAATTTCCCAGTCATCACCACTGTTACGTTAATGGATGATTTAGTGTCAGTCAGCTTCTTTCCAGTTCCACCCTCCAAGCTGGCTTCAAAAATACAAAACTTTGTTTGTACTAGTCTACAAACGGTGGGTGGCATCACAGCAGCACTTCTCAATTTAGTTTTATTTAATATAAGTCCTGTCTGAGCATGCCCAGTGGGTTCACAGCATCATGTCGAGTGTGGCAGAAAGTCTGCCACCTCAGTTGCTGTGACCTCCTAATATCAACCAGATGATAAGGACCACTCAGTGTTCCTCCATGGCAACAAGACAGTTGTAACCATGACAACCCTAATGTTAGCATCCTTGCATGCTATCTGTGTCTCATCACCCACCGATTAAATATTCAGTCTGCGCTCAGGATGCTGAGAGTCTCATTCAGACGTCTCAGTTCAGTTTGAAGTGATAACAGAGGTTTGCAACACTATACAGTTTAATGTACAGTTAAATAGAAGGCCGGGAAAGCAGGACGCACTGCAGAGAGTTTGTAGGTACTATCAGAACAAAATAACAGTAAAGCCGCGTTAAGAGTTTAATATTAGATCAATCCCTGCCTCACTCTTGTGCCCACAAAGGCACTTCAGGGCTGATTTCAACAGCTTTCTCACCATCCAGGCAACTTCAAGTGGTGTTTTGTGAAGTGATCTCTACTTACAATCATCTACCGTTTTTCATTTGCAATAGAATGTTTCTCTGTGTGTGTTTTTATTCAGTCACACTTCTGTGACGGTAATTGTATATGAGCCACATTTAAGCGAGAGACACATTTTTCCAAAGGGGCTGTGTTGTATCTCAAGACAGCAAATGTTGTGGAGTTGTATTGTGGCTAATCATTTTATATTGTATTGTTGAGTATAGTATTGTATAATCATCCATGTTAAAACGAATCCTAACAGTCTCATGTTGTACCATATCATATCATATCATCAGTTTATTGTTTTCCATTAGGTCAAACCACATGAGATTGTGTAATTCATAGTTTTTAATATTGTATTGTACCCTTTCCAGTTATATCACATCATGCCATGTTGTATCATGTCATATTATATCTCACAATAAAAGTTCCAATTAAATATCATGTTGTATTGTAAAATATTAAAAATCAAGTCATGAAATGATATCATATCATAATGTCTTATCACAAGGTGTTTTTAAGTCATATCACATCATATGCCTTATCATATCATATCACACTATGCCATAGAATGTTTTATTCATAATATTGTTTCATCGGGGGCACCATACATTATCGTATTAATTTTAATAGTTTTAATCCAACCCCTTTTTATCTCATGTCATATATAATTTTGAATGATATTGCCACATTAAATCATAGTATCATAGTATATTACGCTGTATAATGTAAAGTATTATACTGTGTTTTATGGTGTCAGATTGTGTTGTATAGCCTTTAGTGTAAAGGAATTGTATCACATTGTGCTCACTAGTTTCTTTAAAAGCGCTATTTAGTCCTTGAGCCAGACCAGATGTCGGTACCACTTGGGTGGACAAAACCTTACATATTCTAAATTGTTTTTAGGGTCAATATAAGTAAATTAAAATATGATAGACTTTTCATAGGGGTAGCTTTTTATATTTTTTCTCATTTTGTTATTTTCCTCAATAGGCGATTTTTTGTTAACTCCAAAAGCAACACAGAAAGTCAAAAGCACATTAAAAGTCACACTCTTTTTGGGTCACACTGCTCTTTTCTATAAATGAATCAAACCTGTGTCTAATTAAATGAGTTGATGAAGTGGGAGTGGCCCAATTTGATGGTGGAGCAGTTCTTTCAGGTATCATAGCACTTGAGCCAAGAACCAAAATTTCACATATCGGTACCACCTGGGTGGGCAAATTCTAGTTGTGATTTTTTTATTGCTATACATCCCTACAATAATTTTTTATATGATAGACCTTGGTAACTGGTAGCTTTATTGTAGTTATCACTCATTGAAGTAATAGAGTGCAGCTGTTCAAAAATGAAAAATCGCCTTCCTTCAAAATTAGCTTTCTTTCATTTTAACCTCTCATTTAGGTGTGTTTGAACTATTGGCTAGCCATAGAGACTTGTAATAACCCCCTAAGTAGTATTTCAAGTAATTTATCTAATACAGGTGTGTATATATAAGCTTCAATTAGCCAATTGTCAGGTCTAATTCAAGGTCTGAATTAAGGATATTTTTTTACTTAGAAGTAGAAGTAAAGTAAATGCAGACTAATAGCATTATAATAACACAACTTTAATATGACACTGACATATTTTAAATGCAGGAACTCAATATACAATCATCCTGGCTGGTGCAGGGCAAGAAGACATTAGCAACAAAATAAGATCCACTGATGTATACACTCTATGCAATCATCTGAGAAAACTCAAATTCCTATTCAAAGTCCTATTCTTTCCATAAGGAACAGTGACAGCAAATTTGACTGTCAAGTTTTGGCTTAGTACATAATACTGTCACTGAGTCACAGTGGGTCTGTTAACATAGCTCCCTTTGGTCATCATTTATTAATCAACATCAGTAATCGACATCAGTATCTGTATCTTCTTCTACATCTGAATCTGCCGGGTGTGCAAGGGGCTCTTCCTCACTGTACTGGTTGGCACAAGTTTGTAATTTGCACAGGTTTGTGCACTTCAGCCCATTGCTGAGACACGTGCAGTCTGGTGATTTGCATGTCCTCACACACTTGCAGGATAGCAACTGCAAGACCGAAGAAGTAAAGTAAATGCAGACTAATTGCTTTATGATAACACAACTTTAAAATGACAGTGACATATTTTCAATGCAGGAACTCAATATACAATCATCCTGGCTGGTGCAGGGCAAGAAGACATTAGCAACAAAATAAGATCTACTGATGTATACACTCTATACAATCATCTGAGAAAAACTCCATTCCTCCACCAAGAACTTGATGAGACTGGCTTTATTGGCAGGGCTGCAGAGAAGTTTCCTCCACTGCTGAATATTGTGGACAGAAACAATGTTTCTGAACTGGATCCCCATGTCTGCACCTCTGTTTAGTCTTTCTGAATTTTTGATTGACATGTCCTTGTAAACGTCAAAGACAACGTCAATCCTTTCACTATCACCACCTTCATGCAGGACCTTGGATAAAGTTGAGTCCAGCCAGCTTCCACCATGTCAGGATTGCGTATTAATGCATTTGATTCGTGCCAACTACCAGGCTGCTATCTGGAGACGGTCTCTTCATACCAAGCCATCTGTACCAAGCCCCAAGGACCATGGGTGGACCATAAATGACGAAGGGCAGCTAGAAAACAGTGGATGCGTGGTTCCCCAGCACCAGATGCGGTCTTGCAGTTGCTATCCTGCAAGTGTGTGAGGACATGCAAATCACCAGACTGCACGTGTCTCAGCAATGGGCTGAAGTGCACAAACCTGTGCAAATTACAAACTTGTGCCAACCAGTACAGTGAGGAAGAGCCCCTTGCACACCCGGCAGATTCAGATGTAGAAGAAGATACAGATACTGATGTCGATTACTGATGTTGATTAATAAATGATGACCAAAGGGAGCTATGTTAACAGACCCACTGTGACTCAGTGACAGTATTATGTACTAAGCCAAAACTTGACAGTCAAATTTGCTGTCACTGTTCCTTATGGAAAGAATAGGACTTTGAATAGGAATTTGAGTTTTCTCAGATGATTGCATAGAGTGTATACATCAGTGGATCTTATTTTGTTGCTAATGTCTTCTTGCCCTGCACCAGCCAGGATGATTGTATATTGAGTTCCTGCATTTAAAATATGTCAGTGTCATATTAAAGTTGTGTTATTATAATGCTATTAGTCTGCATTTACTTTACTTCTACTTCTAAGTAAAAAAATATCCTTAATTCAGACCTTGAATTAGACCTGACAATTGGCTAATTGAAGCTTATATATACACACCTGTATTAGATAAATTACTTGAAATACTACTTAGGGGGTTATTACAAGTCTCTATGGCTAGCCAATAGTTCAAACACACCTAAATGAGAGGTTAAAATGAAAGAAAGCTAATTTTGAAGGAAGGCGATTTTTCATTTTTGAACAGCTGCACTCTATTACTTCAATGAGTGATAACTACAATAAAGCTACCAGTTACCAAGGTCTATCATATAAAAAATTATTGTAGGGATGTATAGCAATAAAAAAATCACAACTAGAATTTGCCCACCCAGGTGGTACCGATATGTGAAATTTTGGTTCTTGGCTCAGGGACTAATTATGCTTACTTAAGATGGCATTCACCTTGCTGAAAATGCTGACTCTTAGTAACTTTGCAATGAAGTAATAGGTCGGCCTCTCGTGGACATCAGAGGAATTGCAGCTGGCTTCATTTTCAGCACCACAGGTTGCCATGGCTTAGATTGGGTGTATTCACGGCTCTCCTGCAGTGACAACTGAAAACAGCCCCAGGCCCAAAAGAGGGTTGAATAGTATCAGCACCAAAAGGATGTTTTGTTTCTGTAATATTGGAGCTATCTTGCACTTAAAATCCCACTCAGGTTGAGACATATCTGATATCTATTTTAACAGGGATTGTTATATCAAAACAATTTCAACAATTTATTAAAAGTAAAATAAGATTAATTGATTCCTTCTTCAGTTAGGAAAATGTGCAAAGTGCTTAAGGGAAAACATAAGCTTACATTATCTTGATTGTGGAGTGATTAAAACTTTAAACACACACTTTTGTTGACTTGTTTTTGCAGCTCAAGACATAAAATAGTGTTTTCACTGCTTTTGAGCAACACATGTTTTAAATCTGTTTTTAGTTAGTTTTATATCTGATGTAGTATCTGATGATACTAGGCTCAATTGAATATAGTATTATCATACCATATTAAAGTAAAGGTAAGTCTATGTTGCACCCCATAATCTCAGTGTGAATACAGTAATAAAAAGTGTTAAAACTACAGGTTTATCTATCAACCATGAAATATCAGGCCCCCTAACTCTAACTGTGCATAGTCTTCCCCCTAGTGGACATAATGAGACATTACAGCAGCAGGTGGTTATCAGGCAGGGCTGTATTTGAGAGGAAAATAAAACTTAACACACACTCATTATTAAACACACAGGATTTAAACTGCAAATTAATGCGTATAAAATTATGCGATGCTGATTGTGATAAGACACAGACCTATAGCAGTGATAAAAGTTACTCTGAGGAACCTTTTTTATTAGGCCGCAAGATTAAGATTTGTTCTTATCTGTCTAATCCTAATCTTCACCATCACCTGCAGGGTGTGAGCTCTAGGGTTGGAAAAGTGGGAAAAACAGGCAACAGTGTAAATTAGACGTTAAATCACCTGCACATACAGTGAAGTTAGATTGTGCTTTTTATATTCATCATGTAACTACTACTTATATGAAACCTGTTTGAAGAACTTGTGTTTTTTTGTGACAGAAAGTCTTCATCTCAAAGTCCATGGGCTCTATTTTCATGCCCGCCGGCAGCGCAGCGGAGGGTGGTGGACCCCACGCAGTGGTATTTTCATCTGTCGGAGCCAGATGCACAGCTAGTTTGGTATTTTACTTCACGATACTTCACGAAAATTGTAATACCCCTCGCCAGTGGCAGATTTAAAGGTGAGGAGCTTATGTGATTGGCGAAAACAGGTCTCGGCTGTGTTAAACCCACTCCACCCCTCTCTACAACTTACGCCGCTGGGAGGAGCTGAGTTAGGGAGGGGGGATACTTACGCTGGGCTTTCCCCGCTCACCAAAATACCAAAATGTGCTTGGACACAGCTTGTAGGCACGGCGGACCTAACTTACGCCGCGCCTACGCCATACCGCCGGCGAGGCAAGAAAAAAGAGCACCATGATTAAACAGACATGATAGAGCTGTAAAATATGCACATATACATGTTTTGCTCTTTTTCCTTCACACACTCACACACACACACACATACAAAAAGGTTAGAAGTGGTCAGTGGGTGGGTCTTCTTTTCATTTGATGACCTGCCAGATGATGATGATGATGATGAGAAGCAGCAGTGAAAGCACCATGGCCAGTATGCACATCCTCTTGCGGGACTTTCTCTGCAAAAAAACCACAACAAACCACATCACTGATGGTGTTGAGTTTTCATCAAGCCAATATCAAGGCATGTTAGTCTGACTAGAAGTTTGATTTAGTAAGATTTCAGTTAGACTAATGTATGTACTTGTTTTTTTTTTTCTTTCAAGCATAATTCTAAAGGTCTTGTTTGCTTTTGTTTACAATAAAAAAGCATCAGTATTATTTTCAGTCAATTTTATAGAAGTCAAAAAACTTCTCACAGCAGCTTTGATTTTGTTTTTTTCAATGAGACATTGCTGATCACTGATCATAAAAATCATTAGCTATATTTTTGCCTTGCTGGACATCTCTTATTGGCTCGAGTTAAGTCTTCTTATTTTAGGCTATAAAATTACAGAAGATCTTGCAATTCCCATTTTTAATAAACTACTACCATTGAAAAAGGGGCGTGGCTGTTTTTAAAGCAGTAAGTGAAGTTCGACTGCTCTCAGGACAGCTTAGCTTGTAACAGGTAATGTTTCAATTCTGTTTCTAAATTTCTTAAGTAAAATGTTCTGTTCAAAAGTACAATGGTGATGTTCTTTTTATCACCCCAGCAGCAGCAAGCAGACAGAAAGCAACATGTGTGCTAAGAAGGGATAAAACCACATTATGTAAAAGTTATATTCTGGTTCTGTGCCTTAGATGTTGACAGGGCCCATTTTTGTGCATGTCTCGATAAACCCAAAAAACCAGTTCGAAAACTATTCACTCATGAAAGTGCATCTTAACCTTTAGTTCCTCCTTTGATTATTTTATTATTTGGTGCCTGACCTGGTAGTAGGAGGCCTTCTGCAGCTGGGCAGCTCCTCTGTCCACATGGGACTCTGCTCCCTCCACATTTGCCTCAATGCTGTCTGAAAATAAAAACACAGAAGAAGAGCATCACGAGCACACTCACATCTGCAAGAACCAATCTGTTACTCTGACTTCTTGATAACTGACCGATTGTCTCCCCCTGGTCGTGGATCATCACAGCCAGGTCCTTGAAGATCTGGTTCACATCCATGATGTCAGCCTGAGGACAGAAGAGTCAGCTCATGAACAGAAAACATGACTCAGCATTTTTTACAGCATGAGGGACTTCCTCTGATACCTCCAGCTGTCTGATGTTGGTCTCTCTCTCCTTGATGTTCTCCAGGTCCTCCTCTGTGATGGAAGGCTCCTCGGTCTGAGTCTGGCTCTGACTCCACTCTCCTTCCCTGCACAATCACACTCTTTATTTACATTTCATTCAGGTGTTACAGACGGGGATGTGTGCGGATTATGAAGTGCAAATAAAGTACATTTTGAAAAAAAATCCTACTTTTCAAATGTGACCAGCTGCTCGTTGGCATGCCCTCCATCTCCCTGAGGACAGGAGCAAATAGATCAAGCTCATGTCACACTTTCATCCACTTTTAGTTATCAGAGTGCTTTGAAATAATGCCATTGGTTTCTGACCAAGACTCTGGACCCAGCTCGAGCTCGGACCACAGATTCCTTCTCCTTCTCGGCTGCTCTCCTCTGAACCAGCTGGAAATTGTTGAGAGCTGCAGAGAAATCGTTCATCAGACGCTCTTTCCTCAGCTTCTGCTGCCTCTGAGAGAGAGAAGAGGGCAAAGAAAAAGAACAATGTTAAACTAGGGCCCCGCTGGGGCACTGGCGGGCCCGAGCTGTGTCGCCACCCCCCCCCCCCCCCCAACGCGCTGCCTCCCCGTCCCATTCGCGTCCTCTGGCCATCGTCCTCTCTGGTAACGCCCATCACTGCAAAGACCCTTTTCCTTCATCGGCGTTTGCTGTTCTTCCTGCCAGTGCGTGTTGCTTTCACTTACACTTGCCACAGCCAGCCTCGTGAGTGCCTAGCCTATTGGATATCACTGTCACCTACACAGGACAGTCATTACCTTTCTATTAATACTTTGTTTTTTAATTTCACATTAATTTCCATATTGTATAAACGACTGGAAAAAACTTGAGCCCCTGCCCCTGTATAATCATGTGCACGTCCCTGTTCTCGCTCCAAGGTGAATCTTCACTGCTCATGTTCTCCTCAGAAGCAGTCACCTCACTCCCCTCAGGTTACTGTACACATGCACCAACTGCCTGCTTCAGGTTTGGATGGAGCTTCATGGTTGTCTTTTGGAGAAATGAGCAGTCAAGTTGTGTTAGAAATTTGATTTTTTTCAGGGGCAAAAGGAAGCCTCTGCATTGTTGTCAAATATGTAAATAGCATGTTTTTGCAGGTGCTAAAAAACAGACTCTGAGTGTGTGTGTGTGTGTGTGTGTGTGTGTGTCTGTGTGTGTGTGTGTCTGTGTGTGTGTATCCTGCAGTACTCTGTACTCCTGCAGTGGCCAAAACGACTTTTAAGAATGTGGATATTTGGGTCATCTTTGGCGCCCCCTAGAACGTAAACCATGGGGTGCAGCGGCATGATTTTTACAACTTTGAATGGCCATGGGGTGTAGATTGGCCTGAGCAAATTTGGTGTCAGTGGGACGAAAGCCTTAGGAGGAGTTAGCCACATTCCAATGTGTGCGAATCGGCAAAAAATGCAAAATAGCCCTTTAGCCGTACATTTTACAGATACGCGCCCATTGACTTTTTCGTAGATCTTATTGAGATACACGTGTGTGTCAAATTTTTTGTCAATACGACAAAGCGTACAGGCGTGACACTCAACAATGTGTATTTTCACCTTAGGGGACAAGAAAAAATGGACTTTTTTGTCCTGCCATGGGGGGGCGCTCTTTTGGGGAGTAAAAATTCCTTCACAAATGTGTTGATGGCTGGACATTGCATCATCCTAGAAAACTTGGAGGCCAGTGAGGACAAAAAAAAAAAATTATAAAACTTTTAAGAATGTGGATTTTTGGGTTATTTTTGGCGCCCCCTAGAACCTAAACCATGGGGTGCAGCATTATGATTTGTACAACTTTGAATGGCCATGGAGTGTAGATTGGCCTGAGCAAATGTGGTGCCGGTGGAACGAAAGCCTTCGGAGGAGTTAGCGAAATTCCAATGTGTGCGGATCTGCAAAAAATGCAAAATAACCCTTTAACCGTACATTTGACAGATACGCCCGCACTGACTTTTTTGTAGATCTTATTGAGATACATGTGTGTGTCAATTTTTGTGTCAATATGACAAAGCATACAGGCGTGACAGTCAATAGTGTGAATTTTCACCTTAGGGGGCGCTATGGAGCCATTTTGCATTTTATTGTTTGGGCGACTTCAGAATATCGAATTTTTCACCAGGCCCGGTCGTCCTGCCAAATTTCCTGAGTTTTCGCCAGTGGGAAGTGGGCCATTTTCCAGTTTAAAGCGGAGGAAAAATAATAATAATAACTAGGGCCCCGGTGGGGCACTGTCGGGCCCGAGCCGCGTCGCGCCACCCCCAGCGCGACCGCCTACCCCTCCCGATCGCGTCACACTCAAGGTCCAAAGATGGTGTGCGCACTTGTCTGTGGTCATTTACCATTATAATGAATGGGAGGCGCAGTTTCTACCAAAACGCTCGCTGCAGATAAACTCCATGTCCTTTTTGAAAAAAGTCTGGACCATGAGTGAGGGCACAAACACAGCTAGTATATATCCAAATGGCAAGTTGCTCCTCCTTTCGGTTTTGCTGAGAGAGCGATGCGTTTGAGCCATTGAGCGATGGGCAGGAAAAACTTGACTTTTTCTCCTGCCATGGGGGGGGCGCTCTTTTGGGGAGAAAAAATTCCTTCACAAATGTGTTGATGGCTGGACATCGCATCATCCTAGAAAACTTGGAGGCCAGTGAGGACAAAAATAAAAAGTTATAAGACTTTTAAGACTGTGGATTTTTGGGTTATCTTTGGCGCCCCCTAGAACGTAAACCGTGGGGTGCAGCGTCATGATTTGTACAACTTTGAATGGCCATGGGGTGTAGATTGACCTGAGCAAATTTGGTGTCAGTGGAACGAAAGCTTTAGGAGGAGTTAGCCACATTCCAATGTGTGCGAATCGGCAAAAAATGCGAAATAGCCCTTTAACCGTACATTGAACAGATACGCTCGCATTGACTTTTTCGTAGATCTTATTGAGATACATGTGTGTGTCAAATTTTGTGTCATTTTGACAAAGCGTAAAGGCGTGACAGTCAACAATGTGTATTTTCGCCTTAGGAGACAAGAAAAAATGGACTTTTTTCTCCTGCCATGGGGGGGCGCTCTTTTGGCGAGTAAAAATTCCTTCACAAATGTGTTGATGGCTGGACATTGCATCATCCTAGAGAACTTGGAGGCCAGTGAGGACAAAAATAAAAAGTTATAAGACTTTTAAGACTGTGGATATTTGGGTTATCTTTGGCGCCCCCTAGAACGTAAACCGTGGGGTGCAGCATCATGATTTGTACAACTTTTAATGGCCATGGGGTGTAGATTGGCCTGAGCAAATGTGGTGCTGGTGGAACGAAAGCCCTCGGAGGAGTTAGCGAAATTCCAATGTGTGCGGATCGGCAAAAAATGCGAAATAACCCTTTAACCGTACATTTGACAGATACGCCCGCACTGGCTTTTTTGTAGATCTTATTGAGATACATGTGTATGTCAATTTTTGTGTCAATATGACTAAGCGTAAAGGCGTGACAGTCAATAGTGTGAATTTTCGCCTTAGGAGACAAGAAAAAATTGACTTTTTTCTACTGCCATGGGGGGGCGCTCTTTTGGCGAGTAAAAATTCCTTCACAAATGTGTTGATGGCTGGACATTGCATCATCCTAGAGAACTTGGAGGCCAGTGAGGACAAAAATAAAAAGTTATAAGACTTTTAAGACTGTGGATTTTTGGGTTATCTTTGGCGCCCCCTAGAACGTAAACCGTGGGGTGCAGCGTCATGATTTGTACAACTTTTATTGGCCATGGGGTGTAGATTGGCCTGAGCAAATGTGGTGCCGGTGGAACGAAAGCCTTCGGAGGAGTTAGCGAAATTCCAATGTGTGCGGATCGGCAAAAAATGCGAAATAACCCTTTAACCGTACATTTGACAGATACGCCCGCACTGACTTTTTCGTAGATCTTATTGAGATACATGTGTGTGTCAATTTTTGTGTCAATATGACAAAGCGTAAAGGCGTGACAGTCAATAGTGTGAATTTTCACCTTAGGGGGCGCTTTGGAGCCATTTTGCATTTTATTGTTTGGGCGACTTCAGAATATCGAATTTTTCACCAGGCCCGGTCGTCCTGCCAAATTTCATGAGTTTTCGCCAGTGGGAAGTGGGCCATTTTCCCCTTCAAAGGGGAGGAAAAATAAGAAGAAAGAAAGAAAGAAAGAAAGAAGAAAGAAAAACCTATACAGGAATAATAGGGCTCTACGCCCGGCTGCTCTGCAGCTGGCTCGGGCCCTAATAACTAGGGCCCCGTTGGGGCACTGGCGGGCCCGAGCCGTGTCACGCCGCCCCCAGCGCGACCGCCTCCCCCACCCGATCGCGTCACACTCAAGGTCCAAAGATGGTGTGCGCACTTGTTTGTGGTCAATTACCATTATAATGAACGGGAGGCGCAGTTTCTACCAAAGCGCTCGCTGCAGAAAAACTCCATGTCCTATTTGAAAAAAGTCTGGACCATGAGTGAGGGCACAAACACAGCTAAGATATATCGAAATGGCAAGTTGCTCCTCCTTTCGCTTTTGCCGAGAGAGCAGTGCGTTTGAGCCATTGAATGATGAACAGGAAAAACTTGACTTTATTCTCCTGCCATGGGGGGGGCGCTCTTTTAACGAGAAAAAACTCCTTCACAAATGTGTTGATGGCTGGACATTGCATCATCCTAGAAAACATGGAGGCCAGTGAGGACAAAAATAAAAAGTTATAAGACTTTTAAATATGTGGATTTTAGGGTTATCTTTGGCGCCCCCTAGAACCTAAACCGTGGGGTGCAGCGTCATGATTTGAATAACTTTTAATGGCCATGGGGTGTAGATTGGCCTGAGCAAATGTGGTGCCGGTGGAACGAAAGCCTTCGGAGGAGTTAGCGAAATTCCAATGTGTGCGAATCTGCAAAAAATGCGAAATAACCCTTTAACCGTACATTTTACAGATACGTGGCCATTGACTTTTTCGAAGATCTTATTGAAATACACGTGTATGTAAAATTGTGTGTCAATACGACAAAACATACAGGCGTAGCACTCAACAATGTGTATTTTCACCTTAGTGGACAAGAAAAAATGGACTTTTTTCTCCTGCCATGGGGGGGCGCTCTTTTGGGGAGTAAAAATTCCTTCACAAATGTGTTGATGGCTGGACATTGCATCATCCTAGAAAACTTGGAGGCCAGTGGGGACAAAAATAAAAAGTTATAAGACTTTTAAATATGTGGATTTTACGGTTATCTTTGGCGCCCCCTAGAACCTAAACCGTGGGGTGCAGCGTCATGATTTGAATAACTTTTAATGGCCATGGGGTGTAGATTGGCCTGAGCAAATGTGGTGCCGGTGGAACGAAAGCCTTCGGAGGAGTTAGCGAAATTCCAATGTGTGCGGATCGGCAAAAAATGCGGAATAACCCTTTAACCGTACATTTAACAGATACGCGCGCATTGACTTTTTCGTAGATCTTATTGAGATACATGTGTGTGTCAATTTTTGTGTCATTTTGCCAAAGCGTACAGGTGTTACACTCAACAATGTGTATTTTCACCTTAGGGGACAAGAAAAAATGGACTTTTTTCTCCTGCCATGGGGGGGCGCTCTTTTGGGGAGTAAAAATTCCTTCACAAATGTGTTGATGGCTGGACATTGCATCATCCTAGAAAACTTGGAGGCCAGTGAGGGCAAAAATAAAAAGTTATAAGACTTTTAAATATGTGGATCTTAGGGTTATCTTTGGCGCCCCCTAGAACCTAAACCGTGGGGTGCAGCGTCATGATTTGAATAACTTTTAATGGCCATGGGGTGTAGATTGGCCTGAGCAAATGTGGTGCCGGTGGAACGAAAGCCTTCGGAGGAGTTAGCGAAATTCCAATGTGTGCGGATCGGCAAAAAATGCGAAATAACCCTTTAACCGTACATTTGACAGATACGCCCGCACTGACTTTTTTGTAGATCTTATTGAGATACATGTGTGTGTCAATTTTTGTGTCATTTTGACAAAGCGTACAGGCGTGACAGTGAATAGTGTGAATTTTCACCTTAGGGGGCGCTATGGAGCCATTTTGCATTTTCTTGTTTGGGCGACTTCGGAATATCAAATTTTTCACCAGGCCCGGTCGTCCTGCCAAATTTCATGAGTTTTCGCCAGTGGGAAGTGGGCCATTTTCCAGTTCAAAGGGGAGGAAAAATAATAATAATAACAAACTAGGACCCCGTTGGGGCACTGGCGGGCCCGAGCCGTGTCGCGTCCCCCCCCCAACGTGCTGCCTCCCCGTCCCATTTGTGTCCTCTGGCCATCGCCCTCTCTGGTAACGCCCATCACTGCAAAGACCCTTTTCCTTCATCGGCGTTTGCTGTTCTTCCTGCCAGTGCGTGTTGCTTTCACTTACACTTGCCACAGCCAGCCTCGTGAGTGCCTAGCCTATTGGATATCACTGTCACCTACACAGGACAGTCATTACCTTTCTATGAATACTTTGTGTTTTAATTTCACATTAATTTCCATATTGTATAAACGACTGGAAAAAACTTGAGCCCCTGCCCCTGTATAATCATGTGCACGTCTCTGTTCTAGCTCCAAGGTGAATCTTCACTGCTCATGTTCTCCTCAGAAGCACTCACCTCACTCCCCTCAGGTTACTGTACACATGCACCAACTGCCTGCTTCAGGTTTGGATGGAGCTTCATGGTTGTCTTTTGGAGAAATGACCAGTCAAGTTGTGTTTGAAATTTGATTTTTTTCAGGGGCAAAAGGAGCCTCTGCATTCTTGTCAAATATGTAAATAGCATGTTTTTGCAGGTGCTAAAAACCAGACTCTGAGTGTGTGTGTGTGTGTGTGTGTGTGCCTTAGGAGGAGATAGCCACATTCCAATGTGTGCTAATCGGCAAAAAATGCGAAATAGCCCTTTAACCGTACATTATACAGATACGCGCTTTTTGACTTTTTCGTAGATCTAATTGAGATACACATGATTGTCAATTTTTGTGTCAATATGACAAAGCGTTCAGGCGTGACACTCAACAATGTGTATTTTCATGTAAGGGGACAAGAACAAATTGACTTTTTTCTCCTGCCATGGGGGGGCGCTCTTTTGGGGAGTAAAAATTCCTTCACAAATGTGTTGATGGCTGGACATTGCATCATCCTAGAAAACTTGGAGGGCAGTGAGGACAAAAATAAAAAGTTATAAGACTTTTAAGAATGTGGATTTTGGGTTATCTTTGGCGCCCCCTAGAACGTAAACCGTGGGGTGCAGCGTCATGATTTGTACAACTTTTAATGGCCATGGGGGGTAGATTGGCCTGCGCAAATGTGGTGCCGGTCGAACGAAAGCCTTCGGAGGAGTTAGCGAAATTCCAATGTGTGCAGATCTGCAAAAAATGCAAAATAACCCATTAACCGTACATTTGACAGATACGCCCGTACTGACTTTTTTGTAGATCTTATTGAGATACATGTGTGTGTCAATTTTTGTGTCAATATGACAAAGCGTACAGCCGTCATGTGAATTTTCACCTTAGGGGGCGCTATGGAGCCATTTTGCATTTTATTGTTTGGGCGACTTCAGAATATCGAATTTTTCACCAGGCCCGGTCGTCCTGCCAAATTTCCTGAGTTTTCGCCAGTGGGAAGTGGGCCATTTTCCAGTTTAAAGCGGAGGAAAAATAATAACGAAAGAAGGAAACATGCAGGAACAAGAGGGCTCTCGCAGCTGCTTAGCAGCTACGCTCGGGCCCTAAAGAAGGAAACTACAGGAACAAGAGGGCTCTCGCAGCTGCTTAGCAGCTACGCTCGGGCCCTAACTAGGACCCCGTTGGGGCACTGGCGGGCCCGAGCCGTGTCGCGCGGCCCCCCCCCCCCCCCCCCCCCCCCCCCCCCAACGTGCTGCCTTCCCGTCCCATTTGTGTCCTCTGGCCATCGCCCTCTCTGGTAACGCCCATCACTGCAAAGACCCTTTTCCTTCATCGGCGTTTGCTGTTCTTCCTGCCAGTGCGTGTTGCTTTCACTTACACTTGCCACAGCCAGCCTCGTGAGTGCCTAGCCTATTGGATATCACTGTCACCTACACAGGACAGTCATTACCTTTCTATTAATACTTTGTGTTTTAATTTCACATTAATTTCCATATTGTATAAACGACTGGAAAAAACTTGAGCCCCTGCCCCTGTATAATCATGTGCATGTCTCTGTGACTTTGTTGTTAGATTCAATGACTTTTCAGACCCCCTAACGACTTTTTTTTTAGAAAGAAAGGGACTTTTATCGACTTCTTCTGGAGTTTAGAGACTCTGACATGAAGCAGGCTTTCCTTACTGAGGAGTTAGCATCGCTGCTAAGGGTGCAGAGCCACACATGCGCTCAGAGCTCTGCATGGGAGACTGAAGCTGACAGAGCTGCAGCAGTTAGCAGGTTTCACCCTCAGAGACCACCAGGGGTTCATGTTGAGGCATTTTAATTTTTTTTTTTTTGTGCCATAGACACTGTCAGCACAATCTGCAGTTACACTAACAAAAATGCTGCAAAAAACAAAGAATTATGGAAAAATTACACATGGACTGACATAGAGGAGGATCTACACAAGTTTTTTACATAAATAAAAAGTGACATTTGTGAGACTATACAGTGTTTTGTAAATAATTTTACAAAGAACGCCTGGGCCATTGCCTGCATTTTGATGTGTGTGTGTGTCTGTGTGTGCGTTCAAGTCACATGACATATTTAACCGGATGTAGCTGCAAGACGGAGCCTCGTTGACTCTCCGTTTCAACTTATCTCAAAAGTGAGGACCTCAACCTATATACCAGTTTTTAAATTGTGTTGATAGGCCAAATAAAACCAGAGTTATGATAAATTATGTCCGCGATACTTTTTTTCTGCTTATTTTGATCACGTTCGGCGCTCGATCGCGCTGTATGAGACAGGAAAACATAGCATGCAGACATTAGCGACAGCTCTTACAGGCGGAAAAGGCTTGCCAAAAGAAAAAAAAAACACACCACAACATCTCTCCTATTGGTGGAAAACTTCACCACAACAACCAATCCAAAATTATATGGTGACTGATTGACAAGGGGCAGGCGCTTACGTTCTTCCTGCAACATGAGAAGGGAGGGAGGGACTCTCAGCAAGGATGCAGTCTGGGACACGTAGTTGCAAACCTAGCGACTTTGTTGTTAGATTCAATGACTTTTCAGACCCCCTAACGACTTTTTTTTTGAAACAAAGGGACTTTTATCGACTTCTTCTGGAGTTTAGAGACTCTGACATGAAGCAGGCTTTCCTTACTGAGGAGTTAGCAACGCTGCTAAGGGTGCAGAGCCACACATGCGCTCCGAGCTCTGCATGGGAGACTGAAGCTGACAGAGCTGCAGCAGTTAGCAGGTTTCACCCTCAGAGACCACCAGGGGTTCATGTTGAGGCATTTTAATTTTTTTTTTTGTGTGTGCCATAGACACTGTCAGCACAATCTGCAGTTACACTAACAAAAATGCTGCAAAAAACAAAGAATTATGGAAAAATTACACATGGACTGACATAGAGGAGGATCTACACAAGTTTTTTACATCATGTTTTACATCATGCATCATTTACATCATGTTTTTTTGTAGTGGCATAAATAAAAAGTGACATTTGTGAGACTATACAGTGTTTTGTAAATAATTTTACAAAGAACGCCTGGGCCATTGCCTGCATTTTGATGTAAATAGAGGTAAATCACTATGTTCTTTGTTAAAAATTTGCATATGTTTTGAAGTTTACAATTTTTATTTGAAGTTTAAGTTTTAAAAACAGTTCATCACACATATTTGTGGTTTTCACAGTAAAAATGTTACTTTTTTCCACTCGGATTTTATGTTTTGTGTGTGAATTTGGGTCCATTGTGTAAATTCAGTATGTCAACATGATAAAATAACTGTAAATTCGCACAGGTGAGGTTGTGCTGAAAAAAATGATACCAGGCAAGGCACGTGATTGTCAAATTTTGTGTCATTTTGACAAAGCGTATAGGCGTGACACTCAACAATGTGTATTTTCACCTTAAGGGACAAGAAAAAATGGACTTTTTTCTCCTGCCATGGGGGGGCGCTCTTTTGGGGAGTAAAAATTCCTTCACAAATGTGTTGATGGCTGGACATTGCATCATCCTAGAAAACTTGGAGGCCAGTGAGGACAAAAATAAAAAGTTATAAGACTTTTAAATATGTGGATTTTAGTGTTATCTTTGGCGCCCCCTAGAACCTAAACCTTGGGGTGCAGCGTCATGATTTTGATAACTTTTAATGGCCACGGGGTGTAGATTGGCCTGAGCAAATGTGGTGCCGGTGGAACGAAAGCCTTCGGAGGAGTTAGCGAAATTCCAATGTGTGCGGATCGGCAAAAAATGCGAAATAACCCTTTAACCGTAATTTTGACAGATACGGCCGCACTGACTTTCTTGTAGATCTTATTGAGATACATATGTGTGTCAATTTTTGTGTCAATATGACAAAGCGTACAGGCGTGACAGTCAATAGTGTGAATTTCCACCTTAGGGGGCGCTATGGAGCCATTTTGCATTTTATTGTTTGGGCGACTTCAGAATATCGAATTTTTCACCAGGCCCGGTCGTCCTGCCAAATTTCATGAGTTTTCGCCAGTGGGAAGTGGGCCATTTTCCAGTTCAAAGGGGAGGAAAAAGAAGAAAGAAAGAAAGAACTAGGACCCCGTTGGGGCACTGGCGGGCCCGAGCCGTGTCGCGTCCCCCCCCCCCCCCCCCCCCCCAACGTGCTGCCTCCCCGTCCCATTTGTGTCCTCTGGCCATCGCCCTCTCTGTTAACGCCCATCACTGCAAAGACCCTTTTCCTTCATCGGCGTTTGCTGTTCTTCCTGCCAGTGCGTGTTGCTTTCACTTACACTTGCCACAGCCAGCCTCGTGAGTGCCTAGCCTATTGGATATCACTGTCACCTACACAGGACAGTCATTACCTTTCTATTAATACTTTGTGTTTTAATTTCACATTAATTTCCATATTGTATAAACGACTGGAAAAAACTTGAGCCCCTGCCCCTGTATAATCATGTGCATGTCTCTGTTCTAGCTCCAAGGTGAATCTTCACTGCTCATGTTCTCCTCAGAAGCACTCACCTCACTCCCCTCAGGTTACTGTACACATGCACCAACTGCCTGCTTCAGGTTTGGATGGAGCTTCATGGTTGTCTTTTGGAGAAATGACCAGTCAAGTTGTGTTTGAAATTAGATTTTTTTCAGGGGCAAAAGGAGCCTCTGCATTCTTGTCAAATATGTAAATAGCATGTTTTTGCAGGTGCTAAAAACCAGACTCTGAGTGTGTGTGTGTGTGTGTGTGTGTGTGTGTGCGTGTGTGTGTGTCTATGTGTGCGTTCAAGTCACATGACATATTTAACCGGATGTAGCTGCAAGACGGAGCCTCGTTGACTCTCCGTTTCAACTTATCTCAAAAGTGAGGACCTCAACCTATATACCAGTTTTTAAATTGTGTTGATAGGCCAAATAAAACCAGAGTTATGATAAATTATGTCCGCGATACTTTTTTTCTGCTTATTTTGATCACGTTCGGCGCTCGATCGCGCTGTATGAGACAGGAAAACATAGCATGCAGACATTAGCGACAGGTCTTACAGGCGGAAAAGGCTTGCCAAAAGAAAAAAAAAACACACCACAACATCTCTCCTATTGGTGGAAAACTTCACCACAACAACCAATCCAAAATTATATGGTGACTGATTGACAAGGGGCGGGCGCTTACGTTCTTCCTGCAACATGAGAAGGGAGGGAGGGACTCTCAGCAGGGATGCAGTCTGGGACACGTAGTTGCAAACCTAGCGACTTTGTTGTTAGATTCAATGACTTTTCAGACACCCTAACGACTTTTTTTTAGAAAGAAAGGGACTTTTATCGACTTCTTCTGGAGTTTAGAGACTCTGACATGAAGCAGGCTTTCCTTACTGAGGAGTTAGCAACGCGGGTAAGGGTGCAGAGCCACACATGCGCTCAGAGCTCTGCATGGGAGACTGAAGCTGACAGAGCTGCAGCAGTTAGCAGGTTTCACCCTCAGAGACCACCAGGGGTTCATGTTGAGGCATTTTAATTTTTTTTTTTTTTTGTGCCATAGACACTGTCAGCACAATCTGCAGTTACACTAACAAAAATGCTGCAAAAAACAAAGAATTATGGAAAAATTACACATGGACTGACATAGAGGAGGATCTACACAAGTTTTTTACATCATGTTTTACATCATGCATCATTTACATCATGTTTTTTTGTAGTGGCATAAATAAAAAGTGACATTTGTGAGACTATACAGTGTTTTGTAAATAATTTTACAAAGAACGCCTGGGCCATTGCCTGCATTTTGATGTAAATAGAGGTAAATTACTATGTTCTTTGTTAAAAATTTGCATATGTTTTGAAGTTTACAATTTTTATTTGAAGTTTAAGTTTTAAAAACAGTTCATCACACATATTTGTGGTTTAATTTCACATTAATTTCCATATTGTATAAATGACTGGAAAAAACTTGAGCCCCTGCCCCTGTAAAATCATGTGCACGTCCCTGTTCTAGCTCCAAGGTGAATCTTCACTGCTCATGTTCTCCTCAGAAATAGTCACCTCACTCCCCTCAGGTTACTGTACACATGCACCAACTATCTGCTTCAGGTTTGAAATGGAGCTTCATGGTTGTCTTTTGGAGAAATGAACAGTCAAGTTGTGTTTGAAATTTGATTTTTTTCAGGGGCAAAAGGAAGCCTCTGCATTCTTGTCAAATATGTAAACAGCATGTTTTTGCAGGTGCTAAAAAACAGACTCTCAGTGTGTGTGTGTGTCTGTGTGTGTGTGTGTGTGTGTGTGTGTGTGTGTGTATGTTGGCGTGTGTGTATATGTGTGTGTATCCTGCAGTACTCTGTACTCCTGCAGTGGCCAAAAAGACTTTTAAGAATGTGGATTTTTGGGTCATCTTTGGCGCCCCCTAGAACTGCAGTACTCTGTACTCCTGCAGTGGCCAAAATGACTTTTAAGAATGTGGATTTTTGGGTCATTTTTGGCGCCCCCTAGAACGTAAACCGTGGGGTGCAGCGTCATGATTTTTACAACTTTGAATGGGCATGGGGTGTAGATTGCCCTGAGCAAATTTGGTATCGGTGGGACGAAAGCCTTAGGAGGAGATAGCCACATTCCAATGTGTGCGAATCACCAAAAAATGCAAAATAGCCCTTTAACCGTACATTATACAGATACGCGCTCTTTGACTTTTTCGTAGATCTAATTGAGATACACATGATTGTCAATTTTTGTGTCAATATGACAAAGCGTTCAGGCGTGACACTCAACAATGTGTATTTTTATGTAAGGGGACAAGAAAAAATTGACTTTTTTCTCCTACCATGGGGGGGCGCTCTTTTGGGGAGTAAAAATTCCTTCACAAATGTGTTGATGGCTGGACATTGCATCATCCTAGAAAACTTGGAGGCCAGTGAGGACAAAAATAAAAAGTTATAAAACATTTAAGAATGTGGATTTTTGGGTTATTTTTGGCGCCCCCTAGAACCTAAACCATGGGGTGCAGCATCATGATTTGAATAACTTTTAATGGCCATGGGGTGTAGATTGGCCTGAGCAAATGTGGTGCCGGTGGAACGAAAGCCTTCGGAGGAGTTAGCGAAATTCCAATGTGTGCGTATCGGCAAAAAATGCGGAATAACCCTTTAACTGTACATTTGACAGATACGCGCGCATGGACTTTTTTGTAGATCTTATTGAGTTACATGTGTGTGTCAATTTTTGTGTCATTTTGACAAAGCGTATAGGCGTGACACTCAACAATGTGTATTTTCACCTTAGGGGACAAGAAAAAATGGACTTTTTTCTCCTGCCATGGGGGGCGCTCTTTTGGGGAGTAAAAATTCCTTCACAAATGTGTTGATGGCTGGACATTGCATCATCCTAGAAAACTTGGAGGCCAGTGAGGACAAAAATAAAAAGTTATAAGACTTTTAAATATGTGGATTTTAGTGTTATCTTTGGCGCCCCCTAGAACCTAAACCTTGGGGTGCAGCGTCATGATTTTGATAACTTTTAATGGCCACGGGGTGTAGATTGGCCTGAGCAAATGTGGTGCCGGTGGAACGAAAGCCTTCGGAGGAGTTAGCGAAATTCCAATGTGTGCGGATCGGCAAAAAATGCGAAATAACCCTTTAACCGTAATTTTGACAGATACGCCCGCACTGACTTTTTTGTAGATGTTATTGAGATACATATGTGTGTCAATTTTTGTGTCAATATGACAAAGCGTACAGGCGTGACAGTCAATAGTGTGAATTTCCACCTTAGGGGGCGCTATGGAGCCATTTTGCATTTTATTGTTTGGGCGACTTCAGAATATCGAATTTTTCACCAGGCCCGGTCGTCCTGCCAAATTTCATGAGTTTTCGCCAGTGGGAAGTGGGCCATTTTCCAGTTCAAAGGGGAGGAAAAAGAAGAACTAGGACCCCGTTGGGGCACTGGCGGGCCCGAGCCGTGTCGCGCCCCCCCCCCCCCAACGTGCTGCCTCCCCGTCCCATTTGTGTCCTCTGGCCATCGCCCTCTCTGGTAACGCCCATCACTGCAAAGACCCTTTTCCTTCATCGGCGTTTGCTGTTCTTCCTGCCAGTGCGTGTTGCTTTCACTTACACTTGCCACAGCCAGCCTCGTGAGTGCCTAGCCTATTGGATATCACTGTCACCTACACAGGACAGTCATTACCTTTCTATTAATACTTTGTGTTTTAATTTCACATTAATTTCCATATTGTATAAACGACTGGAAAAAACTTGAGCCCCTGCCCCTGTATAATCATGTGCATGTCTCTGTTCTAGCTCCAAGGTGAATCTTCACTGCTCATGTTCTCCTCAGAAGCACTCACCTCACTCCCCTCAGGTTACTGTACACATGCACCAACTGCCTGCTTCAGGTTTGGATGGAGCTTCATGGTTGTCTTTTGGAGAAATGACCAGTCAAGTTGTGTTTGAAATTTGATTTTTTTCAGGGGCAAAAGGAGCCTCTGCATTCTTGTCAAATATGTAAATAGCATGTTTTTGCAGGTGCTAAAAACCAGACTCTGAGTGTGTGTGTGTGTGTGTGTGTGTGTGTGTGTGTGTGTGTGTGTGTGTGCGTGTGTGTGTGTGTGTCTATGTGTGCGTTCAAGTCACATGACATATTTAACCTGATGTAGCTGCAAGACGGAGCCTCGTTGACTCTCCGTTTCAACTTATCTCAAAAGTGAGGACCTCAACCTATATACCAGTTTTTAAATTGTGTTGATAGGCCAAATAAAACCAGAGTTATGATAAATTATGTCCGCGATACTTTTTTTCTGCTTATTTTGATCACGTTCGGCGCTCGATCGCGCTGTATGAGACAGGAAAACATAGCATGCAGACATTAGCGACAGGTCTTACAGGCGGAAAAGGCTTGCCAAAAGAAAAAAAAAACACACCACAACATCTCTCCTATTGGTGGAAAACTTCACCACAACAACCAATCCAAAATTATATGGTGACTGATTGACAAGGGGCGGGCGCTTACGTTCTTCCTGCAACATGAGAAGGGAGGGAGGGACTCTCAGCAGGGATGCAGTCTGGGACACGTAGTTGCAAACCTAGCGACTTTGTTGTTAGATTCAATGACTTTTCAGACACCCTAACGACTTTTTTTTAGAAAGAAAGGGACTTTTATCGACTTCTTCTGGAGTTTAGAGACTCTGACATGAAGCAGGCTTTCCTTACTGAGGAGTTAGCAACGCTGCTAAGGGTGCAGAGCCACACATGCGCTCAGAGCTCTGCATGGGAGACTGAAGCTGACAGAGCTGCAGCAGTTAGCAGGTTTCACCCTCAGAGACCACCAGGGGTTCATGTTGAGGCATTTTAATTTTTTTTTTTTTTGTGCCATAGACACTGTCAGCAAAATCTGCAGTTACACTAACAAAAATGCTGCAAAAAACAAAGAATTATGGAAAAATTACACATGGACTGACATAGAGGAGGATCTACACAAGTTTTTTACATCATGTTTTACATCATGCATCATTTACATCATGTTTTTTTGTAGTGGCATAAATAAAAAGTGACATTTGTGAGACTATACAGTGTTTTGTAAATAATTTTACAAAGAACGCCTGGGCCATTGCCTGCATTTTGATGTAAATAGAGGTAAATTACTATGTTCTTTGTTAAAAATTTGCATATGTTTTGAAGTTTACAATTTTTATTTGAAGTTTAAGTTTTAAAAACAGTTCATCACACATATTTGTGGTTTAATTTCACATTAATTTCCATATTGTATAAATGACTGGAAAAAACTTGAGCCCCTGCCCCTGTATAATCATGTGCACGTCCCTGTTCTAGCTCCAAGGTGAATCTTCACTGCTCATGTTCTCCTCAGAAATAGTCACCTCACTCCCCTCAGGTTACTGTACACATGCACCAACTATCTGCTTCAGGTTTGAAATGGAGCTTCATGGTTGTCTTTTGGAGAAATGAACAGTCAAGTTGTGTTTGAAATTTGATTTTTTTCAGGGGCAAAAGGAAGCCTCTGCATTCTTGTCAAATATGTAAACAGCATGTTTTTGCAGGTGCTAAAAAACAGACTCTGAGTGTGTGTGTGTGTCTGTGTGTGTGTGTGTGTGTGTGTGTGTGTGTGTGTGTGTATGTTGTTCGTGTGTGTATATGTGTGTGTATCCTGCAGTACTCTGTACTCCTGCAGTGGCCAAAAAGACTTTTAAGAATGTGGATTTTTGGGTCATCTTTGGCGCCCCCTAGAACTGCAGTACTCTGTACTCCTGCAGTGGCCAAAATGACTTTTAAGAATGTGGATTTTTGGGTCATCTTTGACGCCCCCTAGAACGTAAACCGTGGGGTGCAGCGTCATGATTTTTACAACTTTGAATGGGCATGGGGTGTAGATTGCCCTGAGCAAATTTGGTATCGGTGGGACGAAAGCCTTAGGAGGAGATAGCCACATTCCAATGTGTGCGAATCGGCAAAAAATGCAAGATAGCCCTTACGGTTAAAGTACATTATACAGATACGCGCTCTTGACTTTTTCGTAGATCTAATTGAGATACACATGATTGTCAATTTTTGTGTCAATATGACAAAGCTTTCAGGCGTGACACTCAACAATGTGTATTTTTATGTAAGGGGACAAGAAAAAATTGACTTTTTTCTCCTACCATGGGGGGGCGCTCTTTTGGGGAGTAAAAATTCCTTCACAAATGTGTTGATGGCTGGACATTGCATCATCCTAGAAAACTTGGAGGCCAGTGAGGACAAAAATAAAAAGTTATAAAACATTTAAGAATGTGGATTTTTGGGTTATTTTTGGCGCCCCCTAGAACCTAAACCATGGGGTGCAGCATCATGATTTGAATAACTTTTAATGGCCATGGGGTGTAGATTGGCCTGAGCAAATGTGGTGCCGGTGGAACGAAAGCCTTCGGAGGAGTTAGCGAAATTCCAATGTGTGCGTATCGGCAAAAAATGCGGAATAACCCTTTAACTGTACATTTGACAGATACGCGCGCATGGACTTTTTTGTAGATCTTAATGAGTTACATGTGTGTGTCAATTTTTGTGTCATTTTGACAAAGCGTATAGGCGTGACACTCAACAATGTGTATTTTCACCTTAGGGGACAAGAAAAAATGGACTTTTTTCTCCTGCCATGGGGGGCGCTCTTTTGGGGAGTAAAAATTCCTTCACAAATGTGTTGATGGCTGGACATTGCATCATCCTAGAAAACTTGGAGGCCAGTGAGGACAAAAATAAAAAGTTATAAGACTTTTAAATATGTGGATTTTAGTGTTATCTTTGGCGCCCCCTAGAACCTAAACCTTGGGGTGCAGCGTCATGATTTTGATAACTTTTAATGGCCACGGGGTGTAGATTGGCCTGAGCAAATGTGGTGCCGGTGGAACGAAAGCCTTCGGAGGAGTTAGCGAAATTCCAATGTGTGCGGATCGGCAAAAAATGCGAAATAACCCTTTAACCGTAATTTTGACAGATACGGCCGCACTGACTTTTTTTTAGATCTTATTGAGATACATATGTGTGTCAATTTTTGTGTCAATATGACAAAGCGTACAGGCGTGACAGTCAATAGTGTGAATTTCCACCTTAGGGGGCGCTATGGAGCCATTTTGCATTTTATTGTTTGGGCGACTTCAGAATATCGAATTTTTCACCAGGCCCGGTCGTCCTGCCAAATTTCCTGAGTTTTCGCCTGTGGGAAGTGGGCCATTTTCCAGTTCAAAGGGGAGGAAAAAGAAGAAAGAAAGAAAGAAAGAAAGAAAGAAACAAAGAAAAACCACTTGGGGAATAATAGGGCCTACGCCCGGCTGCTCTGCAGCTGGCTCGGGGCCCCCCCCCCCCGCCCCCCCCCCCCCACACGTGCTGCCTTCCCGTCCCATTTGTGTCCTCTGGCCATCGCCCTCTCTGGTAACGCCCATCACTGCAAAGACCCTTTTCCTTCATCGGCGTTTGCTGTTCTTCCTGCCAGTGCGTGTTGCTTTCACTTACACTTGCCACAGCCAGCCTCGTGAGTGCCTAGCCTATTGAATATCACTGTCACCTACACAGGACAGTCATTACCTTTCTATTAATACTTTGTGTTTTAATTTCACATTAATTTCCATATTGTATAAACGACTGGAAAAAACTTGAGCCCCTGCCCCTGTATAATCATGTGCATGTCTCTGTGACTTTGTTGTTAGATTCAATGACTTTTCAGACCCCCTAACGACTTTTTTTTTAGAAAGAAAGGGACTTTTATCGACTTCTTCTGGAGTTTAGAGACTCTGACATGAAGCAGGCTTTCCTTACTGAGGAGTTAGCATCGCTGCTAAGGGTGCAGAGCCACACATGCGCTCAGAGCTCTGCATGGGAGACTGAAGCTGACAGAGCTGCAGCAGTTAGCAGGTTTCACCCTCAGAGACCACCAGGGGTTCATGTTGAGGCATTTTAATTTTTTTTTTTTTGTGCCATAGACACTGTCAGCACAATCTGCAGTTACACTAACAAAAATGCTGCAAAAAACAAAGAATTATGGAAAAATTACACATGGACTGACATAGAGGAGGATCTACACAAGTTTTTTACATAAATAAAAAGTGACATTTGTGAGACTATACAGTGTTTTGTAAATAATTTTACAAAGAACGCCTGGGCCATTGCCTGCATTTTGATGTGTGTGTGTGTCTGTGTGTGCGTTCAAGTCACATGACATATTTAACCGGATGTAGCTGCAAGACGGAGCCTCGTTGACTCTCCGTTTCAACTTATCTCAAAAGTGAGGACCTCAACCTATATACCAGTTTTTAAATTGTGTTGATAGGCCAAATAAAACCAGAGTTATGATAAATTATGTCCGCGATACTTTTTTCTGCTTATTTTGATCACGTTCGGCGCTCGATCGCGCTGTATGAGACAGGAAAACATAGCATGCAGACATTAGCGACAGCTCTTACAGGCGGAAAAGGCTTGCCAAAAGAAAAAAAAAACACACCACAACATCTCTCCTATTGGTGGAAAACTTCACCACAACAACCAATCCAAAATTATATGGTGACTGATTGACAAGGGGCAGGCGCTTACGTTCTTCCTGCAACATGAGAAGGGAGGGAGGGACTCTCAGCAAGGATGCAGTCTGGGACACGTAGTTGCAAACCTAGCGACTTTGTTGTTAGATTCAATGACTTTTCAGACCCCCTAACGACTTTTTTTTGAAACAAAGGGACTTTTATCGACTTCTTCTGGAGTTTAGAGACTCTGACATGAAGCAGGCTTTCCTTACTGAGGAGTTAGCAACGCTGCTAAGGGTGCAGAGCCACACATGCGCTCCGAGCTCTGCATGGGAGACTGAAGCTGACAGAGCTGCAGCAGTTAGCAGGTTTCACCCTCAGAGACCACCAGGGGTTCATGTTGAGGCATTTTAATTTTTTTTTTTGTGTGTGCCATAGACACTGTCAGCACAATCTGCAGTTACACTAACAAAAATGCTGCAAAAAACAAAGAATTATGGAAAAATTACACATGGACTGACATAGAGGAGGATCTACACAAGTTTTTTACATCATGTTTTACATCATGCATCATTTACATCATGTTTTTTTGTAGTGGCATAAATAAAAAGTGACATTTGTGAGACTATACAGTGTTTTGTAAATAATTTTACAAAGAACGCCTGGGCCATTGCCTGCATTTTGATGTAAATAGAGGTAAATCACTATGTTCTTTGTTAAAAATTTGCATATGTTTTGAAGTTTACAATTTTTATTTGAAGTTTAAGTTTTAAAAACAGTTCATCACACATATTTGTGGTTTTCACAGTAAAAATGTTACTTTTTTCCACTCGGATTTTATGTTTTGTGTGTGAATTTGGGTCCATTGTGTAAATTCAGTATGTCAACATGATAAAATAACTGTAAATTCGCACAGGTGAGGTTGTGCTGAAAAAAATGATACCAGGCAAGGCACGTGATTGTCAAATTTTGTGTCAATATGACAAAGCGTATAGGCGTGAATCTCAACAATATGTATTTTCACCTTAAGGGACAAGAAAAAATGGACTTTTTTCTCCTGCCATGGGGGGCGCTCTTTTGGGGAGTAAAAATTCCTTCACAAATGTGTTGATGGCTGGACATTGCATCATCCTAGAAAACTTGGAGGCCAGTGAGGACAAAAATAAAAAGTTATAAGACTTTTAAATATGTGGATTTTAGGGTTATCTTTGGCGCCCCCTAGAACCTAAACCGTGGGGTGCAGCGTCATGATTTTGATAACTTTTAATGGCCATGGGGTGTAGATTGGCCTGAGCAAATGTGGTGCCGGTGGAACGAAAGCCTTAGGAGGAGTTAGCCACATTCCAATGTGTGCGGATCGGCAAAAAATGCGGAATAACCCTTTAACCGTACATTTGACAGATACGCGCGCATTGACTTTTTCGTAGATCTTATTGAGTTACATGTGTGTGTCAATTTTTGTGTCATTTTGACAAAGCGTATAGGCGTGACACTCAACAATGTGAATTTTCACCTTAGGGGACAAGAAAAAATGGACTTTTTCTCCTGCCATGGGGGGGCGCTCTTTTGGGGAGTAAAAATTCCTTCACAAATGTGTTGATGGCTGGACATTGCATCATCCTAGAAAACTTGGAGGCCAGTGAGGACAAAAATAAAAAGTTATAAGACTTTTAAATATGTGGATTTTAGGGTTATCTTTGGCGCCCCCTAGAACCTAAACCGTGGGGTGCAGCGTCATGATTTTGATAACTTTTAATGGCCATGGGGTGTAGATTGGCCTGAGCAAATGTGGTGCCAGTGGAACGAAAGCCTTAGGAGGAGTTAGCCACATTCCAATGTGTGCGGATCGGCAAAAAATGCGGAATAACCCTTTAACCGTACATTTGACAGATACGCGCGCATTGACTTTTTCGTAGATCTTATTGAGTTACATGTGTGTGTCAATTTTTGTGTCATTTTGACAAAGCGTATAGGCGTGACACTCAACAATGTGTATTTTCACCTTAAGGGACAAGAAAAAATGGACTTTTTTCTCCTGCCATGGGGGGGCGCTCTTTTGGGGAGTAAAAATTCCTTCACAAATGTGTTGATGGCTGGACATTGCATCATCCTAGAAAACTTGGAGGCCAGTGAGGACAAAAATAAAAAGTTATAAGACTTTTAAATATGTGGATTTTAGTGTTATCTTTGGCGCCCCCTAGAACCTAAACCTTGGGGTGCAGCGTCATGATTTTGATAACTTTTAATGGCCACGGGGTGTAGATTGGCCTGAGCAAATGTGGTGCCGGTGGAACGAAAGCCTTCGGAGGAGTTAGCGAAATTCCAATGTGTGCGGATCGGCAAAAAATGCGAAATAACCCTTTAACCGTAATTTTGACAGATACGGCCGCACTGACTTTCTTGTAGATCTTATTGAGATACATATGTGTGTCAATTTTTGTGTCAATATGACAAAGCGTACAGGCGTGACAGTCAATAGTGTGAATTTCCACCTTAGGGGGCGCTATGGAGCCATTTTGCATTTTATTGTTTGGGCGACTTCAGAATATCGAATTTTTCACCAGGCCCGGTCGTCCTGCCAAATTTCATGAGTTTTCGCCAGTGGGAAGTGGGCCATTTTCCAGTTCAAAGGGGAGGAAAAAGAAGAAAGAAAGAAAGAACTAGGGCCCCGTTGGGGCACTGGCGGGCCCGAGCCGTGTCGCGCCGCCCCCAGCGCGACCGCCTCCCCCACCCAATCGCGTCACACTCAAGGTCCAAAGATGGTGTGCGCACTTGTCTGTGGTCATTTACCATTATAATGAATGGGAGGCGCAGTTTCTACCAAAACGCTCGCTGCAGAAAAACTCCATGTCCTATTTGAAAAAAGTCTGGACCATGAGTGAGGGCACAAACACAGCTAAGATATATCCAAATGGCAAGTTGCTCCTCCTTTCGCTTTTGCCGAGAGAGCGATGCGTTTGAGCCATTGAATGATGAACAGGAAAAACTTGACTTTATTCTCCTGCCATTGGGGGGCGCTCTTTTAACGGGAAAAAACTCCTTCACAAATGTGTTGATGGCTGGACATTGCATCATCCTAGAAAACTTGGAGGCCAGTGAGGACAGAAATAAAAAGTTATAAGACTTGTAAGAATGTGGATTTTTGGGTTATCTTTGGCGACCCCTAGAACGTAAACCGTGGGGTGCAGCATCATGATTTGTACAACTTTTAATGGCCATGGGGTGTAGATTGGCCTGAGCAAATATGGTGCCGGTGGAACGAAAGCTTTAGGAGGAGTTAGCCACATTCCAATGTGTGCGAATCAACCAAAAATGCGAAATAGCCCTTTAACCGTACATTTTTCAGACACGTGCGCATTGACTTTTTCGTAGATCTTATTGAGATACACGTGATTATCAAATTTTGTTTCAATATGACAAAGCGTACAGGCGTGACACTCAACAATGTGTATTTTCACCTTATAGGACAAGAAAAAATGGACTTTTTTCTCCTGCCATGGGGGGGCGCTCTTTTGGGGAGTAAAAATTCCTTCACAAATGTGTTGATGGCTGGACATTGCATCATCCTAGAAAACTTGGAGGCCAGTGAGGACAGAAATAAAAAGTTATAAGACTTGTAAGAATGTGGATTTTAGGGTTATCTTTGGCGCCCCCTAGAACCTAAACCGTGGGGTGCAGCGTCATGATTTGTACAACTTTGAATGGCCATGGGGTGTAGATTGGCCTGAGCAAATTTGGTGCCGGTGGAACGAAAGCCTTCGGAGGAGTTAGCGAAATTCCAATGTGTGCAGATCGGCAAAAAATGCGAAATAGCCCTTTAAACGTACATTTGACAGATACGCCCGCACTGACTTTTTTGTAGATCTTATTGAGATACACGTGTGTGTCAAATTTTGTGTCATTTTGACAAAGCGTACAGGCGTGACACTCAATCATGTGAATTTTTCACCTTAGGGGGCGCTATGGAGCCATTTTGCATTTGATTGTTTGGGTGACTTCAGAATATCGAATTTTTCACCAGGCCCGGTCGTCCTGCCAAATTTCATGAGTTTTCACCAGTGGGAAGTGGGCCATTTTCCAGTTCAAAGGGGCAGAAAAATAATAAGAAGAAGAAGAAGAAAGAAGAATCCATCAGGAATAATAGGGCTCTCGCAGCTGCTTAGCAGCTACGCTCGGGCCCTAAAGAAAGAAAGAAACAAAGAAAAACCACTTGGAGAATAATAGGGCTCTCGCAGCTGCTTAGCAGCTACGCTCGGGCCCTACAGAAAGAAAGAAACAAAGAAAAACCACTTGGAGAATAATAGGGCTCTCGCAGCTGCTTAGCAGCTACGCTCGGGCCCTAATAACAAAAGAAGGAAACATGCAGGAACAAGAGGGCTCTCGCAGCTGCTTAGCAGCTACGCTCGGGCCCTAAAGAAACAAAGAAAAACCCCTTGGGGAATAATAGGGCTCTCGCAGCTGCTTAGCAGCTACGCTCGGGCCCTAATAACAAAAGAAGAATCCATCAGGAACAAGAGGGCTCTCGCAGCTGCTTAGCAGCTACGCTCGGGCCCTAATTTCTGAAACCTAAATTGTCACTTCCAAGTTTTCAACTCTGCAACCAATACTGCCAAATGCGGGTGGTTAACCGAGACTCTCACACTAGCTGCTTTGGTGGGTTGAGTTTATGATATATTCTTTATCAACTGATGTCTTGTTACAGTCAGCTGAAGTAATAAACTACTTGCAATTGGACACAACAACAATACAACTCCCATGAGCCCTACCTGCACATAGTCATTTCATTTTTGGTCCATTTGTTTGGTCCACTTGTACATCAATGATCACAGCACTTGGAAGTGTCTCCAGTACAACCCACACAAACTGCTAAATTGTCCTTTATTAGGGCCCGAGCGTAGCTGCTAAGCAGCTGCGAGAGCCCTCTTGTTCCTGATGGATTCTTAGGGCCCGAGCGTAGCTGCTAAGCAGCTGCGAGAGCCCTCTTGTTCCTGCATGTTTCCTTCTTTCGTTATTATTTTTCCTCCGCTTTAAACTGGAAAATGGCCCACTTCCCACTGGCGAAAACTCAGGAAATTTGGCAGGACGACCGGGCCTGGTGAAAAATTCGATATTCTGAAGTCGCCCAAACAATAAAATGCAAAATGGCTCCATAGCGCCCCCTAAGGTGAAAATTCACATGACGGCTGTACGCTTTGTCATATTGACACAAAAATTGACACACACATGTATCTCAATAAGATCTACAAAAAAGTCAGTGCGGGCGTATCTGTCAAATGTACGGTTAATGGGTTATTTTGCATTTTTTGCAGATCTGCACACATTGGAATTTCGCTAACTCCTCCGAAGGCTTTCGTTCGACCGGCACCACATTTGCGCAGGCCAATCTACCCCCCATGGCCATTAAAAGTTGTACAAATCATGACGCTGCACCCCACGGTTTACGTTCTAGGGGGCGCCAAAGATAACCCAAAATCCACATTCTTAAGAGTCTTATAACTTTTTATTTTTGTCCTCACTGCCCTCCAAGTTTTCTAGGATGATGCAATGTCCAGCCATCAACACATTTGTGAAGGAATTTTTACTCCCCAAAAGAGCGCCCCCCATGGCAGGAGAAAAAACTCCTTTTTTTCTTGTCCCCTTACATGAAAATACACATTGTTGAGTGTCATGCCTGAACGCTTTGTCATATTGACACAAAAATTGACAATCATGTGTATCTCAATTAGATCTACGAAAAAGTCAAAAAGCGCGTATCTGTATAATGTACGGTTAAAGGGCTATTTCGCATTTTTTGCCGATTCGCACACATTGGAATGTGGCTATCTCCTCCTAAGGCTTTCGTCCCACCGATACCAAATTTGCTCAGGGCAATCTACACCCCATGCCCATTCAAAGTTGTAAAAATCATGACGCTGCACCCCACGGTTTACGTTCTAGGGGGCGCCAAAGATGACCCAAAAATCCACATTCTTAAAAGTCATTTTGGCCACTGCAGGAGTACAGAGTACTGCAGTTCTAGGGGGCGCCAAAGATGACCCAAAAATCCACATTCTTAAAAGTCTTTTTGGCCACTGCAGGAGTACAGAGTACTGCAGGATACACACACTTATACACACACACACACACACACACACACACACACACACACACTCAGAGTCTGTTTTTTAGCACCTGCAAAAACATGCTGTTTACATATTTGACAAGAATGCAGAGGCTTCCTTTTGCCCCTGAAAAAAATCAGATTTCAAACACAACTTGACTGTTCATTTCTCCAAAAGACAACCATGAAGCTCCATCCAAACCTGAAGCAGATAGTTGGTGCATGTGTACAGTAACCTGAGGGGAGTGAGGTGACTATTTCTGAGGAGAACATGAGCAGTGAAGATTCACCTTGGAGCTAGAACAGGGACGTGCACATGATTATACAGGGGCAGGGGCTCAAGTTTTTTCCAGTCATTTATACAATATGGAAATTAATGTGAAATTAAACCACAAATATGTGTGATGAACTGTTTTTAAAACTTAAACTTCAAATAAAAATTGTAAACTTCAAAACATATGCAAATTTTTAAGAAAGAACATAGTAATTTACCTCTATTTACATCAAAATGCAGGCAATGGCCCAGGCGTTCTTTGTAAAATTATTTACAAAACACTGTATAGTCTCACAAATGTCACTTTTTATTTATGCCACTACAAAAAAACATGATGTAAATGATGCATGATGTAAAACATGATGTAAAAAACTTGTGTAGATCCTCCTCTATGTCAGTCCATGTGTAATTTTTCCATAATTCTTTGTTTTTTGCAGCATTTTTGTTAGTGTAACTGCAGATTGTGCTGACAGTGTCTATGGCAAAAAAAAAAAAAAAACTGAAAATGCCTCAACATGAACTCCTGGTGGTCTCTGAGGGTGAAACCTGCTAACTGCTGCAGCTCTCTCAGCTCTAGTCTCCCATGCAGAGCTCGGAGCGCATGTGTGGCTCTGCACCCTTAGCAGCGTTGCTAACTCCTCAGTAAGGAAAGCCTGCTTCATGTCAGAGTCTCTAAACTCCAGAGGAAGTCGATAAAATTCCCTTTCTTTCTAAAAAAAAGTCGTTAGGGGGTCTGAAAAGTCATTGAATCTAACAACAAAGTCGCTAGGTTTGCAACTACGTTTCCCAGACTGCATCCCTGCTGAGAGTTCCTCCCTCCCTTCTCATATTGCAGGAAGAACGTAAGCGCCCGCCCCTTGTCAATCAGTCACCATATAATTTTGGATTGGTTGTTGTGGTGAAGTTTTCCACCAATAGGAGAGATGTTGTGGTGTGTTTTTTTTTTCTTTTGGCATGCCTTTTCCGCCTGTAAGAGCTGTCGCTAATGTCTGCATGCTATGTTTTCCTGTCTCATACAGCGTGATCGAGCGCCGAACGTGATCAAAATAAGCAGAAAAAAAGTATTGCGGACATAATTTATCATAACTCTGGTTTTATTTGGCCTATCAACACAATTTAAAAACTGGTATATAGTTTGAGGTCCTCACTTTTGAGATAAGTTGAAACGGAGGATGAACGAGGCTCCGTCTTGCAGCTACATCCGGTTAAATATGTCATGTGACTTGAACGCTGGGGAGCGTCAATCGACTGCAGAGCCAGCAGACAAAGTAGTTATGCCACTGAGAGGCACACATTTGTCATATGCTATAATCCTAACATATTTTAATGCTTTTTCTATTTAAACCTAATGGATCTAAGGTTTGACCTTCAAAATTTAGGAAGAATATTTTTTTGCAGTAATGACCCCCTTAAACAACCAGAGGTCCTTTCCTAAAGTTTATGGAAATTTTAGTGAAGGCCTTGGTTTCTTTCCTTGCAAAATGTATAGAAATAATAAAGCTAAATACCATAAAATGGTCTTGGCGTATTAGCAGTGATATAAAATAGTGGTTTGAATATGAATGAACAACAAAAAAAACATCAACAGAGCCTTTTTGAGTTGGGATTCTTTCATTATCACACAAAAACAGACATAGACAGACATCTAAAGGGTAAGGGAATGATCAGCCCTCCTAACTCTCAGATGAATCTTCAAAATTCACCGCAGAAATATGCTTATTATTCTTCTCAGAGTACTGCAAGATATATACACACACACACACACACACACACACACACACACACACACACACACACACACACACACACACACACACACACTCAGAGTCTGTTTTTTAGCACCTGCAAAAACATGCTATTTACATATTTGACAAGAATGCAGAGGCTCCTTTTGCCCCTGAAAAAAATCAAATTTCAAACACAACTTGACTGCTCATTTCTCCAAAAGACAACCATGAAGCTCCATCCAAACCTGAAGCAGGCAGTTGGTGCATGTGTACAGTAACCTGAGGGGAGTGAGGTGACTGCTTCTGAGGAGAACATGGGCAGTGAAGATTCACCTTGGAGCTAGAACAGGGACGTGCACATGATTATACAGGGGCAGGGGCTCAAGTTTTTTCCAGTCATTTATACAATATGGAAATTAATGTGAAATTAAAAAACAAAGTATTATTAGAAAGGTAATGACTGTCCTGTGTAGATGACAGTGATATCCAATAGGCTAGGCACTCACGAGGCTGGCTGTGGCAAGTGTAAGTGAAAGCAACACGCACTGGCAGGAAGAACAGCAAACGCCGATGAAGGAAAAGGGTCTTTGCAGTGATGGGCGTTACCAGAGAGGGCGATGGCCAGAGGACGCGAATGGGACGGGGAGGCAGCGCGTTGGGGTTGGGGGGGGGGGGGGCGGCGCGACACGGCTCGGGCCCGCCAGTGCCCCAACGGGGCCCTAGTTCTTTTGTTATTATTATTATTTTTCCTCCGCTTTAAACTGGAAAATGGCCCACTTCCCACTGGCGAAAACTCATGAAATTTGGCAGGACGACCGGGCCTGGTGAAAAATTCGATATTCTGAAGTCGCCCAAACAATAAAATGCAAAATGGCTCCATAGCGCCCCCTAAGGCGAAAATTCACACTATTGACTGTCACGCCTGTACGCTTTGTCATATTGACACAAAAATTGACACACACGTGTATCTCAATACGTTCTACGAAAAAGTCAGCGCGGGCGCAGCTGTGAAATGTACAGTTAGAGGGTTATTTCGCATTTTTTGCCAATCTGCACACATTGGAATTTCGCTAACTCCTCCGAAGGCATTCGTTCCACCGGCACCACATTTGCTCAGGCCAATCTACACCCCATGGCCATTAAAAGTTGTACAAATCATGACGCTGCACCCCACAGTTTACTTTCTAGGGGGCGCCAAAGATAACCCAAAAATCCACAGTCTTAAAAGTCTTATAACTTTTTATTTTTGTCCTCACTGGCCTCCAAGTTCTCTAGGATGATGCAATGTCCAGCCATCAACACATTTGTGAAGGAATTTTTACTCCCCAAAAGAGCGCCCCCACATGGCAGGAGAAAAAAGTCCATTTTTTCTTGTCCCCTAAGGTGAAAATACACATTGTTGAGTGTCACGCCTATACGCTTTGTCATATTGACCCAAAATTTGACAATCACGTGTATCTCAATAAGATCTACGAAAAAGTCAATGGGCACGTATCTGTAAAATGTATGGTTAAAGGGCTATTTCGCATTTTTTGCAGATTCGCACACATTGGAATGTGGCTAACTCCTCCTAAGGCTTTCTTCCCACCGACACCAAATTTGCTCAAGCCGATCTACATCCCATGCCCATTCAAAGTTGTAAAAATCATGCCGCTGCACCCCATGGTTTACGTTCTAGGGGGCGCCAAAGATGACCCAAATATCCACATTCTTAAAAGTCGTTTTGGCCACTGCAGGAGTACAGAGTACTGCAGGATACACACACACAGACACACACAAACACAGACACACACACACACACACACACACACACACACACACACACACACACACACACACACACACACACACACACTCAGAGTCTGTTTTTTAGCACCTGCAAAAACATGCTATTTACATATTTGACAACAATGCAGAGGCTCCTTTTGCCCCTGAAAAAAATCAAATTTCAAACACAACTTGACTGGTCATTTCTCCAAAAGACAACCATGAAGCTCCATCCAAACCTGAAGCAGGCAGTTGGTGCATGTGTACAGTTACCTGAGGGGAGTGAGGTGAGTGCTTCTGAGGAGAACATGAGCAGTGAAGATTCACCTTGGAGCGAGAACAGGGACGTGCACATGATTATACAGGGGCAGGGGCTCAAGTTTTTTCCAGTCGTTTATACAATATGGAAATTAATGTGAAATTAAAAAACAAAGTATTAATAGAAAGGTAATGACTGTCCTGTGTAGGTGACAGTGATATCCAATAGGCTAGGCACTCACGAGGCTGGCTGTGGCAAGTGTAAGTGAAAGCAACACGCACTGGCAGGAAGAACAGCAAACGCCGATGAAGGAAAAGGGTCTTCGCAGTGATGGGCGTTACCAGAGAGGACGATGGCCAGAGGACGCGAATGGGACGGGGAGGCAACGCATTGGTGGGGGGGGGGGCGCGACACAGCTCGGGCCCGCCAGTGCCCCAACGGGGCCCTAGTTCGCCATTCATTCAGTAGACGACTTATCTGGGTCGGTCATTGTGAGGAAATTTCCATCAAGGTTATTTAGGCTGGCTAAAAATCGTAGTATAATCTTTTATTGCAACAGGGATCACAGATCAACGTGTTTCAACTCCAACAGTCTTCATCAGGACATGGAGGACATTTGCTAAAAAGATTATAAAAACTTTTAACTTTTGTTTCAGTTTTCATACATTGGCATTTTTGTACAAGCCTACATGACTTCACGGCAGAAACTCAGGAATATAACTGCAGATAGTATGTTGAGGCAGGAGTATGTGTTGATCAAAAAAGACTTTTAGGGCAGAAAATGTCCAGTCTTGGTACTTAAAGAGTGAAATGACCTGAAGAATTAAAAAGAATCCCCATCAGTCGCAGCATTTACAGTACAGTTGCTTACCTGAAAAAGAACCGCATGCTCTGGGTTTGGCTCGTTTATGTTATTTTTGCAGTTGCTTTGACAGCACCTAGTTTTCTCAAAGACACTCCTCTATCTCTGAGTATCTGGTGGAGTCCTTCCCTGTCACTGTCAAAAGATCTATGATCAGTCCTACCTGTTCTGATGGAGACACTGGCGAAGGCAGGGAGCCAATCTCCTTCAGGTGTCTGTTTGTCTCTTTCGCCAGCTGGTTGGTGTAGTGCTGAAGCTGCTGCCTGCAGAGGAACGCACACACACAAACACACACATGCACAGACAGACAGACAGTGGAACCTAAAAACACATACTTTATCCTTGATAAAAGACCAGAATTTACTCAGACCAGGACTCACAGCTTCTCCTGCACCTCTGAGGTCTCTTGTCGAGTCTCCAGTTGGTAGAGCAGATTTTTGATCTGACCAGCTGCAGAGGAAAAAGAACATCTTCAGTGTACAGTTGATCACATGCAGAGGTGTAAAATCATGGAGTTAACACAGTGTGCACTCACAGTTGTGGCTGATCTTCTGAATGTTGGAGCTGCAGGTCTGGATGAGGCTGTTAAAGTCCCCTGGCTGGGACCAGCCGCTGTCTGCTTGCATGTACGACATCCTGACTGTATTTCACCGGCCTCCAAACACAACCTAAACACAACCACAACAAGAGGAAAAGACATGTTATGTATTTGTCAGTTTTTGCGTTCGAGGGATGAAAGGGTTTCTTGTAGATGCCGGGGCGGTTGGTAACCAAGTGTGTAATGGCAAGGATAGAGGTCATCACCTCTGCCGCCTCCCAGGTGCCTTATTATTGGAAAAGCACAGTGGCAGTGCCTTCTGGTTGCCCCTGAAGTATATCAAACATTATGAAAATACCCCCTCTGGTGCCCATTGAAACTAGTTTAGTTGCTGCTCTCCAAAAGGATGAAACAGCAAAGTGCTGTCTGGATTCTCTTCCAGTGACTCAAACCTTCAATAGCTCCCTCTGGATATACAGCGATCTGGCTGTCCCTGTGCTGCTATGTTTGCCTGCTATGTTAGGTCAACAGAGCTTGATTGCTCATACCTGTTGTTGCTGCTACATGCTACTAGCAGCAAGACTGATTGGTCATAGGTGTCATGTTGAACACCCACCCCACTTTAAGGAGCCAGATCACTCTGTAACAGGGTTATAGTATAATACAACAAACATTATTCCCTTCAAGTGGTAATATGTAACATAGTGACCTTTAGATTCATTTTCAGTTTTCATTATGAAGTAAAAGAGCCCTCTGGACTCCCTTGCAGCTAACAAAAACATTTTAAAAATGCCTTCTAGATGCTCTTCCAATTTATAAAATGTCAAAACATACCCTCTGTGTTAAAGCGATAGCTCTATCCCCTTTCAGTGGATTAAATGTGAAAAGGGGCCCTTTAAATGTCCTGCCAGTATTTAAAACCTAGAAAAGTGCCTCTAGATGACCTTCCTGTAGTTCTTGAGAAAATAGGTTTGTAAAATAGAGAACTGCAGGTGCACCTGTAGTATTTAAAATGTAGTAAAAGATCCCTCTGTATGCTCTCCCAGAAAAAAAATGTCAAAAAATACCCTGTAAAATGTCACGTACACCAAATAGTGCCATCTTGGTGAATAAAACCTAAAATAGAGCCCTCTAGAGATGCCTTTCTAGTAGATAATATGTATAGGAAGGGCCTCTGAGGATGCTTTTCCAGTAAATGTAAACACCCCTGGATGTTCAGTCAGCTCATAAAATGTAAAAAGGTGCTCTTTGGATTGTCTTTTGGTCATAATATGGTCATAATCATTGACCATTTATAAAGTACCATCTAAATCCCCTACCAGTGGTTAAAACAATTATAATTCCTTTGCATGCCCTTTCATGAGATTCCAGACAAATGAATTGTTATTTAGGGATATATACAAAGTTCTTGTGTTGAATTGTATTGTATTATTGTATTGGATGAATAAACGTTGAAAATAGTAAACGTCTACCTGCTGTAAGATACTAAAAGTTTAATTTCAATTTTAATAGACCTTTTTCAAATAAAAAAATAAGAAAATTGAAGTGAGATGACGAAGCCAAGAAACAACTAGAGGATAAATCACTGCAATCCTCTTATTTCTCTTTTATATTCTATTTACACTGCTCAATGTGGGCTGTATCTTTCTACAGACCACTCTGTTTCAGAGGGTGTAAAAATGCATATTTAGCACAGATTTGCTCAGATTTGATACTCTCGTAATGAGGGCTGGAGACGGAGAACAGAGGAAAGGCGCTCAACTGGAGCCAAACCCAGGCCATCACGTGGATTACTCCTCTGACTGATCATCCCGAAGAGGGAAGTAAACCCTCCACTGACCGGTTTATTTTTACATTCTATAACAGATTTAACAATAAATTGTATTTCACCAGGTTTTCATCGCTCTAACACCTACTGTCATCGAGATTAAACGTTACAACGGCATTGTTTCTGTCTAATTATAACCACTGACGGCCGTTATTGAGCGTTTATAACAGATCCAATCACTGTCAACTTCAGATCTGTTCCAGACTTTTCTACAGTAGGTAAACACATCACTGACAGTTCACATTGGTACTGAATCAAATAAATCTTGACAGTTATGTCTTACTTTGCAGTGAACGTGCTCCAACACTGTCTGCTGCTCCTCCAGTATTTCTACACCACAATAAACCCAGCCCGGTTGACGTCAGACGCTCACGGCGTTAATCCGGCGTCAGTGCGACGCTGACTGATACCGGCATGACGCTGCACTCAAAATCCACATAGATGGATGCTAGAGCTTGTCTTTGGTGACTTTAGATCCTGATCTAGATCATCATTAACACTGAAAGCAGTGTCCCTCTCCCTGTCCCTGTCAGTGCAGGCTGTGCGCGACGGTCCCGGTTTCTCTGTGCAGTGGGAATAATTCAACCACATGACTTTCAGCTGCCTCTAATAATAAGCCTGCATTGTGCTGCCCTGCACGTGATAGCAGGGAGAATTAGCTCAATACAGGGTCATAACCCCGGGTTTAGGAGGGGGAGGATGAGACTGTGAAGTATTGGTAAAAAACAGAACTTGATGGTTTGCAAATAAAACATATCAAACGTCCAAACTGTTAATGGGTTACTTGCTCTATGAAGACTGTATGCTCATACAGCAGGGGATGCAGGAAGGCCAGTTTAACAGCAGGACTCCTGAAGGAACCATGTTGTTGTAATGAGTGCAGAATGTGGTTTGGTGTAGTCACACTGAATAATGGAGGGCTTCCATGAAAAACTTATTGCCTGGATGGCACATAGACTGTATCAAGAATGGACAGCGTCTGCCTCCTAGCTGGGTGAAGCCACTCCGAGAACAGCACACTCTGTTAACGGGCTGCAGTATAGGTCATAAATCCCACCCCCGCCGCCAAGCTTATGGGGCTGTGGACAAACTTCAGGAATTTATTAAACAGATTTTAAATTTTTCCCCCTGCTTGTGATGTCGACATGTAGTTACTGTAAGACTGGTTTGTGCTCAAGTCCTCTTTTTTCTGTGCAGCTCCATTTTAAAAGTTATTAGGGGGTTCATGTCTTCTATGATTGGCACGTGATACAGTCTATGGGTGTGCAAGGATTGCGTAGCTCACCCGGGGATACACTGTTTGAGCAGAGCGTCATCACAGCGACTCTCGGCAACTCTCCTGCCGAATGCGCACAATGCTACTATGCAAGTGGTGGAGTGTGTACAGCGCTACTGCTAAATGTTTGTTTCAGGAAGTGGCAGGAAAAAAAAAAGAAATATCGAGAAATTTTTGGCTTCAAATCTGTATACAGGTGCTGGCCAGTAAATTAGAATACCATCAAAAACTTGATTTATCTCAGTAATTCCATTCAAAAAGTGAAACTTGTACATTATATTCATGCAATGCACACAGACCGATGTATTTCCAATGTTTATTTCTTTTAATTTTGATATTTATAAGTGACAACTAATGAAAACTCCAAATTTGGTATCTCAAAAAATTAGAATATTGAAAAGGCCAATGAAAAAAAATGTTTTTTTTTAAATGTTGGCCAACTGAAAAGAATGAACATGAAAAGAATGCCCATGTATAGCACTCAATACTTAGTCGGGGCTCCTTTTGCCTCAATCACTGCATTAATGCGGCATGGCATGGACTCGATTAGTCTGTGGCACTGCTCAGGTGTTATGAGAGCCCAGGTCGCTCTGATAGTCGTCTTCAGCTCCTCTGCATTGTTGGGTCTAGCGTATTGCATCTTCCGCTTCACAATACCCCATAGATTTTCTATGGGGTTAAGGTCAGGTGAGTTTGCTGGCCAATCAAGGACAGGGATACCATGGTCCTTGAACCAGGTACTGGTGGTTTTGGCACTGTGTGCAGGTGCCAAGTCCTGTTGAAAAGTGAAATCTGCATCTCCATAAAGTTGGTCAGCAGCAGGAAGCATGAAGTGCTCTAAAACTTCCTGGTAGACGGCTGCATTGACCTTGGACCTCAGGAAACAGAGTGGGCCAACACCGGCAGATGACATGGCACCCCACACCATCACTGACGGTGGAAACTTTACACTGGACCTCATGCAACGTGGATTCTGTGCTTCTCCGCTCTTCCTCCAGACTCTGGGTCCTTGATTTCCAAAGGAAATGCAAAATTTGCTTTCATCAGAAAACATAACTTTGGACCACTCAGCAGCAGTCCAGTCCTTTTTGTCCTTGGCCCAGGGGAGACGCTTCTTACGCTGTTTCTTGTTCAAGAGTGGCTTGACACACGGAATGCGACAGCTGAATCCCATGTCTTTCATGCGTCTCTTCGTGGTGGTTCTTGAAGCGCTGACTCCAGCTGCAGTCCACTCTTTGTGGATCTCCCCCACATTTTTGAATGGGTTTGTCGTCACAATTCTCTGCAGGGTGCGGTTATCCCTAGAGCTTGTACACTTTTTTCTACCGCATTTTTTCCGTCCCTTCGCCTGTCTGTTAATGTGCTTGGACACAGAGCTCTGCGAACAGCCAGCTTCTGTAGCAATCACCTTTTGTGTCTTGCCCTCCTTGTACAAGGTGTCAATGGTCGTCTTTTGGACAACTGTTAAGTCAGAAGTCTTCCCCATGATTGTGGAGCCTTCAGAACAAGACTGAGGGACCTTTTAAAGGCCTTTGCAGGTGTTTTGAGTTAATCAGCTGATTAGTGTGGCACCAGGTGTCTTCTATATTGAGCCTTTTCAGAATATTCTAATTTTCTGAGATACTGAATTTGGTGTTTTCATTAGCTGTCAGTTGTAATAATAAAAATGAAAATTAATAAACACTTGAAATATATCACTATGTGTGGAAGGAAAGTATACAGTATACAAGTTTCACGTTTTGAATGGAATTACTGAAATAATTCAACTTTTTGATGATATTCTAATTTACTGGCCAGCACCTGTATTTGGAAGGCGGAACCAAGTTGTTCATAGTATATGCAGTCTATGGGATGGCAGGATACATTGCTCTAAAACTTGTTTATATTGTTCAGCATTAATGGAGCCTCTACAGATGTGAAAGCTGCCCATAACACGGACACCTATGATCCCCATACCATCAGGGATGCTCGTTAGTTAGAGCTCGGGACCGCACTTGAGTACTGAGAAGTCTGTGGTGTTTCTGGATCATGTTCATTTACGGTTTCCTGTCTGAATATAATAAAATTGACCATAATTTGTGGAAACAGTTATGAAATGTGTTCACAGATGAAGGTTAATAGAAATGATAATGAGTTCATGTAGTGATTTCCACTACAGAGTCATGTTTGTTTTTAATGCAGTGCTGCCTGAAGGCCTGGAAATCAGGGCCATCCAGTCTTGGTTTTGGTCCTTGTCCCTTTTTGTACAGATATTTCTTAAGATTCTTGAATCTTTTAAATCATTATGTTCTATGGATAAAATCAATCCATTCTTTCACGTTTCATACCTTGGGTTATTATTCTGAAATAGGTGAACTGTTTCTCATAGAGTGGTGAGGTGAACCTCTTCTCATCTTTCTTCTGCGAGACTCAGCCTCCCTGAATGTTTTTTACCTAGTCACGTTACTAACCTGTTGAAAATTAATCTCATTACTTGGGAGATGTTCCTTCAGCTGTTAAACAACTGTTTACCAGTCTGGTTGTTCCTGTAACACAGACAAACAAGATTAAAAAAGGTATGGATTTGAATTTATAATAAATGTCCAAAGATTAATATTTGATAATAATCTTAAAAAACAGAAACAAACAGGTGCTTGATTTTGGACTGTGTTGGACCTTTGCCAGGTCTGGTTGTTCTTATTTGTTGACTGTTATGTGTCAGACTACATATCCTGCAGCATTTCCCTTACACTCACTCTCTGTGAAGTCTGAAGTACGAGCCCTACCTCAGTTTTCCTCATGTAGTTCAGAATGTTTAAGGTTCCAGCTTTACCTCCTGTATGTTTAAGCAGATTCTGAAAAAGCATAGAGTCAAACACAATTATGCATCTGCCTATCATGCTCAGAGTCATTATACATCGAAGTCCATGTTGCTTGCCTATTGTATGGAGTTGGGAGGGGACTGGCAAGAAGGGTTGCCATGGCTGATGCTGGCAGCCAGAGAAGCTGTTCCATTGAACAACTTAATCCATTTCTTTGTGCTGTTTAGGTAAAAATCAGGCACATCATTTGAATATTAGAGGCTCTCAAACTGCTTGATTTCCTGCTGTGTTTAAGGGTCTGCTTTGGCCATGTGTGTAACTTTTGGCAAAACTAAAGCAGCCAACCCTAAAAATGTTTGAAAATGTTTGTGCTCACATTCATGAGTGAAAACAACAAAAGTCACCAGAGGCATTGAAAATATTCAAACTGTCACATTTTTTAACTGTGGTTGATTTCATGTGCTGTGGGATAACTTTTATTTTAATGCTTGCAGGATATTTTGAGGCTACCACTCGCTTATAATTATTGTCTATTTTGATGTGAGCTTTACGTCACACGTTAAGCTCTGTAAATAATGCTGCCTAAACATCACTTGTACACGTCAACTAAGGTGAGCCACATGATGTAGAGAGGGTAGTGTTGGCATATTTTGGTGATACTCTCATTCTGCCTGCTTTTGTGTCAATTTCATATAACAATGTGGTTTTCTGCTCACCTGGTCTTTTGTTATTGTTCTTAACTGTAAGTGGTTGTTTCATTAAAGACTTTTACAGATTTTTCTTGCAACATAATACATAAAAGTGTCTTTAAACTTCAGGATTTTTGTTGTCAGTCACAAAAATATGAATAAAGTTGTCATAAGGCCACTAAATTTATAAAAGCTTATGGTCAGAGATACCTTTTGAAATACCTTTTAGGACAAAACAGCTGTTTTTGTTGGAGGTGCTACAATATCTTGTAATACAGCTTAATATAAAAATGCAACCTCTAAAACTAGGATTTGATTTAGATCGTATGACATTCACACACAAAAGTGCCTTTTCTACAGCCAAAATGAATTTTAAATAAACCTTTCAAAATGCTGAGACAATTTTGACCAAGTTTATTATCTACAAATTTTAGTTGAGAATTTGGCATTTAAACACACGCACGCACACACATTGTGTCATGATAGGTTCTTGTTAATGTAGTTATTCTTGGTTTTGTATTTACTTAAGTGTTTCTGTTCCCTGTTGTCCCTGTTTCACTGTGTTCATTATTCTTATATTCCTGTTGTTATGTTTTTTGCTTTTTGGGTTTTTTGTCCAGTTTTCAGGGCTTCCTGTTAAATCTTCCCTGCGTATCTAGTCTAGTTTTACTGCCTTGATTACTCACAAGTCTCACCTGTGTCTTGTCTGCCTCACCTGCTACTCTTTTCCCTATATGTGCATAAAGTCCCTGTCTTCCCCTTCTTTCTTGTCTGGTTCATTGTCTAATTGTCCGTGCCTGTCAATTTTTAGTGTTCC